CCTGTCTCTCGTTCCGATTTCCTTTCGGCTTCCTCCGTCATCGCCAGCTTCACTTCACTTGCGCCGCGATTACTATATATTAGTCTCCTCCCTACTTGCGCACATTCACCTGGTCCTCTCTTGTTCAATTTCCTTCTTCCCCTTTCTTCTCTACAGTCCTTCTTCCCCAGGACTACTACTATTCTATTATCACCGCCACTACCACCGCCACCACACCACCCTTCACCTGTCGCATTAGCTCCACCATCCTTGGATTGATCGTCTTATCAATACCTGGTGTTGGACAGCTCGCTGATACGGATCAGATGACGTGTTACATAACCCTACGGTAGCCAATACGATGAGTGACGGAAATGCTGGCCAGGACTCCCTACTGGTTCCATATCATGATCGAGCTTCTTCTGCAACAGCCCTACTAGAACCCGCCAACCCGGAAATCCACCCGAATCCTCCTTCCCACCCCAAGTGAGTAGTGTCCTCCCACACACCTGGTCCTTGAATCACTTTTAGAATACTGTCCATGTGTCGCGTTAATATATATTTTCGACCTTTTTTTCTTTTTTGTCTCTTTTTTTTTTTTTTGGTATCTTCTCCTTGTCTGTCAGATCATCATCATCATCATCATCACCAAGTGACTACCATCTGCAATGCTTCTAACAGTCTACATAGGAAGCCACTAGCACCGTTGGTGTCGGATGCTGGCTCCCCTGCCGGATCTTCTACCACCAATCGAGCGTTTCACTCTGCCAGTGCCTCATTTTCGCATAAGAGAGGCGACTCAGGGGGCGCCATCCCGGATGACTTTGCGTCAGATGGCGTGAGTGAGCAAGCGGCCGACCTTGCTTCCTCCAGCGTCCCGAACGGGTGTCGCCAAGCATGGCAGGAGCAATGGAAGCGGTCTGACACCGAGTTAGTCCGCCCATCGAGCTGCGCAGTAGCTGAAAGTCGAATGGGGCAGGCTAGCCCGGCTGACAGCGATGCCCGCCTTCCTAGAAATGCCGCCCCCATGGCGGACGACTTAGGCGGAAGTAATGGTGGCTCGTCCCCGCTTCATTCGCAAGCATTTCGCTCCAGTCCCGTCATGAATGACGGTCGTCCGCCAAGGAACCCAGGCGCCAATCCAGACGAGATGGCCTCCCTCTCCGAAGTGTCACGGGAGTCTGCGGAGGGTCTGAGCTATGGCCAAGAGTCCGCGAGACAATTGAGCAATGCTCAAAGTCCCGTCGGCGCGGTCACTGGGACATCCGGAGGTACATCAGCATCAAATGGGCTTATACTTCAGCTAGTAGAAACTGATTATTGCACAGAAGAAAAACTGATTCAGGATGTTCGAGGAATCTATGCCGGGCTGGTGATGGCGGAAAATAGATGCGAGGTGTGGCACAAGCGGGTCCAAGGATGGCCCACGATGACGCAGGTGCAATATCAAAGCTTGGTTGGAATCCACGGAACTATGCTGCAAGAGTATCACGATTTCTTCCTCTGCTCCCAACATCCTGTCGCGAGCCCCGCACTGAAACGCCTAGCGGAGAAGTATGCCATGCCCGCGCGACTATGGCGCCACGGAATCCATTCGTTGCTGGAATTGCTGCGCCATCGGCTCCCAGAATCCTTGGAGCACATGCTAGCCTTCATCTACTACGCCTATTCCATGATCACACTGATGCTCGAATCGGTGCCCGCTTTCCAGGATACCTGGATCGAGTGTCTGGGAGATCTCTCGCGTTACCGGATGGCCGTGGAGGAATCCGACCTTCGCGAACGTGAAGCCTGGGCGGGCGTGGCACGATACTGGTACAACCAGGCTGCAGACCGGAATTCCAATGTGGGCAGGATCCAACATCATCTGGCGGTCTTGGCCCGACCGGATATCATCCAGCAACTGTTCTACTACACGAGATCTCTGGTCAGTGTTCAGCCGTTCGCGGGCACTCGGGAGAGTATCTTCCTCCTATTCAATCCTTTTCTGAGAGGGCCTCGAGCACTTCATCGCCTGCCACTAGTAAGCGCTTTTGTGGCGGCACATGGCCACCTGTACACTAGAGATGTCGGAGATCGCTTTATCAAGTCGGTCGACACATTTGCATCGCTTCTGAACCAGACAATAAGCCAATTGGGTGCTGCCTTCAGGCTACAAGGGTTCTTCATCTGCGCTTGTAATATTACCGCCATGCTAGAATATGGCAGCCCCGACGCTTACCTGGGCCTCGAGTTCCAGGAGGCGGACCCGTCGCAAGTAGAGTCACTAGACGAGGTCTACGACTCCGCTCTCAACGCCTGGGTTCCTGTCAATGACCTCGAGGCCGTGCAGGCAGAATTCTTAGCATCTCGGGACTCTCCGAATTCGTCGCCTCTGCTCTTTTACGGATCCTACCTCGCTTACCACACTTTGTCCGTGATGCTCGAACAAGTCAATCAGGTCCCTGATAGGAACATATACGCAGCATGCCATGTTTCTCTAGCATTCCTTTGGTGCTTGTCACTTACCCCGCGAGGTATGACCCGCCTGGAAGTTGCGGTACCGTGGAGGAAACTTGCGTATTTCCTCAATACGCTGTTTCGCAGCTACATCAGGCCCGAGATCGCCGAAAGGGAAGACTTTCCCGTCTCGGAGGAGACCACCTGGGTAGCGGAAGACTTCCTTATCCGTGGCCAAACCTGGAGCCAGCGTCTCTATCCTGCTTCTTTCTTCGACAACGCACCTACTGCCGGTGAAGGCAGGAACATTGAGCCGCCGTCTCGGGACATCACAAGGATGTACAGGTGCATATGGCTGGGAATCAGACTTGCCAAGGTAAGAGTCCTACGAATAGGAGGATAGTATGATCGCATAAAATGAGTCATGCTAATAGCGAGCAGTTTGGACGTTGGATCACATATGACTGCAACGAGCGGAAGTTCTCTGCTACCCCATTCGCCCTGGAGCTTGAGACAATTGCCGAAAGACATAACCCCTTTGCTAAGCCGCGTGAGGTCAGCCAAAATAGTGTAGGCAACGATGCGCGTGAAACATGAGGGACGACCTAGCTGGCCCAATTGTGAGCCAAGCAATCTGCACGTTTGTGAAGTATTGAGAAGTGTGAGAGACGCGCTATCTGGGTGGCCCTGATCGATTGTGTAACCACCAAGGGTCCTCGTCGCAATAACATCAAGGCCCGGTATCTGGGCGCTCTAAAAAAGAAAAGAAAAGAAAAAAGGAGAGCCATATGCTTGTGGTGAAATAAATATTGATGCGAGTCCCGCTAAGACACAAGCCTAGCAGCTAGCTTTGTCTGCGTCCGCTCTGAGGTCGATCACAGATGAGATTGCCATGCAACATGGAAAGACCGTCTAGGAGGATAATGTAAGCCCTCCACCCTGATCAAGATATTATCCAGCAGCTACTCACTCCAACCTGTCTTGAGCCTCAGACAGGAATTATTAAATAGTGTAAGATCATCCCTACTGGTATAGGGAGGGAGAGAGGAAGACCGACGTGTGTGATGAGCATTTAGATATACTACTACACCCATCATGGGGAGTGGGCATGAAATAGAAGAAAACGAAGTCACTGGTATGTAATTCAACGAACAAGCTGTCAAGAGAAAAGATGATGGAGAGATCTTCCATGTAGATACCAGATAGATAGATGCGTGGACTACTAGACTAAGCAGACTAAGCATACGTAGAGAGCGGAGCGATGAACCGAGCAGGGAGTGGGGGAGCCGAAGCCGAGCGGAGCCTGCAGAACGAATGAAACCCGCTGAAAGGACAAGTTGGCGCCTGCAACGCGTCTCATGCTGGATGCTAAAGGCTAAAGCCCGCTCTACTAACCTATCTTTATCTCACCACGTTTCCCCTTCGGAGCTCCTCCTCCTCCTCCTCCTACTTTATTATTGCCTTGAGTTCCTCTTTCCCCCCGGTCCCGGACGATGGCCATTATTGTTCATCGTCTTTCTGCTCCGGATCGCTGCTCTCTCTCTCCATGTTAGTTAGGTGATCAATCCTTCAAGACAGCTTCCGTGTCGCATGGCTGGCCAAGATCGGATCGTCTCTGTCCCGTTGAGCATTTGAGCTCACTTCCCCCTCTCCATCCGCTTCCTGTCCGCGATTATCTTCATCCGCTCGAGGCCATCTGTCCCTTCGCCCGACGTCCCTATCCCCTCCTCCCCCCCTTTGTCTTTCAACATCATGGCTGAAGGTGCCTTCCTCGGCACCTGCGTTCATTGCGCCGAGCTCCTGGCGAATGTTCCGCTCTCGGTCCTCCTCATTACCCTGGTAGCAACTCTCGCTGGACTGTCTGTCCTGGTATGTTTGGATTCCATTGATCCTCGGCTTTACCGTTGCGCCCCGGGCTCCCCGTTGACGGGGGATGCCCTTAGTTGGCCTCGCGATTGGAACAGCAACGCTAACTAGCGATCCTCCTCCTGCATAGTTCTACATCACTCTCTACACCGTCGCCCCGGTCCCGCGGAAACCGTTCCCTGAAGAGAAGAAATATCGTACGCTCCTGAAGGATGGATCGATCACGGAGCCGCTCGAGTTACCTTGCTGGCAAGATGCCCTAGATGCTCAGAGACGCCCCGGTCGGGTTCTCGACCACACCTCGATGGAGGAAGCCGACTTGTTCATGTCGTTGGTAGTACCCGCATACAATGAGGAAGATCGCCTGGGAGGCATGCTGGAAGAGGCAGTAGATTACCTGGAAAAGGTCTATGGCACGGTAACCAACTCGGCCAATGGTGCTGAGTCCCCTACGGCGGAAAAAGCAATGCGTCAACGGAAACAGGCTAATGGACACACAAATGGGTCTGCGGCTCATCGTCCGGTACATGACAACAAGGGCTGGGAAATCATCATTGTCTCTGATGGCTCCAAGGATAAAACAGAAGAAATAGCGTTCACGTTCGCCCGAGATCATCAACTCTCAATGCACCCCAAGGGCTACGCCGGCCCTTGGACTCCGGGGACGCATGAGGGTGTCCGCATTCCCCCGGGCACTATTCGGGTGGTGTGCCTGACAGAGAACAGGGGCAAAGGTGGAGCCGTCACCCACGGCATGCGGCATGTTCGCGGCCAGTACGTTGTATTTGCGGATGCCGACGGGGCCAGCAAATTCGAGGATCTAGGAAAGCTTGTCGCGGCCTGCCAGGAGACCGAAGACGTGAAAGGACGCGGAGTGGCCGTTGGATCTCGGGCGCATATGGTTGGAAGTGAAGCTGTAGTCAAGGTATGCTCTCCTACCCAGCTGGCCTATACTTTGTCCTTGCCCGGCATTACTAACCGATAATCCCCATGGAAATACAGCGCTCGAAACTACGCAACTTCCTCATGCATTCGTTTCATTTGATTCTGTGGTTGTTGACACCGTCCAAGACGGCCACTATCAAGGATACGCAATGTGGATTTAAACTGTTTTCCCGGGCGTCGCTGCCATACATTGTACCGTACATGCACTCCGAGGGGTGGATCTTCGACGTGGAGATGCTTATGCTCGCCGAATTTGCCGACATCCCCGTGGCCGAGGTGCCCGTTGGATGGAGAGAGGTCAAGGGCAGCAAGCTGAATGTACTCCGCGATAGCATCGGCATGGCTTGGGGACTGGCTGTCCTACGAGCTGCATGGTTACTTGGTGTTTATCGGCGTACTTGATATATACATACTGCTCTTTATGGGTAAGCCATAGAGAAGAGAAAATAAAGTTGTGAAGCAGATTATTACAACAGCATCATCGTCATCATCATCACATAATACATTCATCTATTTCGGGCTGAAAAAGCATCTACTAGACCTAGTAGTATCCGTAATACATTTCAATTAAAAGTATATTCCTGATCACAGACCGGTTAATACTCCGTAACTGCATGTCCTACCTCTAGTAGATATAACTACAAGAAACCCACAAACATACTGAATAATACTTGCTAAGTACCTGCACCCAGAACCCCAGACTCTCACGCGTTCACCTCAGTCCTGAAATTTGTATGTGAATTTTATGTCATTCCAGCCCGGTGGCGAATCCCAAAACCGGCCCGGAAGAAGCCTAAACCACCTCATTCCCGTCATTGCATCAGCGGCAGAACAAGCGACAGATCCCCGAATCATGCCAGAATTTATTACTGTTCTCAAGCTTTCAGAGTAATCTTCTACTGTGTATTTCTCTGATGATATCACCGACTACACGACAGGAAAAACAGTATATCCAACTCGCATACACATAGTCATTGTTTGTAAGAGCAACGGCATAACTAGTAGTAGTTAGTAGTAGCAACGGAACCACCCCGAACGGCCCTACCCGAAAGCATAGAAGGGGAAATAAGAACGAAAGGATAAAGTTTGTCAATCGAACGAAGAAAGAAAGAAAAAGTCAATTTCTATCGGGCTTGGCTCTCGGTCCGAAGTAACGTGTTTGTTTCATTATTCAGGAAAAAAGAAAAAGAAAAAAGAAAAAAAGAAAAAGTTTTTTTTTTTTTCTTCCGCATTGTAAACCGTCCATGCCGAAATGAGGCGATTGAATTTATTTAAAGAACTGGATGGCTGATGAAAAAGGGATCAATCATTGAAGAGGTGGTCTGATATTTTTCTGACCCCCAAACTTGACTGAACACCCCCTCTTCAATCACACGCCCCCATCTGCGCTGGCTGGTTCAGATCACTCGACTCACATATACCCTCGGTTATCTATAGCCCGGTCAATCTATTCTGCAGGTTATTGAGCTAGCTCATTAACCCAACTAGACTCGTGGCCTCTGGTTTAGCCGTTGACTCTACCGGTTCTCGGAGGAATACCTCCTTGGTTAGCTATTACTTATTTACGTGCTTGCTTGCTTGCTTGCTGAGTGGCATTTGCTGCTAGCTTGTTGGCTTGCTTCGAAGGATTCCGGAATTCGAACTACTACTACCTATTACCTTACTACATACCTCATGGTATGGTGAGACATCCATAGCATATCCGTCCTTGGCAGAGATAACCTGATCATCAGTTGTTCGGTTGTTGTCACTTGCCAGCCTGTGGTGGTAGTCTTCTACTAGGCTAGTGGTGCTGTGGTGACACGCAGAATCTTGTCTGGTGTCTATTACTACTGCTGCTACGTACTGGTGGTTCTTTTCTTTTTCTTTCGGGTGTCAGAGCTGACGTCGTGGAGTGGCTTTATATAGTACTCCTCTTGCGTCGTTGGCAGACACGCTATTGAACCACAGTCTTGCACATCTGATCTATTATATGTGCTACTACTGTACTATGAGTGATTTGATCTGAGTGGATCTCTGTTTGGCTTTGTCGACGGACTCCGAACGAACCCACTAGCTAGCGTGAGCTAGTACATACTTCTTGTCTCTTCACAATGGGAATCCCACGACCACGGGAGCATTGGGGGGATGCTCCCCAGACGAATACAACCAAACCATCGCCATTCCTCAAATTACCTTTGGAGCTTCGTCTCATGATCTACGAATATGCGCTGGTCGTTCCCAACGAATTCACGGATCGTCCGATGATCGTGATTAACGACCGCGGGAACGTCTTCACGGCACGCGGCCGATACCGAGCTCTCTCAATGTGTCCCAGCTGGGTGGGTGAGAACGGTCGAGTTCGCAACCTACTCTCCGTGAACCGGCAAATTCACGACGAGGTTGAGGACTTCGTGTATTCGCAGAATACTCTCTTCTTCCTGAACTCGTTCAATCTTGACCGTCTGGGCACCTTCTTGGACACCATCAGTGCCACGGCGCGCAAGCGCATTCGCAGCGTCGGGTTCGAGATCTTCTTCTTCGTCCACTCGCAAACCGGCGTGCCGAAGCGGACCTTGAAGGAGTATAAAGCAGCCGCCCGCATGCTGATGGAGAAGCTGCCAAATTGGACAAGTACCATGTTTTACTTGGATCCTCGCTTCTACTTCCCTTCTGCTGCGGTAGGGAATTTGGAATCGTCGGCTCGGGGAATCTGGTATCTGGCGACGATTTTTGGAGCTTTGCACAAAGATCTCCATTTCTTTCCACTACCGTCGATGCATCGACATGTTATGGACGATGCGAAGAAATCGCTTCAGGCTGAGACGCGGGCGTCACAGACGAAGCTCGCTATCGCATAGGAACCGGGTGTTATGTTTTTCTTCTCATCATGACTATTTCCTCTTCTTTCTATTCGTCTACATTAGTAATATATTGTCTCACCTATCCAGCCATTTACTTTTTTCCGACGGGGGGTTTCTCCTCCTTCCGATCAGATACCCACTGGGACTAATATCTGCAGGATGACGTTTAGGAAGATCGGTGCGAAGAGAGTCTAATATGTGCACACACACCGCGCAGTAGACTCTGCTAGTCTCGAGGTACTCCACTCTTTGATTGCCAATCATCTCGGAATGTCACATTGGAGGGTTGGGGGGTGGGGATGGGCATGAGCACGGAGAATGGTGTTTGGTCGCAAACGGGCGGGAAGTCATAGGTGGTGCATTCTTGGAAAGGGTCTTTTTCCGTTCTGTTAATTTTCTTTCTTACAGCGTCATGTTGCTGCAGTGGTTAGAGCTATCTGAATCAGCGTCATTCCTGGTCATTTTCTTTTCCTGCAAGCTAGAAATGTAGCATGATCATAGTTGGTAGATGCATGGGCGACTTGCAGCGGGCAGCAGCAACCGTTGCCGCCCGCTCGGTTAGTGTAGTGGGTTAGCTTCAGATCGGTCCGTCTGCTGGACGTACCAGATGATGGGGATTCATTGACCCGCCTGGACCATGAAATCATAGCCTTAGAAGGAGGGGAAGACCTGTGGAGGTTGGAGGAACTGGTATCTAGAAGAAGAAGACAAAATGAGCCAAATATGGAGGTGAAACCCAAGGAACAGGCGGAATGACTGTTCTGTTCCTTTTCGTTTTCGCGAGCATCCAAGCAATAACGTCATGTCTGCCTCGTGATCGTCGGCCTCAAGTTCCTTTTGGTGGTTGAAGAAGCAACCAAATCACATTTGAATCCCACGCTTCTTCTTGACAGCCGTTCTTCTTCCTCGTTTTCCCTCTTGTTTCCCCCTTTCTTCTATCCCCTCCTGTTCCTTTTTTTATTTTATTTTCTTTTCCCAGTCTGGTTTCCTTCCCTGTCTAGTCTATATCAGCCTGCCGTTAAATCCCCCACGTTTGATATCGAACCACTGAGCATTTCGATTTCTCTGGTATATTATCGAGTAGTAAGTGTTGGTAGTAATTTCTCCCCGCATTCGGGTGGATCTTTCTCTATCCTGTCATCCATCCTCAGTCCGTTTGAGAGAAGATTGGCATAATAATCTCTTCCTGCAGGCTGTTACTCATAGGCTCCCGCCGCCTGATAAATGCTGTGTGCCCTTCGCGCTGCAGTCTGCAGTCAAGCACATCGTCCACTTGTCCATCCTTTTGTGGTCGCTGGCTGCCAGCATCAACATCTTTGGTCCACGAAGCACGAAGCTCCTCGCCCTGCGGTTTGAAACTCTGCTTCAGGCACCGGTGGCTTATCAACGCTCGATTGCCCACTCCGGACAGCTCGCTCCCCCACCGTTCCCCATCTCATTTGCCACTGGTAAGTTACCCGGTCGGTGTGGTTTCCCGGTTCTTATTTGTCCCTCTACTTCAGTAACTGCTGTTAAGAGATTCAGTCGCTCCACGCGCGATTATCACAGTGATGCTGCTGTAGCTCGGCTGATGTTTTAGCTAGTACCGAACTAAAGTATTCACGTTTTGATTATTTCGCCAATTGTTCGCTCCATTTGCCTTCCCCTTACCCCTCTCCCTCCCTCCCTCCCTCTCTCTCTCTCTCGTTTTCTCGTCCCTTTATGAAGGGGATAGAACCTACCCAGACTGCCCCCGGGAGTGTCTCAGCAACTCCAATAGTTTCAAAATGAAGCCAGCAACCGCTACAAAGTCCTCCAATGGCCATGGGAGCCTCTACAAGGAGGTTCGCTTCTCGCCTACTCCAACTCCTGTCCGTCGAACACAGTCAGTACCAGACACCCATCTCGAATCGAGACCAAACTATTCTGGCGGCCCAGATATAGAAGCAGCCAGTTATTCGGTTGTAAGTGCCGATTACTTGAGACAAGTACGGTCGCTCCTCGATCGCCAGCGTGCAAATTTTGAGCATGAGAGGAAGTTATTCAACGAGGAACGACATCTATGGGAGAATGAGCGTGCGCTATTGAACCAGAGGATCTCTGAACTAGAGTCGCTGCTGAAGGGTAGGGGATCCACAGGGACCGCCGCTACTAGTACGGCCGCGCTCCCGACCGGCACTTTTCAATCTTATGCATCGTCATCTGCATTTCGCAACCAATTCAGCCACCCATTTTCGGCAGAACACACTGATTCTTCTCACTCGACAAGTACCCAAGTGTGGGAAGGCTCAAGCCCTGGAAGCAAACCCACAAGGGTATTTCCCAACGCGGAGAAGACAGACCTCTCAGGTCTCCTATTCCCGGAGCAAGGAGGCAATCCTTCGGTCTCTGTGCCATCCTTGGATGCTGCGCTTTCGCCGAAGTCACATGCGACTGACTTGACCTCGAGCGCATGCGTTCCTGTCCCAATTGAGAGGCTTGATAGTAAACTTGACGGGATCACGCTCAAGTCCTCAGCATTGCCGCCAGAAATTGTCGCTCGTGTAATCACACCGCCGTCGCCACCATCGCTCGAGGGCTCTCCATCACTTTCCTCCAGACCCTCTGCTGAGCACCGCAACAGCCTCAAATTGAAACTGTCTGAACTTGGCCCACCAGAGTTCAACCTGACCAGGAACGCCGGTCACACACCCATGGCTAGGATCGATCGAGACATCGACACGGAGCAGCCGTCACCCCAGGAGGCCGCAAACGAGGAGGAGCCCCTCGCTTCGGAAGCGCCTCGGCAACCTGCAGAAAATTCCGACTCGTACTTTGGGGATTTGGCGGATGACCCTGCCCTGAAGGGGCCACTCACCTTGCTGAACGAGGAAGAGCACGATAGTGAGTTTCTGAAGGAGCTTGATCAAAAGCTTCTGGACCAGGTCAAGCAGGCCCTTGGCTATCCCCGAAGCACTGATCAGAAACAGGCTGAAGTCGAGCCCCCGAGTCAGGGTGAAGAGCCAGAATTAAGGTTCAAGAATACGACGAACTTTGGCACGGCTTTTGGGAATTCGGACTGTGGGAAGGTGTAGGATTGAGGCGAAGCGTTACCCTGCGATCGCAGATTGTTTGTTGTGGATGTTAACCTCATAGCCATATTTGGACTATGATTACTATGGACCTCATCTCAACGGGGATGGGCCCATTCCTTTTTTTGGACGGAAACCATGACTTGACGAACATGACGGAACTTATCTTTTTGCATATGCATCGGCCATTACGTGTAAATATTAAAGCTACGAGAGACTTTCCGAGAACAGGGGTGTTCTTTTATTTTGGTTCTTTGCAGTATTTGGTACATCTGGCCGAACAATGGCTCTGCTCTCCTTGCGTCCGCCCCCGACCTGGTCGAGCCCTCATCCCTCCCTATCTTATCATCCCATTTTCCTTTCAACCTTGAGGCTACTACTTGAAAAACTGCTCCAGGGAGGTTGCCCTTCGGAAGGGCCGTCTCCTGGAGAGTGGCTAGGTCCTCCTCGCCATGAGGTCACCGTGACTATCGGAGTCGTTGTCTCGTGGGCCTTGCATGGCCCTGTGGCTGGCCCTATGCTGAGGGATAGTGTCCTAGAAAGGGTCTCAGAGCCCTTGTATACGGCGATGACTTGAGTGTCTGTCTTCTGGTATAAGAAGGCCACAATTCCGTGCCGACATTCTTTTCATCAGAGCACTCATTCGCTGCAGATCACAGCTGTTCATTCTTTCCCAGCTCATTCCACTCCTGCCAATCTCTAAATCGGTTATTCGCTCCTTCAACTCGGATAGTTTCCTTCTTTTGATAATTACATCACATTCTTTCCCTTCTACAATGTACAACCTCGTGGGCTTTCCGGCACTGCTATGCCTCGTGCTGGCTGTGGCTCCCGTTCTGTCTGCACCTGTCGCTGCGGGAGTATGTTAAAATTCAATCTCAATCTCAAATAAAAGCATCAACGAAGCTGACACATGCTGCAGGATGGAGCCATTGTGCGAAGACAGAGCCACCATCTCAATACCAACACTCAGTCCGGCTCTAACATGGGCTTCTCGATCCCTGATGGTCCATCCTTCAACTCTGGCCAGTATGCCTCCAACAGATTTCGTGAAGACCGTGGGGGCGACGATGATGATGAGGGCTCAAGCGAGTCCAGCAACACCAACGCAGGCAATGGGATGAATATCGGCATCCCGGGTGGTCCCAGCATCAACATGGGCAACTACTTCAGTAACAACTATGAGGAGACTGAAGAGTCGCGACCAAACCCTTCAACTACTTCCACTACGACTATCCCAGAGTCCACAACGACCCCTCCACCTCCGCCAGTTAACCCTCCGCCAGTCAACCCTCCGATCGAGACTTCTGTTCCTGCTCCTCCTGCCCCTCCCGCTACATCTACAACTATAACTGACTCTACCCAACCCCCTCCTGCTCCCCCTACAACTACTCCTCCTCCTGCTCCTCCAACCACCACTCCACCAGCTGCTCCCCCTACCACCGCTCCCCCTACCACTGCTCCCCCTGCTCCCCCTGCTCCGTCTACCCCCTCCGAACCGGCTCCTCCTGCTGAGACCGAGGAACCTGAAGAGCCAGTCGTGCAAGAATGCCCAGCACCGGAGCCAGAGCCACAGCCTGAGCCCGAGCAGTCTCCTGAGCCTTCTTCTGATCATGGACCTTCCCCTGAACCGGAGTCATCTCCTGCCCCCGAGCCTACCCCTGTACCTCAGCCTAACCCTACACCGAGCCCTCAACCGGAGCCCCAGCCCCAGCCCCAACCTGACGACGAGTCTGCATCCGAGCCCAGGATCGCACCCACTCCTTCTCCAGCTGCTCCAGCATTGCCTGCATACACCTGCCAATGCCCTGCATGAGCATGACATGCGTTCCCATCACTGCCTCTACGTCTATCCATAACTCTCATTGACCGTTCACCCCCCTTCCCCGTCGTCCATAGGTTTCCTTTTGTCACCATTACCCCTTTCCCCCCTCCCATTATTTTTCCCTTCGATATACATTTTCTTTTCCAGAGTGGGTCTAGTTTGACTGGAAGTACTGTTTCTATTGCTTGTTGATTCTGGTTGGATCTTTTTTCATTTTCCTTTCTTCCTTTCATCTTCTTTTCTCTTCTGAATCACTGGGTGGTTAGCATATAATATTTGTAATATTCTTTGGGTGTATTAGTATTATTATTTACATTTGGTTCTATTATCATGGATCTCCGTACAATAGGATAAAATAGAATAAAAAAATATCTGCATTAACGTCTCGTGATATCATATTCATGTCTCATAATAACATCAACATTGTTCCTCACGCCGGTTCATGGGGACCTTGAGAGATGGAGGGTGGGAAATGGCATAACCACCAACGCAACAGAATAAAAGACAACGAAGGCCATAAAAGAAAAAAAAGTATAAAATCAAGCTCACGATCCCGATATTAGTGAAACCCCGAAACCAACAACAACAGAACAAAAACAAAAGATGAAAAGCACCCCAATTGAAAAAGAGAGAGGGAAGACGGGGTCCCCTCTTATTCAGTTCGTCAGTCATCTAGACCCCCATCGTAAAGTCATGCTCAATCCCCGGCGTAACACTAGCAATAAATTTCAAAAACACAACCAGATACTGATCCACCCGAATCGCAACCTGCTCTTCCTCATCATGCTGCAGCATCTCCCACTCATCACCACCTCCTCCTTGCCCCTGGCTATGTCCCTCACCCATCGACAGTCCCTTAACATCGTCCACTAACCCTTCCAAGCCGCCCGCTCCAGCAGCGACCTTCGCATCAGGCTCGGCGTGCGCCGTGGCCGCGGCCTTGAGCTTATCGCGACGGATCTTGAGCGCCGCGTCGGCGCGATCCAGGAGGGTTTTCATCACGGAGGCGTGCCGGCATGGATGCACGGTCGCCATCTTCACACTGCCTTCGAACCAGGGGAAGTCTTCGAGAGTGACGGTTTTGTCTTTGTAGTCGCCGACTATGTCTTCCATCATCAGTTGCGGCGGGAGGGGTTCAGAGGCTGAAAGGTAGCCGGAGAGGTAGAGGCGTGGGGTGCGGTAGAAGTTGGCGTAGGTTATATAGAGGTTGTAGGTGCGGGTCGGTCTGTTTTTATAAGGATTCATTAGCTTTACTGATACGGTTTCTTCGATGTGATAAGGCCGGGCAGTGCAAGTTAGAGGGGGGAGGGAAAAGAGGAGGTATGAATAACAGTCCGAGCTGGAACAGGAGGGGGTGAAATGGTTCGACTCACTGCGTTGTCCCTGTCACCGGTTCCCGAATAATCGCCTCTTCATCATCATCCTCATCCTCCATATCCGGAATCTCATCTTCCTCCGGTTCCTCTACCTCGCCCATATTCCCGGCCTCGTCGACCGTCCGTACATCTCCGATCCGAGCAGATGATGAGGACGATGCTGCATTATCGCCGCCTCCGGTCCGTAACCAGCCATCGTCATCATTGTCGCCCTCGCCCGCTAGCATGCCCCGGACGATCTCGTCTTCGTGGCCTGCGTCCCCGGCGAAGTTGTCATTTAGGCGGCGGTGACATGGCACGCCGCGGGTTACCAGGAACTGCTTTCCGGGCGGGAGGTAGGAGACACGCTTTGCGGGGGTCGCGGCGTCGGCCCAGGACCAGGAGGGAAACTTGTAGACTAGGTAGTCGCCTGCTAGGACAAACTCTTCGGGGGTGATTTGGCCGGTTGTTCTAAAGGTTGAAGTGCGGGAGACGGGGGCGAGACGGTCTCGCCAGGTGGAGAGGGTGGAGTGGAGGATGTTCATTGCTTTAGTTTGCTTGCTTGCCTGTTTGCCTAGGTTTGGGGTGGGGGTCTTTCTTGGATTCCTTGGAAGGTCTGTTGCTAAAGTTGGGATAGGATGAGGGGAAATATGATATATAAATGGGAGGGAGGGGAAGGAAGCTTATCTATAGGAGGAATTAAAGGAGAGAGAGGGAATGATGGGGATGGAGGGAATGGGTTTGGCTGTGGCGGTGACGAACTTATCGGAGGCCTGGACGATGCACGCGGGGTACATCAGGTGGCTGAGGCTCCATCACCCACCAAAAACAACACAACTTTCCCATAAATTTACTGGTGATCATACTTTGCTAACCATGTGGCTTGCCGGTCACTGGACTTTCCTTCATTCATCTGGTTTACTCAGTGTTTCTGGTAGGTGATTGCGGACTTGCAGAAGGGCCAGGTTCGGTTTTACCCGCAAATCATTACGTAGGTCCCTTATTTTGCCATTTCGAGGGCCTGGAAGAATAACTGGCTATGGCATCCTCCGAAGCAAAGCGGCCCTGTCACTTGAGTGGCGGGGATTTCCACGCCCACGGGTCCTCGGAAAGGCTGGCTGCTATCTCCGATATCTGATCATATCGGCTCCAGCGTGGCCCTCTCTTGTTCCAGTTGCTTGTTCTGGACCATGTATAGCCTGTAACCGGGATCTTCCTCAAGCCAGCTGCGCCCGCATGATAGAATTGTCTTGCATGCTGCGTAGTCCTCACTCACCCTCTTCCATCATTCTCCTGTGTTCTATCTCACCCTCCAGCTCGTCCACCGTCATGGGTACCCCTCGGCCCTTCCACTTTTCCATTTCCGCCCGCGCAAATCCCTCCATGCTTCTCATGCCCACCACTAAGAATCCAAGGTCCTCCCGGTCGACATCGAACACTTCCCACCAGTCGCCATCGACGAGTTTGACTCCCACTTCTCGGGATGCAAGGTAGATTGAAGCAACAGCAAGGGCGTTTGGTTGGTGCGTAGCGTATAATAACTGTGGCGACAATAGCGCTGAGTTGAGATGCTCGAATACTCTATGAGCAACGGCTGAGGATGGGACGCCAAGGGTCTGGAGGTAGGTCAAGGCGATAGTGTGAGGAAGAGCTACATGCGTATTGAATCCCAACGTGCGCAGGATGATCGACTCGATGCGCAGCAGAACCAGTCGTTGTGCATGATAATCGCCTTCCGTAAGGTGGTAGGTCTCTGGCATTGCCTTGTCTGGCGACCCCTTTGAGTTTATGAACCACAATGGCGACGCATCTTTCGACAGGAGAAAAGCGTAAACGTTCAGCACCGAGCGGGGAGAGGTAGGTTGGAAGGATAACTTGGCGGTCATGTACAGCGCTGCGGCGGATACATCCTAGGTGAACATAGCCTGTCAGTACCTTTTCGATTCCCTTCGCAGAGATAATAGCAATTCCGAATACCTTCACGGAATATATTCGTAGACTGCCGCCTTCCGAACCTATCCAGAATCGGGTAAATGTCACAATAGCCTGCGCGATAATATCTTGCGACAATCGCAACAGAATTCCCGCTGTTTGTGTGAGCTGCGCGCCGGCATATCGAACTGATGCTTCTAGATCAACAGGCACACCATCAATAGATGATGATGAGTTTGATAGCTGTTCAGGTGTTGCTAGCGCATTGGAAAGGTACTTCAACCCGCTTGCGGCCGAGCTTGCCATGTCGCTGGTGTGGGAATACTGCGGAGTTCGTACAGGATTATAAACGGAGAGGGGTAACAATCATGAATACAAATAAACGGAAGCCCTTTTTCTTGATGTGCAGTTGGCTAGTACATGCAAAGAGGAACTGTTGCTTCGATCCATAAGCTTGGTCTTGATTGTGTTTCTGCAAAGCTGCGGCCATTTGAGGCTCACCGCCCGGTACTTGGGAGTGATCAACATCGACATGTATTCTCGAGTTGAGAACTTTACTAGCCCACAATGGACTTTATGAGGTATTCCGTCTGTGATATCGTGATATATTGCAGCTAGTTTTTGTGACGCATAATGATGACTATTCAGGGGCTGTAGATCAGGAGGACTGCATGTATCCTACTATATACTAGATAGTACTCGAGCGCCTACTATTTGGAAACTATATATACTCCGGAAATCACGGTAGTGGTAGTACTACTAGTCCCAGTAATAGAAGTGATGAGCAGGCGGTTTAGTTATTTTAAATTCAAGGACCGTGATGTACTTTGTGTATACTTTGTGTATAATTCATACTCCCAATATCAGTATACTACAGTTCTCACCCGGACAATGAAATAGTCAACTGGTATTCTCCTAGAACCAGATATTCTATAGAGCATGTGACCCCGCAAGCCTTAGGCAGCCATGCCTCGTAAACCAGAAACGATGCATCGCTGCAGCTCGAGTGCACGCAGCGCATATGAACAATTATGGCTCGCAGGTTCCACGGTATACGGCCGACTACATACATTTTTCCGAGCCGTACGTGCCAGACGTCCTTGGGGCCTGGTCTTCGGAATCATTCATCCATTCGGGGGCGAAGGATGGAGTACTGACAACGATTAAACACAGGTGGATATTGCTGTGTCCCCCTTATCCTCCGCAAATGATTGCCTAACCCCGAGATTGCTTAATCTCACGGAGGAGAGGATCGTCTGCGAACTAAACCGTATGAAACGGGACCCCAAGAGTCCAGACTCTAAGCACTCCAGGGCCCGTCCAGCAATGACAGCGCAAAAGGGGCATCGCCGTTTTGGTCACTGCGTAGGATGTGGCGTCAATGGTATATGCCACTATCCAGTCGTCAAGGAGACCATTGCCTCTGCCAGTGCTACAGATGACGTCGTCGGATCATGGAAAGGTATTCATGCGCCGCCTGGAGTCATTGCTTGCCCGGTTCAGGGGAGCTGAGGGAATGGGGCGACTTTGTGCCTAATAAAAGATCATGACAGCACAGTATCACTCAGAGGCCATGTAACCACCCGCTCATCCACCACTCATCTAGCGCAGGGCCTCGTGGTGGAGCATAGAGAAGGTTGTTCAGCCACCGGCTTTTTGCTGTTTGGCGGAGCATGACTTCTAAGAATACATACCCAACCTCGCGATATTTCGTGGTTCCTTGACCTAAAGGATCCATCGCGACTCCTCGTCGGATTGTTGACCACATATCGAACATTCTGAACACCAACTAAGACAGTCCGGCTCTGAATTCTCAAAGATCGCTCCATCCACTCCTAGACAGATCGTGCAGGATCCTCAGCACTCGTCGCTGACAGGGGCACGTGCGGGTACGCCGTCTGATCGCTATCGCTTGGCGGTCGAGTTCATCAACCTGAAGAACATCTGTTACAATCGCGTCCAATTTCCACTTAGACTATTGTCCATAACGTATACACCGTCGACCTTCGGCCCATTCCTATACCGTTTTAACGGTCCATCCTCTATCAATTCCTTGTTTATCGCCCCGCAATCCAGCAAAGAAGAGAAGATCTAGAGGGACAGCTTCGGGAGCTACTCATTTCCGTCTTTCTCCTCCCCTCTCTTCTCCCCCCCTTTTGCTTTCTCGCAGACGAGCGACCGCGGCATACGTGACCGTGCATTGGATTGGACGACGAATCGACGTGGCATTCCAGTCCGTGTCCAAGTGGTGCGACCAACCGCGACCCTTCGTCATTCCAAGCCCCATCCCTTCCCACCTACCGTCCAGTCACCTTCGATCTCAACAATGCTCCGCGACCCCGAGCACCCGTCAACTACAGCCACGCCTGCGAGTAGCGATAGTTCGGAACTGTCCTCGACAGCGGTCGCGTCGACCGAAATCGAGGAGAATTGTCAGCCTTACGCAGACAATCAACCTGTCCACCAGAATACCCCTGTAACTTCTTTAGCACCAAGCTCGGATGCGTTATCCCCACTACCGCCGAAACAATATCCTTCACACCCCTCTCACCGTCGGGCGAACACCGAAATTATCCCGCGGCAAGCCCCTCTGCCGTCCAGGAAGCTCTTCTCCGATCAAACCAAAACCTACGAAGACTTGGACTCTGGCACTACTCCCTCGAACCCACCAGTTGAGAACACTGCCAGAAGGAGACTCGAAGAAGGCGCAAAACGCTTGTCGGGCTGGTTTCAAGGAAAGTCGGAACCGGTCAACTTAGGAGTAGTGTATCAGTCAGGAGAGCAGGACTCGGCTGCAACAGACGACATGGAGAAGCGCGCCAGTCGCGAATTCTACGGGTCGCCCAATGTCCCGACGGGCCTGACAAGCCGAACTCAGAAGCGGATGACTGCGCCATCGCCTCTGAAACAGGTTACATCATCAAGTCCCTTCTCGTTCTTCGGATTAAAGAGACAGGGAGATAGCAGACTGGAGCTGCCCGAACCTGCCCAGGACGAGTTCTTGAACCTCGATATCAACGCCGCTTTATTCCCGACTGGATTCAGTAATCTGGAAGGCCGGGAAGCCTTTGACGCCCTAAGACAGAATGCAGATACTGTACTTAGGCGGCTGCAGGCTGCATACAAACAGAGGACATTCGCCTTACATGAAGCTTTGGCCGACAAGAATGAGAAGCAAGAAGAGCTGGAGGTAACTCGAACACGGATCGGGAACCTCAAGATCCAGTTAGATGGCATGGCTGAGAAAGTGATCCAACAAGAGAAAGCTATGAAGGCCATGGCAGAAGAGCTGGAGCATGAGCGGCAATTACGTCGCCGAGAGGAAGAGGCACGCCTACGCAGCATCACGCTGGTTCGTTCCAGCGACGACGAGAGTACCTCTGATCTGGGGGCTGAACTTCAGACCCCGAAGCGAAGCCTCAAACGCGCCAGCAATGGTACGTTTACCAGCGATTCAGGCTTCGATTCAGGAGACGAGAGCCTTGCTGAGAGTGTATTCTCCCGCCGCGAAGTGCTCGAGTCTCCGGCGTCGACGGTCGCGCCATCTCCAAATATCTCGCAGATCGCCTTGTCTACTCCTAGTACAACTGCTCCTGCACAGCAGAGCCAGAAAGAGCTCAAACCAGCTCCAACACCAGCCCCAGCACCGACGCCTGCGCGTCCATCTACTTATGATCGGGTTATAAAAGGGCTGACACCGCGGAGCATCGCCAGCTCGTGGACCAACAGCTCGAAGTGTAATATTTGTCATGGGGTTCCTGCTTCGGAAGCATGGAGTGTCATGGGGATCTTGAAGGAAGAGAACAAAGGATTGAAGGAGCGACTTGGAGAGTTGGAGAACGTGATTGATGATTGTCTCTGTCTTGTTGGGCCCTGACAGTTTGGTATGCTTGCTCTACGTTGACCGAAGCGTACGGATACCAGGAAGCACGGCCTTTATTGGGAGGGAACGGTGAAATATGACCGTTATACAGTGATACCTTGAGATACCTAGATAGAGTACTTTTTGAGAGAGATACTTTTTTGTTAGAATTATCGAATACCCTACCCATTCAGTCAAGTAAATGGTTGTTTCCAGCTTATAGTGCTGCATCGTGGTCATTATTGTTCTTGTAGGGGCGGAGGAAAGCGACCAAGTGGCCTCAACGGGTTAGCGTGGCTGGGTGGGCGCAAAGTGGCCAGCGAGGCGACTCTCGATCGCACCCGCAATCCCCGTCGACCTCATCGCTTCCTCCCTTTCTCCTCCATCCTCTCTCTCTTCCGTCGTCTTTTCTTCTTCTCCTTCTCCTTTTGTACTTCCCCTCCATTCCTTCAGCTGGTTCTCGCCTCCAGCTTTCCTTTCTTTCTTTCCCTCCCCTTTTATTCGAGTAATCCTGCAGCTCTGGGAGGTGCAACAGTCACAATGAGCGGACGTGAGTCTTGCACGCGATCGCTGCCATCTCCGCGACAGCGTTCCATCCTTTACCTCAATGGATCAGCAAATGCTGATACTCGATTCTAGTCCGGTTTCTCGATCTCATCAAGCCCTTCACGCCCCTCCTCCCGGAGGTGGCCGCCCCGGAAACCAAGGTTCCCTTCAACCAGAAGTTGATGTGGACGGGGGTACGTGATACTTGTCCAGCTCGACATGAGCTTCTAAGCTAATGGATTACCCCTGCAGTTGACCCTATTGATCTTCCTGGTCATGAGCCAGATGCCCTTGTACGGAATTGTCTCCTCTGACACCTCCGACCCTCTGTACTGGCTCCGTATGATGTTGGCCAGTAACCGGGGTACCCTGATGGAACTGGGTATCACCCCCATCATCTCCTCTGGCATGGTTTTCCAGGTATGTAATGGGGAAATTGCAATCTGATCACGGATATCGGGCATTTGCTAATATGTGGCTTTTGTCTGATAGCTTCTCGCTGGTACCCACCTCATCGATGTCAACCTGGACCTGAAGACCGACCGTGAACTGTATCAGACCGCTCAGAAGCTCTTCGCTATCATCCTGTCCTTCGGTCAGGCCTGCGTCTACGTCCTCACTGGTCTTTACGGCCAGCCCAGTGACCTTGGTGCCGGTATCTGTGTTCTGCTGATTGTTCAGCTGGTCGTTGCTGGCTTGGTTGTCATCCTGCTGGATGAGCTGCTCCAGAAGGGCTATGGTCTTGGTAGCGGTATCTCTCTGTTCATCGCGACCAACATCTGCGAGTCGATCGTCTGGAAGGCTTTCTCTCCTACGACCATCAACACTGGCCGTGGTCCCGAGTTTGAGGGTGCCATCATTGCCCTCTTCCACCTTCTGTTGACCTGGTCCGACAAGCAGCGCGCTCTCCGCGAGGCTTTCTACCGCCAGAACCTCCCCAACATCATGAACCTGCTGGCTACTCTCCTCGTTTTCGCCGCTGTGATCTACCTCCAGGGCTTCCGTGTTGAGATCCCTGTCAAGTCCTCCCGCCAGCGTGGCATGCGTGGTTCCTACCCTGTTCGCCTGTTCTACACCTCCAACATGCCCATCATGCTTCAGTCTGCTCTGTGCTCCAACATCTTCCTCATCAGTCAGATGCTGTACTCTCGCTTCTCTGACAACCTCCTTGTCAAGCTTCTCGGTGTTTGGGAGCCTCGTGAGGGTTCTGCCCAGCTCCACGCCGCCTCCGGCATTGCCTACTACATGTCTCCTCCCCTGAACTTCAAGGAGGCCCTTCTTGACCCCATTCACACCGCCGTTTACATCACCTTCATGCTGGTTGCTTGTGCTCTCTTCTCCAAGACCTGGATTGAGGTTTCCGGCTCTGCTCCCCGCGATGTTGCCAAGCAGCTCAAGGACCAGGGTCTCGTGATGGCTGGTCACCGTGAGCAGAGCATGTACAAGGAGCTCAAGCGCGTCATCCCTACTGCTGCTGCTTTCGGTGGTGCCTGCATTGGTGCCCTGTCCGTCGCTTCTGACCTGCTTGGTGCTCTTGGCAGCGGTACTGGTATCCTCCTTGCCGTTACGTAAGTCTTCACTTTGGTCTCAGATTTTCTGAAGTGGATACTAACATTCAAATGCAGGATTATATACGGATACTTTGAAATTGCCGCCCGTGAGGGCGACATTGGATCGGGCCTCAAGGGCCTTGTTCCGGGTAACTAGATAAGGCCCCCTTTTTGATGAAAGCATGAGAAGAAGTTTGAGGGCTTATGTTTGTTCTTGCAACTTTCTGTTTCTTCTCAGGTAGTGTGCTGTTGTGGCTGGGATCTGGATTATTTAGTTTCTTGATGGATGTATGGCTAGTTTTAACAATTTGCAGGAGGGGAAGATCTTCTCTACGGAGATACGTCCACGCCACAGCTGTACATAGCACCTACCTGGTTTGTAACCATATTGACAAAAGATCTAAAATTAACTTAATTGGCTTGACCATCTCGGGTGTCTTTCTACTCCAACTGCAAGGGGTGTCTGATAAATCTCTATACTAGGTAACAATTGCGGGTATATACCGAAACCACACTTATACAATCAATGTGCAGTGTAAGCACTGCACATTGGTATTTCCTTTCCCCTCATCTAAGTCCGATAATCACCATTAATAGTCACATACTCGTGACTGAAGTCACAGAACCAATAAATCGCCTCCTCCCCACCAAGACCCTTCTCACCCTTCTCACCACCCCCAAGGTCAACCACAATCTCCAAATCTTCCTCCTGCAGAATAACCGCCGCGCGATCCTCATCCACCTGCTCCGGCTCGCCGTTCACCAACAACTTCAACTCTGCGCTACCATCCACAGGCTTGAAGCTAACACTAGTCCGTTCCGGCACCACCGTCCCCTCTGCAACGCCCTGCGTGTAGCCAATCGCGCACAGAATCCGGCCCCAGTTCGCGTCCTTTCCGTACAAAGCAGTCTTGACAAGCGGGGACCGCGCGATCGTCGATGCGATCAGTCGGGCGGACTCGTAGTCGGGGGAGTTCTGCACACGGACCGTTACGAACTTAGTGGCGCCTTCACCGTCCCGGACAACGAGTTGCGAGAGAGATTGCGCGAATGAGGTCAGGACATTCTGCATGGCCGTGTAGTCTGCGGACGAGGTCGAGGTAATGGGTGCGCCACCGGCTGCGCCGTTGGCCAGGATGGCGATGGTGTCATTTGTGCTGGTGTCGCCGTCTACGGAGATGGAGTTGAAGGAGCGGGATACAGCGTGCTTGAGGAGCGGTTGGAGGGCTGAGGAGGCAATGGGCGCATCGGTGCAGAGGACTCCCAGGAGGGTGGCCATGTTCGGGTGGATCATGCCGGCACCTTTGGTCATTCCGGCGAGCCGGTACGTGCGGTTGGGGGATGAGGGGAGAGTGAACGTCTGGGAGAGGAGCTTGGGGAAGGTGTCTGTTGTGCAGATAGCGCGGGCAGTCGTGAGCCAGGAATCGTGGGTGGAGGAGAGGGTCGAGTGCGCAGTGGGGATTTTGTCGAGGATCTTGGAGATGGGGAGGCTGTTGTGAGGGTTGGGTTGTTAGTGATGAGCTGCTGGTGGGAGAACTGGGAATAGCGAAAGGGTCGTTACCGTTGACCGATGACACCAGTGCTCATGACGAGAGTGCTGGGCTGGGCGAGGCCATTGCACTCGTCGACTTTGGCGCCCATGCTCACGGCATCCTCGAGGCCGCCTTTACCTGTCACGGCGTTGGCGCAGCCCGAGTTAATTACCACGGACCGGATGCCTTCGCCTTGAGTAGCCTTCAGAGTATTCTTGCTTGCTTGGACCGGGGCGGCTTGGAACTTGTTGGTGGTGAAGACGGCGGCGGCGGAGCAGGGCGTCTCGGAGGAGATGAGGGCCAGGTCCGGGAACCTGGTGTTCGACGCCTTCACGCCGACGTGGGTTCCGGAGACGGAGAAGCCCTTGGGGTAGGTACCGGAGGCAGGGATATACTTCTGCTTGGAGGCGGGAATGGCCATATCCAAGGGCGCAGAGTAGTAACGCACTTGGCCCTTCACCATGCGGGCGAAGGTAGCCATGGTGGTAGTGGCCGCCGAGTGGGTAGGCAAAGCCATTGGGATTCCTTTTTCCTGGGGCAGATGAGCAGAGGTCAGTAAACCTGCTCCCTGCAATTAGAGGTATTTATATTGGGAAATCCAATGGGTGTGGATGCCTTCCTTAGGGCTGCAGAGACGTCTTTGGGTATATATACCTGCAGGGAGAGAGGATCGGAGATAAATAGAAGTAGATAAATGACTCACCGAATTGACTCGCTCGACTTGTCAGGAACTCACAACCGCAGCTAAATCCTATCGGGCAAAGTGGACGTGTAGACCACTGCCATGCAACCAAGTGAGCAGTCCCAATGGAGGATATAAGAATAGGACAAGCCCAAAGCACCGGAAACAGGAAAGGTGAAGTGATGCGATTCGCGGCGATGAAATGCCGCTCCGATATCGCGGAATCGGAGAAACCGTCGGGCCTGCCATTGATTGATTTGCTGCGCGTTCCAGACGCGCCCATCGCAAGGCAAAAAAGTAGCCACGAGGGAGCCGACCAGATCTATCAGCGATCAGCATTCCCAGCAAGCGCGCCCATCCCTCGCGTCCTCTGTTGTGCTCGTCGTCCCTTCTGGACCTCCAGAAGAGCTTTGTTGTGCCCCGGATGGTATTTGCTCTCCGCCATTCCCCCGAAGCTGCTTCGATAACCTCCCCGGACCCATTGACTAAAATGAAACGCAAGCATCCAGAATCCGATGATCAATTCCCTATCTCTACGCCCAAGAGGCAGAGGACTACGGCTACCAATGGCACCGTAAATGGGCATACCAACGGTGAACGTGAACGAACCCCCGAAGCCACCACCACCCCTACGAAACGAGTGAAATCGACACCTCAAAAAGCCCAGGCCGACAACACACCGGCAGCTCTTAAAGCTTCAGGGCTGAAGACTCCAACACAGAAGGCCAAAGCGAAGAACCTGTTTTCAACGCCCACGAAAAAGTCAACTGTTGCAACCCCGTCGAAAGCCCGTGCCGACCGGTCCGCTAAGAAGAAGAGCGCTCGTCTTCTCCTTGAACAGGATGACGAGGAGATATGGGACGGTGCTGATCGTCTTGCGGAGGAGATCCTACAGGATGATACCAACGAGGCCCCTGACAAAATATCAGTGACAGGGAACGGTGTATTAGAATCCATCGAGGAGGAGTCTACTCAACCAGCCGCAAAAGATGCGGCAGAAGCAGCACCCACACCCAAACGTCGTGCAGGACGACCAAAGGGCGCAAAGAACAAGCGTTCTCCCACACCAGAAGGAGAACTCCCAGCCCATGAGCGATACTTTTTCCAAAACCGCGCCGGACCACCCCGTACTTCGAACAACAACCTAGGCAAAGTAAACCTCTTAACGCACGAGGAGTACTTCGAAAGGATGTCACAATACGCAGACCCATACAAACAAGAGAAGTCTTTCCTTCTCGACCTCCACTGCCGGTCCTTCCCTCAGTGGGACTTCGAGTTCGACCAAGGCTTCAATATTTGCCTCTACGGCTACGGCTCCAAGCGCCGCCTTCTCCAAGAATTCGCAGACTGGCTCTACCACCGCCATCACAGCAGTTCCGCCTCGAGCTCCGTAGTCATCGTCAATGGACACACGCCCAACATCTCCATCCGTTCCATCTTCGCCACGATCGTCACCGCCGTCCTGGGCGCCGATATCCCTTCCAAGATGGGCTCTCAACCCCAAGAAGTCCTCGAATTGCTCCAGTCCGTATTAAAGTCCCGATCCTCTCAGAAACCAATTACCGTTCTCATCAACTCAATCGATGCCCCTGCCCTACGGAGAGCGGCGAACCAAGCCCTCCTTGCCCGTTTAGCAGCTACGCCGAAGATTCATCTTCTCGCGACGGCGGATACCCCGAATCTATTGTTGATGTGGGATCTCAGCCTGCGTGACCAGTTCAACTTCGTCTTCCACGACTGTACAACCTTCGCGCCGTTTGATACCGAGTTCGATGTTGTTGAGGAGGTCAGCACTTTGCTGGGAAGAAAGGGTCGCCGTGTCGGTGGTAAGGAGGGTGTCGAATTCGTGTTGAAGAGTCTTCCTGAGAACGCAAGGAACCTGTATCGGTTACTTCTTACGGAGCTGCTCTCTATGGCTGATGAGGGACATATATCGGATGATGACGTGGATGGTGGTGTTAATGGGGGAGGGGACAGCAGCAACGGCCGAGGAGATGAAACGGGCATTGAGTTCCGGATGCTGTATCAGAAAGCGGCGGAGGAGTTCATTGCCTCGTCGGAGATGATGTTCCGGACATTGTTGAAGGAGTTTCATGATCATCAAATGATTACTTCGCGGATGGATACCAGTGGCATGGAAATTTTGGGAGTGCCATTGGCACGTGACGAGATGGAGGGTGTTTTGGAAGATCTGGTATTGAGTTGATTGTTGACTGACAGAAAGATAGATTGATAGATAGTATAGGATAGGATAGGATAGTATAGCGCCTTGCACGGCATGGCATAAATCCATGATACCCTGTATAACACAGTATAATTATGCCAGCAATTGAAGAATAGTAAGCCCGGTGTTTTTTCATTCGCTAGACAAGATACATAGACTCTTCTTCGGGATATGATACCACCATATCAGATCGTATTGTATATCTCAGCTTAGCTCGCCTAAAACTGCGCAAACGCAGCCAACCCCATCGTAGCCCCAAAACTGATCTTGAAGGGAATATGATGCGACACTGTCTTTTGCAGATCCACCCGCTTGAAGTACTTCTGCAGAGTGTTGACCGGAAGCAAATTGTATCCTCTTGCCGCAGCCCACTACAATGATATCAGTATTAGCCACAATCCCCATTTAACCAACCAAAACAAAAATGGGAAGGAAGTAAGGGATCAATCAAACCCACCTCAACAGCAACAATCCCCATCCCCAAAAGCACCACTAACACTCTTGAAAAGGCCCTCAACCCCACACCCACAACCAGCCCCAGCACGCTCCCCAGACTCACCTGGCGCATGTTCGAGGCTGTCAGAATCCCACCGCCTGTAGTATGGTGTGAATTTCTGGTGGTGCCTTGTTTGCGCAGCAACGGATCCTGAGCGTCCATGGCCCAGCCGGAGTCCGGGGAGGTCTGGGATTCGGGGCGGTAGTAGGGGGCGGTGTATTGGCATTGCATTGGGGGTGCGCGGAAGGGGGAGAGTGGGTAGAGGGAGAGGGAGAGGCCGACACCGAGGCCGGTGCCTAGAAGAGTGGTGGTTGTGCGGCTGAGGAGGAAGGCCATTGTTGGTTGCGACAATGTGGTTGCGATGGATAGGATAGGAGGGACTTGCTTGGGAGAGGGTATGGTGAGACAATTGAGCGCAATTGATATTTGATTGTCGGTAACGGGATGGGCGGGAGGAATGGATTATAGGAATGAGATGGGATGAGGAGGACCTGAAGGGTGCTGCAGGTTATGGTTATGGCTGTGGTCTCAGCTGTCTTGAGTTGCGCCGTTGGTATGCGTACGGTGACGTCACGGGGATTAGCCTAGAGAGGGTACCCCGTTCTAAGTAATTTGTGGTAGAAGAAGCTTGGGAAGGAAGGATATATGATATGAAGAGAAGCAGGAGGTATTCGTTCAGAATAGAACGTATAAATCGATCGACTGCTGCAGTCAATGGCTGTGGACAGAGAGAAGATGTTGAGGTTGGCAGAAGGATGAGGAGAAGGAAGCAAGCAATGGAAGCACGCAAGCAAGCAAGCATGCCTCGGATAGGAAAGATGATTGGAGATGAGGACTGCGGTTAACATTAATGCCTGAGGCAGACAGGAATAGTTGACGAGGAATACGACGGTGACCATACACACGACCTGCATGACCAGACGTGACCAGCATTACGATACGCCAAGGTGGAAAACCGCGGGAAATCCAGAAGGCCACGTATCACGTGACGAACTCTATAGGCAGCGAGGGAGGGACGGGCGGGCGGTGATTGGCTGCCACGGCCGCCCTGCGAACGACGGCAGGAAAAAGTCGGCCGCCGCGGGGAAAAAATCGAGGGGTAGAAAGCAGGAACCGGCACTGGTTGGTCCAGACGCTGCTGGTCGTCCCCGCGGAGGCGACCGGGCGGCGTTACTGATAGTTCAGTACGGAGTACTTAGTAGTAGTAGTTTCTCGTCGACCGTTGACTCACTCCTGCCTTTTCTTTCTCTCGATATTCTCCTCCTTCTTTCTTATCCTACTCGCTTCCTCTCCATTCTCTAGGGTGCCTACATTCCTTCTGGATTTCTTTTCTCGTACATACTCTTGGTCTTCATCCCATTGAATCTTTCTTCCCTCCACAATGGCTTCCCAGCAGAATGGCGATTCCAACGGCACTGCCAACACCTTCACTCTGAAGGCCGGTTTGGCTCAGATGTTGAAGGGTGGCGTGATCATGGATGTTGTCAATGCGGAACAGGTATGCCTCTACATGGGATACCTAAGCTCAATTTGAGTCAGTCATTGCTAACGTTTGAATGTCAACAGGCTCGCATTGCTGAAGAGGCCGGTGCTGCCGCTGTCATGGCCCTCGAGCGTGTCCCCGCCGACATTAGAGCAACGGGTGGCGTGGCTCGCATGTCCGATCCCGGCATGATCAAGGAGATCCAGAAGGCCGTCACCATCCCCGTTATGGCCAAGGCTCGTATTGGACACTTCGTTGAGTGCCAGGTAAGCTACAGTCAACAATTCTCTCTCACGGCTGTCCGTTTCGCCACAGACTAACACACCGTCCACTAGATCCTCGAAGCCATTGGCGTCGACTACATTGACGAGTCGGAAGTCCTGACCCCCGCCGACGACGTCTACCACGTTACCAAGCACAACTTCAAGGTTCCCTTCGTCTGTGGCTGCCGCAACTTGGGTGAGGCTCTTCGCCGTATCTCTGAGGGCGCTGCCATGATTCGCACCAAGGGTGAGGCCGGTACCGGAGACGTCGTGGAAGCTGTCAAGCACATCCGCCAGGTCAGCTCGGACATTGCCCGTGCCCGTGCCATCTATCAGTCCTCTGCCGACTACGAGCCCGAGCTGCGCCAGTTTGCCCGTCAGCTGGAGGTTCCCTATGAGTTGCTCCGTGAGACGGCCGAGAAGGGTCGTCTGCCCGTGGTGAACTTTGCTGCTGGTGGCGTTGCCACCCCTGCCGATGCGGCGCTCATGATGCAGCTGGGCTGCGATGGTGTGTTTGTTGGTTCCGGTATCTTCAAGTCTGGCGATGCGAAGAAGCGCGCCAAGGCCATCGTGCAGGCCGTCACCCACTTCCGCGACCCCAAGGTTCTGGCCGAGGTGAGCGAGGGTCTGGGTGAGGCCATGGTGGGCATCAACGTGGCGCAGATGTCCGAGGCCGACAAGCTCGCCAAGCGGGGATGGTAAGCGAGGATCATTCTAGAGGCTTAATTTCATCGCGGGCGTTGGAAAAGCTGGTCTACTGTGTTTTTGTACACTTGTGTTGCATTTGCTGCCGTCGAGGCGATTTGTCTTAGTACATTGTTGATATGAGCCATGAGCACATGATCTACTATCCTTTGAGTAATAGAAATGCAGTGGTTAGAGGGAGTTTTTATTTTAGACTTTCTCACTTTCGGGTTCCTTGGCGCACTTCAGCGTTCCACAGTAGATTGATCGTCTGACCTGACTATAGCCAGCCAATTATCTCACACATCTTTAAGGAAAAAGGGCATCTGATATAATCATCTCGAACACGTACCTTGGAGACGATCATAATCATAACAAAGGAGCTACCGGAGCAACAGCTCAACTCCGTCTTCCAGGCTAGCGACGGCCCGGAAGGCGCCCTCGGCTTGCCGCCGATCCGCCGATAAAAGCGCGCAAAGACCCATCCCCCCGGTGAACAATTGACTCACCTTCGTGTTCGAACCCCAAAAGCACGCCGAGAAGATTCCACTATCTTTTGTTGAGTTGAGGACAGGGGACCCATCGCGCCCTCTCTTGAGTCTTTGACTGACATTGATTATTCAAATGATCCGCCGAGCCAACGCCGATGAAAGTCTAGGCAAGAAAATTACTTCGATTACCATACCTAACATAGCACCTTACAGACGGGTAATCTGCATTGACAGCTCTTACTATACCGCTAGTTAGTAATACGGCTACTTACTCCGTAAACGCAATGCCATATCAACCAAATTTCGGTCATGTGCCTTCCGGCTTGGAGGAATCACTTTGTAAAAGTGCTGTATGGCTGCAACTAGGGCCAACTACTAAAACCCCCCAAGACTGCCTCCCTAGGCATCTTCGAGACTAGTACTAAGTTCCTCAGGCCGCCACTTCCTTCTATCCTACCTCCTACCAAGTATGGAAGGCACAAAGTACTACAGCATAGCATGAACTAGTAGTAGAGAGTAGAGCTTATACTCTACACGATCCTTCCACTTCTTAACTTTCATTCTGGTCACTCTCTATGCATGATAATCCACTGCTATACACGCTCACTTATTCGGCTGATCACTCAATTAGCACCGTCCCTGCGCCGCTCTCTCTATACACCAATACAAATAAAATAGCCTTTAACGTCTTCTAGTATACGATGAATCTCGCCGTAATTCCCATGATCCCCATCACGCTCACCGCTCTAATTGGGATCATCACTATTCCTATACTTTTCCTAGCTTCAATCCCCATTGCATTATTCGTCTTCGGCACGGCCATATGCGGGTGTATCGCCGTTGTCGTATTTGGCCTCTTCTCGATGTTCGTCATCAGCCCCGTGCTCCTGGTGGTCGCGGCTATAGTGTGGACCTGCGTGATCGCCTATAGGTCGTGCAAATTAGTGTTTGTGATTATATTTGGGCTCGTCGTCGATAGGTTGTGGCCTCCCGGGCCTTTGCCAGATAGATTGGGCTAATGTCAGGGCAGTCTTGGATGAGTTTACTACCAGGAGGCGTTGTGAAGAGGGAGGGGATTCACAGGAAAAGGATTGCTGATTGCTGGAAGGACCATAGAGGGATTGAGTATGGACATGGTGGGTTTGTATCACGGTTACTACTAGCGATGGAGTTGTGATGGAGTTTATCGTGTTTTTGTACTAGATAGTTTACGGGAATCGTTTACCCTCCATCTCAAATCATTCAAGATCCATTTTTCTGTTCTTTTCTTTCTCTTCCCACACACAACTTGCACTCATTTACCGCTTCAGAGCCATAAGTGTTTCAAAGTTCATCATCGAGTCAATTCTTTACATCATCATGGAAAGCAATCCCGTCTCCTCGAATACCACACAGTCACCCTCATGCTGCTCCGTCTTCATTATCAAACATCCACACCAAAGACAAAAATAATAAAATGTCTCTCACTATCCCAAATCAGTCAAGAGAGGTTTTCTTAAATGCATCCACACTACCAGTCAGTCACAACCCCTTCATCTCAGACTACAAAATGAGAAACTAAGCTGATCGGTGTCTTTCCTACTGAACTTAACGTCCCAGGGCCCTGTACTCCTGGCGAGTCTCTACGGGATACCAATGATAATCATTGTTCTTGGGGTTATTTCCGGTATCGGCCACGCACTAGCCGCTTTCTCAACACATGCCATGGATATAGTTGTTTATGCCTGGTTGTGGTTCATGATGAGTATGCTGATCATGTTCGGTAACTTCTCAGTACTACTAGAGAGGTTCCGGAGACTTGGGAGATGATTGAATGTCGGTGAATTAGTTCGGACTACAACAGATGGTGTAGGGAAAGGTTATTGTTGTTGTTATTCTTATCATTGTTATGCTATCCAACAGGCTTTGGCTAAAGTAGTAATCGAGACGTTCGCAGGACATTCCTAACGGATAATAGTAGTGTCAATTGTTTGAACAGCTAATGCGTTTCCGCCCATTTCACCCATCGACGAATACAATCGTCCACCCGTTTCAGGGATGTCTTCTCCGCCGTGATCTCAAACCACTCACGATGCTCCCGTCCGCAGTCCGCACATTTCCCTAGGTCGCGGATCCGTACGTCCGCTAGCTCCAGATGGATGAGCCGTTCCACACGGTGGACATGGGGCACTTTGCGTCCCGGGACAAGAGTTGCCGTACTATCATCACCGCCGCCACCGCGTCGAGATGGCGATGGTTGCGGGGTGGAGGGTGTGTAAGGGTAGTATCGGATCAAGGTGAGATGATGGCTGCATTGTCGGCTCCACTCGTTGAGTCGTCGCTGCACGTTGTTGGCCCGTCCAATCTTTAATCGGAGCGTGCCGGGGCTGTCATGAGTTGGTGCAGATGCTAAGGCATTGAGATCACGGGCGGTCCGAATGGCATCGCTTACGCGGCGGTCACGACCTGGGGAGGAGGTCGGCGGCATGAGGTTCGAGGCTACCTCTGAAGAAGGTGGTTCTCTGGACTCAGATGTCGACGGTGTCATCCAAAACATGTAGATGTAGCCTGGCTCGTCGGCTTCCGAAATAGGCTTGGCCAGCTCTGCGGTGAGGTTGGAGGTCGTCTCCGGCGTAAGGCCAGACGGAATCCAAGAAAGAATGTCGTCATCAGTTCCTGAAGAGGAAGAGCCTGGTTTACTGGGCCGAACAGGCACCTGGTGAGGAGACAGGGATGGGGTTGGCGATGACAGCTTCCCAGCGGGCGCTTGTTGCATCTCCGTTGGAGCATTGACCGGCCGCGACGGCCGGATGTCTTCCTCCTCGATGACCTCGAAGCAGCAGCATATAGTCCGTCTGGTCCGCTTCTTTGGTGCTGGTTTCCGCTGTTTGCGACGCTTGTCTGAAGTCCCTGCGTCGTTAAGATCCATCAACCCTAACCGCTCCATTAGAGTGTCGATACTGCCACGAGGCTTCAACCGCGAAGGATAGGGCCCGCTGTTCACCTGCGAAACAGGCACTGCCTGATCTTTGTGCTGCCAGCAGTACATTGCAGAGAGGTCTGTTTGTTGTGGCTTTGAAGCCGGTGTATCTGATGGCGATGGAGACGCCAGAGCACGGCGACATGGCCGCCCGTTGGAGGTAACTCCGCGACAAGTTGTGGCCGGATCAAGCGAGTCTGTGCGACCCAATACGGCTTCTGGCGTATTTGCAATGTGAGGCATGGTGGGAGGTTATGCAGCGCTTCAGCAAAGAGCAAATAGTGTGGAATAAGCGTGGGAAAGAACAGGCAAGAAAGAGCGCGGCAATATCACCAGGCCTGTTTAGAAGCAGACCAGCGACAGAATTCCGAGGTTGAAGGGCTTTATTTGCTCATGGGCTAAGGGGGCAGAGACCCACATCGCGTTATATTAACAGCCGATCAACCTAAATTAGCATCTGGCGAAAAATCGAGGCGACACCTGAAACCGATGCCCCATAGGGAGTAAAGTGTCGTGCTGCCCCTTACTTTGTAGGGCCAAGCATGCACCGCCTCTGTGGCTGAGGTAAAACGAGGCGCACAGGCCAGTTTGGCCGACTGCCAGGTCATCGTGTCTGCGCAACTTGCATCAGTTCCACGGCCATGATCCTATGGGGGCTTCACACATGCGTACACATGAGCAGCGCTTGTTGTCGTTCAGGGTGGCGACTCACTGCATCATTCCCTTTACAGCCTCACTTTGGACTTATAGTATAAGCATCCTTGTTTTTTTCTTATATCTTTTTTACTCTGGTTGATCCAATGCTAGCGACTTGACTGTATTCCACTCCTGTCCCCATCCTGTTCCAAACCGCAGCCGGATAACTTTATTATCTACCCAACGTAGTCGAAACTCACTCCCCGACATTTGACCCAGAACGTGCGCGTCAACTGACTGGTTTGCGCTCTGGCACCCCTTGCCGCTAGCAGTGACGCAAGGAAGCGTTGCCTGTCCTCGGGCGACGTAGACGCACCTTGATGTTGGTTGGAAGTGCCATTGCTACCTAGATCGTCCAGCGCCGCGGCGAGGTGGGGGCGCGCAGCCCCTTGTTGTTTGAAGATGAGCTTTCGAAGCACCTCACAGAGATGCTCTAGGTCCGACCGCGCGCATCGCCCGGCCACTTGACTGATCAGGATACGACAAAGAGCTGGAAGACACTGCATGATGGCAGTCTGGATAGACCCACCGTCGCTCGGAAGCGTCAGCACGTTGACCCAGAACTGCGAGGCGGAGCGGAGCGGAAGTGGTTCAGGCCCTCGCAATGACAGGAGAGTGAAATTCAAGACAGCTTCAAGGACTGACGGCCGTGCAAGGTCACCCCCATTGGATGAAGGAGCCTGGCTGGCTTCTTGGGGCGGCGTCGTGAGCGCAAATAAGAAAGGGTGATATTTGGGGAGCAAGCGTGTGAGGAAGTCGATGCCGCTATTGGCGACTTCGGGGTCATAGTACTCAGGCTTTTCATGCATCCAACAGAAAGTGTCATACACGTGCACTATCAGCGCAACCGTTTCGTCACGGATTCGCTGACAATGTGAGCTATGAGATGCAAGGAAAGATGAAGCCGTACCCATCACTATGTCAGTACCAACACTACCTAGAGGTATGCTCTTGACGAAGTTGACAGTTACCATTGGTGGGAAGACATATGGCCCTGTATTTTCAATATAACCAGCCTTCAAGATGTCGCATGCGGCTTCGATCATGGTCACATCGACAGGGAAATCAGTGATGAGCAGCTGCATGCATTGCATGATCAGGCTCTGAGACACGGCGCCACTTCCCGTATTCCAGAATGTTGGCGGGTAGGGGTCACCATCTCCATGATCGTTCGACTCCAGGTTCACCTCACCGTCGGTTCTTAGGCCTTTGCCAATACTTGCGACGCAGCGCAGCACAAACTGACCACGGGTCTGAGCCTGCTCCACTAAACCGCTAACCGCCTCATCACGGGCCGCCTCTGCCTGCCCATGGAAAAATTGGAGAATCCGTTCAATGACTTGTGACTTTGCTTCATCCGTAGGCAACGTTTGGATGATGGCAGCGATTCCTTCCAACACCTTTTCCATGGTATGAGTAGTAGCCGTGGGTTTGAAGCGGAAATGCTCGAACTGGTCAATGAAGGCTGGCAGCTCTGAGGTGAGAGCATTACGGCATGATTTACAAAGATATGCGATCGATTTGGATGCTGTTGGCGCACACGAGCTAACATCGAGAGATGCGAAAAGAAACGTAAGGACGCGAGGTAGCAAGGCATGCGTGCGTTCAAAGTACGACTGATACTTTCCCAGCATGTCCACTAACGTCTGACGTGGTTTGTCTGGGATTAGCACTCCATTTCCTTCGCACAGGCGAGCAAAGTCATCACAGAAGAAGATCGAATTGAGACACTCGTCAGCGTGTTGGTTTTCATCGACAGCCTCCGAAAGCTGAGCAATGCAGAATATCGCAGCCTCAAACGTGCGCCATTCCTGCTGTACCAGTGATACTCTTGCTCGCTCTTGAAAGACCCGGACAAGCTCCACCCCCAACATTGGGTAGATGGCTAGGAGGAAGTCGCACACATCGCGCCGAAATGAACCGAACTCACTACGGTCATCATCGCCCCAGCCTTGCAGCACTTCTGGGCTAGGGAACTTCAGCTTTTCAAAGCAGTCCAAAGCCGCTTCGGCCAAATTCCTTTTAGCAGGCTCAAGACTCGTTTGATCTTCCAGGTCCGAATATAAGTCCTGGAGGTCGTCGGCAACTTCTGTCCACCACTCTAGAACAAGCGGCGAGGCCGGATCGTCCACCGCTGCATAGCCAGGAGCCCTGAACAGCGTGTGCAAAAGAGTAAGCATTTTAGCATGCTGTGGGTCTAATTGCTTTGTCATAAGATCTCTCTGCTTCAACGTCGCATAAGCCAAGAGAAGATCCAAGAACGTCATATTCTCGTCCTCAAAATCGGCCTCCATAAGTGACGCGACGTGCGCAGTCCCAAAATCACTGACAACATACTCCATAATTGCAGTGAGATGATCCTGGGTGAAGATACTGTCACGCCAGTCTATCAGCTCGACCACAACCTGTGTTGCGGATTTCGCAAGTCCAGGTACTTTCATGCTCTGAATTATGTAAGCCGTCGTAGAGGCCAGGTCCAAGACAGACAACGAGTCACGCAATTGGATTGCGCTCCGTACATTCATCCACGCCTGGGATGTAGTCAGATATAAGGTGCAACTGAGAAGCTAATAAAGTTTGGAAAACAAAACCTACTTGATATGAGTTGATAGCTTCTGTGCCCAGGGCCTCATCTGATGCCGGAATCCCAGAGGCGTGCTGCCGCATAATATGAGAAAGAACATAGTCAACGACAGAAAAAGCGTCCTTGACATTTACGTATGTATGGTGTTCCTCTCGGCTTCGTCTTGGTTCTGAACTCCATCTGTGAATCTCCTCGGCGAGAATGTTGGAGAAATAGAGCAATGAGGTCACATGACGCTCGGACATAGCAGGGAGCACTGCATTCCTCAAATCGATGGACTTGCAGTACTCCTCTGAGACATGTTTCCCGTCTGCCAGTGATGCTGCCAGGTTACAGAGTGCTCTTGACCAGGGAGCGTTGGGTTTCAGGAATATGGTTGCGAGGCTTGAAGCCAACTTCCGTATGACCAAGGGTCGCTCGCCTCCATTGACGAGAAAGACATAATGATCTATCAGCCGTCCTAGAAGCTCTTGGGCCTCCTCAGGGCTTAGACTTTGCCTGAATGAGTCGTCTGTCAGCCACGGCCACTGGCGGAAATCGGGGCTCGTAAGGAACGAACCAATCATGATTAATCTTGACCGTGAACGTCAAAGCACCAAAGAACCTTAAGTCCGTGCTGCTCTCACTTAGAAGCTGATTAGCAATGAGCCATGCTTGGGGGCTTTTTTGAAGACTCTGTAGGTGCTCTTGGATGGCTTTGATCTTGGCGGGGTTCCCAGTATTCCCCGGATCATAGAGTTGGGACACGAGCTAGAGATAACGATGCCTTAGTGGTTATTCGATTCATCAACAAGCAGCAAGCGTACCGATTTTGCCTCATTGATGAGGAATTGCGCATCTAGGGCTTGGCCTGGGATGTCCACAGACATGGCCGAAACAATGAGGGCCTTGTTTAGGCTGGGGAACTGTCACTGGCGCGATATAGATTGGTGAGAGATGGTGAAAGGGGTGTCACGTGTTGATAATGCTATCACGGAAGTAGTAGGCGGTGAGTTAAAGAGGAAGGTGGGATGCGAATGGATGATGGGTCAGAGTGAGACAGCAACGAGAAGAAGGGACACCAGAGCTATACGGTAGTGGGTTGGTGTAAATAACACCCAGATCAAAAAATGATGAGGGCAACAGCTTGGTTCACACTGGTGAATTGGGTTAGCACCAGTTAGTGTAGTCATTCACTTATATCAACTGTAGTGTGGTGTCATAGCTTCACCACCACATCCGGCTGATCATGCAGCGACTGGAATAAAAAAAGAACCCCCAACAGACAAAGCTGCTTTTAGACGAGTAAGGTCAGCAACAGACCGAACGACATGTAGGGATAGTCATCTCGTGTGGATTAATTATGACTGACTCTCTGATATATCAACTATTCCCCAGTTACCAGGTTTCCAGGTGTGTTGAGGCCTAATAACCCAGCCAGCTACTCGACCTATCACCGGTATCTATCTACCCGACCGGAATGAACGGCGAGATAAAATGACGGTAACGACTGGTAACTTCCGTCTCCTTACCAGCCGTGGCAATAATTACTTACTACTCAGTACGTACTAGAAATTCCGTCCCACCGCCCACCAAACCGGAGCTCCAACGGAGAGCTCTTGGAAATTACCCACTTCCGCGTCTCTCCCACGTCTCAATGCTCGGCTACTGCTGCTGCTAGTCTACTTAGTAGTGCTACTTGTGCTTATCGTTCTTCTAAGTCGTTTGCTTTCTCCACGTCTAAACTTTTCCAGCTTCAATCTTACCTGCGCACACGACCTCCCTATCGGAAATTCCAGCTATAACTAGCTTGGTGCCCCTCCCCACCTTTCCTCCGCCTCCCCCTCTACCTTGGCCCTTGCTTGCTCCGTGCAACCTTGAGAGCTGTGTTCTTGGAGTCTTTGGATCCAGGGCCACCTTCTGCTCGGACACCTGCAGCTTCTTCTTGCACATCCTTGCCAGTCGATGCTCTTTTCTCACCCTCCAATTCGCCTTGCTTGGACTTCAGCTTTCCAATCGGCTCGCAAGTTACCCCTGCCCCGTTCAAGGCTCTTCTCCAGCTCCGCCCCGCGCTTCATCATCAATATGGAGACTGTGGACACGTCGGAACGCCTGACCAGGTTAAGGCAGTTGATGCAGGAGCGTAAAGTGGATGTTTACAGTATGGCATCGCCGAACCCAGTTCACTGCTGTTGTTTGTTGGAAATTTTATACTCACTGAATTCAAAGTTGTTCCCTCGGAAGATAGTCATCAGTCCGAATACATTGCTCCATGTGACGGCCGTCGAGGTTAGAATTTCGCCTTCCGCCCTTTTCCAGATTCGGATTGTATTCGCATTTGCGCCTTGTCTCCCTCGCCATGTAACTTACGCTTTGCTTTCTTCCGATAGAATTTATCTCGGGCTTCTCCGGATCGGCAGGAACTGCCATCATTTCCATGACCAAGGCGGCACTATCGACAGATGGCCGTTACTTCAACCAGGCTTCGAAGCAGCTTGACAGCAATTGGGCGCTTCTGAAGCGGGGCGTTGAGGGATTCCCGACCTGGCAGGAATGGTATTGAAACCTACCATAAGAGAACATAGGATCGAAAACTGAAATGGTTCTAGGACTACAGAACAAGCAGAGGGAGGAAAGGTCGTTGGAGTCGATCCAGCTCTGGTTACACCTGGTAAGCAACGTCACGGACCTTACGGCGAAGATCGATCCAGACGCTAAGATCTTGTAGCGGGCGCCCGTAGTCTTTCAGAGACTCTCAAGAAGAATGGCTCATCACTCGTGGGCGTCGAACAGAACCTGGTTGATCTGGTCTGGGGTAAAGACCGACCGGCTCCTCCAAGGGAAGCGGTGAGAGTGCACCCTGCGCAGTATGCGGGCAAGAGCTTCCAGGAGAAAATCAGCGACCTGCGCAAGGAGTTGGAAAACAAGAAGGCGGCTGGCATTGTTATCTGTATGCTATGTCTTTTTCCAGACCCGCTTTGTGTGGTGGCTAACGAATACAATAGCGATGCTCGATGAGATTGCGTGGCTGTTCAACCTGAGAGGCACCGAGTAAGTCTAAAAACCCCCGTCTGCTTAGTTCTTGAGTTCGCCCTTTACTTCATGCTAATGGATTTCAGTATCCCATACAACCCAGTGTTCTTCTCATACGCCCTCATAACCCCTACTACCGTCGATCTCTATGTTGACGAGGACAAGTTAACGCCGGAAGTGAAAGCTCATCTAGGCCAGGATGTCGTCATCAAGCCGTATGACTCTATCTTCGCAGATGCTAAAGCCCTTAGCGAGGCGCGAAAGCAGGATGCGACGGGAGCAGCCCCCAAGTTCCTACTGTCCAACAAGGCTTCATGGGCTCTCAGCCTTAGCCTGGGAGGTGAAGAGCAGGTTGAGGAGGTCCGCAGCCCTATTGCTGATGCTAAAGCCATCAAGAACGATGTGGAACTTGCGGGAATGCGCTCTTGCCATGTTCGTGATGGTGCGGCCTTGATCGAGTACTTCGCTTGGCTCGAGAACGAGTTGATCAACAAGAAAACAACCTTGGATGAGGTTGATGCGGCAGACAAGCTGGAACAGATCAGGTCCAAGCATGATCTGTACGCTGGCTTGTCCTTCGATACTATCTCTTCCACAGGCCCGAATGGAGCAGTCATCCATTATAAGCCAGAGAAAGGAAGTTGTTCCATTATCGATCCAACAGCCATTTACCTCTGCGATTCGGGTGCCCAGTATCTGGATGGCACCACTGATGTAACTCGGACGTTCCATTTCGGAAACCCCACCGATTTGGAGAAGAAAGCTTTCACACTGGTGCTCAAAGGTCTCATTTCCATTGACACTGCTGTTTTCCCCAAGGGCACCAGTGGATTTGCGCTTGATGCTCTCGCTAGACAATTTTTGTGGAAGGAAGGCCTCGACTACCTCCACGGTACAGGCCACGGAATCGGCTCTTATCTGGTCAGCACCGCAAAACAGAGCCCCTCGCTTATGTGTGGTGCCATATAGCTAACGGTGTCGACAGAATGTGCACGAGGGACCCATGGGTATTGGTACCCGTGTGCAGTATACTGAGGTCCCTATCGCTGCGGGCAATGTTATTTCTGACGGTAAGGATCGTTGATACAGATAAAAGGCTGCTTGCTGACAGCACCAGAACCTGGATTCTATGAAGATGGAAAGTTCGGCATTCGCATTGAGAGTACGTCAAGACTATTACCCCTCTTCCGCGGCTTTTCTACGATGGTTGACTAACGCCATACTCAGATGTTATCATGGCGCGCGAAGTGCAAACGACTCATAAGTTCGGTGAGAAACCATGGCTGGGCTTCGAGCACGTCACCACGGCTCCGCTGGGCCGTAACCTGATCAACGCAACCCTTCTCAGTGAGGATGAACTCAAATGGGTGAATGAATATCATGCAGAGGTGTGGGAGAAGACTCACCGCTTCTTCGAAAACGACGACTACACACGCAGTTGGCTCCAGCGCGAGACTCAGCCTATATCCAAATAGACTGGTTCGACATACCGCGAGAAGAAACGACCAGCACGAAGATTGGAGGGCGTCTTATGCTGATGGTAATACATATGCTCTCGTCACTCTTTCGCTACTAGGCTTGATAGGTGCGTTGGAGAACATGCATACATAATCATGTATCTAAGCCGTTGGGCTAGCCCATGTTGATTTTAGAACTTACCAAGTCCGATGAAAATCTTATGAGAGCGAGAATTCAAAGCTCCTGGAGGTATGGGCCCTATGTGATGATGCCTGCATCCGTTGCCTTTTAAATTCCGACTGGCATTACAGTAGAGAAGAATGGCCCTTCAGAGACCGACTAGATCCCTTGGCCAATAACGCAAAGTCTCAAGAGATTGCACGCTCACATTATTAGGAAAAGAATCAATGCTTACCAGGACAGCAGGGCAACGGATTCCCATGTGGGTCACAACCCTCCATGATGTCGAGGGACATTAGCTCCCGTTGACAGAGCCAATCAGTGCCAGTAGCTGTGCTGCTGCCCACATGTAACTAGTCTACTAACACAGAAGATAGATAAGCAGGTAGGTATAAACCTGAATTGCTCCCCATGAAAAAGTTCTGCTACACTAGGAAATTAGATTGATGAGATAGTACAGTATGGAATAACAAGGGCATATGCCTACCTTGGATGGATTGTAGTCATCACACCGAACGATCCAACAAGGCAAAAGATACTCTTTTGGAGGACTTTCCATACTACGTGCTCAATTGTAAGACGTGCATCAGGCGAAGTGTACAGGACCTCATTTACTTTAAAGGCCTTATCTACATACACATGAGATAGAATAATTGTAAGAAAGATCAATAGGTTCTGCACCCTTGTCAGGCCTGCTTGCTGCGTGGTAGAACTACTACTAGTACGGAGTACATAGGACAAGCTAGGCGGTAAAAGAAGGAGACCGCCAACCCCAAACTGCCGCTTCTATCTACAAGCTGACACCTTCTCCGCATAGCATCCCGGACCTACTATTATTGTTCCCCTCCTCTTCGGTCTGAATTGGCATTGTTTCCTCTCTAGCTCTGAGCTCAACCCAGGCGATCATGCTAGTATCATCTTCTACTTGACTCATTACGACAACACCGATACCAATACATTATCATAACTCCACCTAGGCTCTCGAATCAGCCCGTAACCTTGCGCTTCGCCAGCAAAGCCTCGCCTCCTAGTTACCAGCTCCCCCACGAATTGAACTTCAACGAAGACAGTTTTTTGGTATGAGTGGCAGGAACCCTTACGCAAACGGATACGGATACTCCGATACCAGCCGCTATGACCGCGGTGATGGTGGATACGGCGGCAGCAGTAACAGCCTTGGGATGAACGGCTACGGAGGAGGCAGTGCGGAGAGAGAGCGTCGCCCAGGTGGATACGGTGGCTTCTATCCAGAGCCTTCATCATCTTCCTTGTCACCGGGACAGTCACCTGAACGACGACGGGAAAGACAGGAAAGAGATGGTGACCACTCATCGTCGCGATCGCGCACAAGGGACGGAGAGGCTGATAGGAGGGCACTCGGTTCTCGGGATGGGCGCCCTCGCGGAGACAATAGCTGGTTAGGGAGTAATAGCAGCGGCGAGAATGTTACCGGGCATGCGGCGGGTCCCCAGGCCATCGAAGGTTCGGATTGTACCTCTTCTTTCTCTTACCTTTCGCCAGGGGAGGCATGATTGAACAGAAGCATGCTAACATTACTGGCTCCCGTCATAGATGTCCTGCAAATGGTTCAACGAGAATGGGACTTTGTGGCCTCCGAAAACTGTGTTCCTGTACAAGTCGCTTTGCAGTTGATGGATACCAGTACCTTGGGGAAAGCCGATCGCGAGCCGGATTTCATAAGAATCAATGATAAAATACAAAGGACATTGAAGTCCGTTGTCAATGGTAAGCCGTTGTGCCCCTCATCTGCCTGCACGCGATGCTGAAGTATACAGAACATCACCAGGGTTTCAATAGTTCCATTGGTACTTACCATAAGATCCAGTCAAGCATACAGAGCTCACAAAGCCGAGTCCGCACATTGAAGATCTCGCTGGAAGAGGCGAAATCCGGGTTGTTGTCGACTAAGCCCGAGTTGAAGGGATTGGCTACGTCGTCACAGAAATATGACGACATTATCCAATTATTCAGCCAGATACAAGAAATTCAATCTTTGCCCGAGAGACTAGAGTCACGAATTTCGGACAAACGATTCCTTGCGGCTGTGGAGGTATTGCATAACGCTTTGCGGCTTTTGCGGCGCTCTGAACTCGAGAATATTGGAGCTCTCGCAGATATTCGCGCCTATTTTGGAAACCAAGAAGCATCTCTTACGGACATTCTGATAGAGGAGCTACACGACCACCTCTACCTCAAATCCCCCTACTGTTCAAGCCGCTGGAAACCACCAGCTGCTGATGGTGAAGGAAATGGGGCCCACCCTTCCAGCTGGACTGGAACAAGCTCATGGGAGAGACCCGTTTATGCATTTCTTGGGAAGTTGGACGCATCCACGCCTATGGTCGAAGATGCTTCGCGAAACCTGGAGGCCGACACATTTTACTACATACAACTGCTGATAGAAGCGCTAAACAAGATGGGACATTTGGACATCGCAGTTGATAGGATAGAACAACGCCTGCCTGTTGAACTGTTTGCCGTTGTTGATAAAACTAACGCCGAGATTGATGCAAGGTATCCAAACAACACCCGCGGCTTTGCCTCACAAGATAGCAAGTCAAATCTGCCGACAGATATAATCGAAAAACGCGGTCATGTGCTATCCGAGTTTCTGTGGACCTTGTATGCTAAATTCGAGGCTATTGCTGAAGGTCATCGTGTTGTCCATGATGTTATTGCAGCTATCGTGGAACGCGAAGGGATACCAAAGGGCAGTGCGCTCGCAGGTGGGTTCAAGGAACTTTGGAAGCTTTACCAAAGCGAGGTGAGTGAATGGACTCTGCTGTGTGCTTGTTTGACTGTCTCCCTAACCACATGAACAAGATCCGGTCCCTCATGCATGACTACCTGGCGACGGATGGAGAGTCATCATTCCGGCCTCGGCTCGAAGAGACCGAAACGAAACGACAACTTTACACAGGGCAGAGAGACAAGAACAAGGTGCGTGCTATGACCAAAACATGCTTAAATTATCGCTCACTGGTCTTAGAAAATGTTTAAATTGTCCGAAACGGATCATACTTCCGAAATCCAAGCCGAACAAAATGAGTTGGACGAGATTCTCAGGTCTTCTGTTCCTGGCTTGGTCACCAAATCAAGCCAGAAAACCGCTATCATTGATGCATCCGACGCCAGACAAGGAAACTCGGGAACTGGACATAAGATCCTCATAGAGCCAAGCGTTTTCAACATGAGCCTCCTTCTTCCTCCTTCACTATCATTCATTCAGCGACTGAAGGAAATTGTACCTGTGGATTCCGATATTGCCATGAGTACATTGACTTCCTTCCTAGATGACTTCTTGGTCAATGTTTTCCTTCCTCAGCTAGACGAAACCGTGACAGACCTCTGCACTCTTAGCTTTATCTCGCCGGATGCTTTCACAGAGGACCCTCACTGGTCTGGAGTCTCTCCCCGGCCGGTCTTCAGGGTAATTACAATCCCACACAGCTTCTTACATATGGCTAACATCTGGACGCGCAGGGTACGGTCAAGTTTATGTCGATTATTCGAGAATTCAGTAAAATGCTGTCTAGCATCCCACATGATCAAGCTTTCACACAGCTTCTCCTTTCGCAAATAGTGACTTACTACGACAAGTGTTGTGGATGGTACAAAGGTGAGATGTCCGTAGCTGGCATTCTTCGTTCGTTCTTCTAATTTGCAACGTCCAGCGATCGTGACCAAAACATCTCCGCGAGACAATGGAGAAGTCCGACTGAAGGCTGCCGCGCGTCATGCGGAATCAGGCGACGTTCATGACATTATCACTGAGTTATGGAACGGAGTGACCGAGAACAAGCGGGAGCTCGTAGACAAGGTAGATAACAACCTCCCCATACCAAATCATCCTACCAGGAGTCTATGGAGGGCTTCCGTTTTGCAAGGCTCGCGTTAACACCAACAGGAAACCGACATTCTCATTAGTTCAACGAATGAGGTTCCATTGGAGCCATACGATATCATATCTGACCCCAAGACAGTTGTATCCTTGTCGCTTCTTTTCAACAGTATGGTTAGTTGAGGCGATAAGTCCAGATATCTTCGATTACAGAAGCTAATTGGTACAGCAATGGTTCGCAAGCCATCTTGCTCAGTTACGTCAAATCACACAGCCAGCCTCGGATACGCGACAGGCTGAGTCCCGACCAGCTAATCGCCGCTGGACTCTAATTGGTGCCATGAAACCAAAGTGTGAGGGCATAAATCAGCCAGTTTATCTTCCTTTGAACCAAGAGACAGCGACTGTGTTCGATACCACTCTTCAATCTCTCCGCGATTTTGCATGCACTGCTCTCTTCGCCCTGCATGTCGACATCCGCTGCGGCATCATCCACATGCTGAAGCGGACAATGGAAGGCCCCAAGCCCCGGAACACACGAAGCTCGGAACCCACTACGCCATCTCCAAGCTCGCTCGCCAGTTGGTGGCACATTCTCTCAAACCAGCCAACTGCTGCGTCTCCTACGGTGCTTGAGCTGAACAATGACTTGATCGCGTTTGACACCAACATCTCGTCCTACCTAGGACCATCTGAGCGATGGTTCATCACGTCTGGGCTTGCTCGGTTCATCGACCGTACTTTCGTCGCGAACACCTGCCATATTGGGGCTATGAACGAGAATGGCGCGCTCCGACTCCAGTTAGACGTGCTAGTGCTGCAACAAAATTTGAAGAACATCATCATAGACCCAACAGATGGTGTACGGAAAGATGACAGTTCTAGCCCACAACAGAACAGTGAGCAGATCGAGGTGGTTGCTCTGCCTCGTAGCGCTAAATTCCTTGATTGGTTCCTGGAAGGTGCGGAGAAAGCCTTGGACTACGCCAAGGACGAGAAGGAATCCTTTGCAGCCCACGGAGACCAAGCGCTGGCCGCTGGTAATGGCGAACCGTTCACGTACGATGAACTCAAGGTCCTCATTGACCTTTGCTTTTCAGATATCCTCCTCGGCCCCCGAGGCGCGGAGAATCGGGAGGAGTTCATGGCAGCAAAGAAAGCCAGTGCTGATGCGCTATTGAGATTAAACGAGGTAATGTGGGATTCCAAGTGACGGGTAAATTCTTTGCGGCTTTACACCAGGGTTGTGCTGGAGACACAGCCCACAATGGAGGCCATGCCTGGACGCTTATGGCTTTCCGATCGTGGACCCTACCTGATTAGAAACAGTTCAAAGCTAGACAACATTTGCAACAGTATCAACGGAGATTATGATATTTTTGATAAAGATTATTACTGAGATTTTTTGGTGAACGAACACCCGGCTCAAAAGACCCGACCCACTGCGGGATGCCGCGGAGCGGATGGATCCCTCGTTCATTGCTAGACTTCCGTTGGTTGATGGTTCTTTTTGCCGCCATCAGCCCATGTTTTCCACTCCCTTTTACCTATCTAACCCTGGACTGAAAGTGGCTGGCCAAAGGTGAGTCCGGCTTGAACATCCCTGGAGCTCCCAGTTAGGCTATTGGCGGCTTGTTGCAGGGGGGGACAGTCGGCCCCAACTTCTTACTAGCCTGCCTATCTCTGGCCGTTGGGTGATTTCCGAGCAGTGGGTCGGGCCCGTGTAGTTTAATTACTCAATATCGGAAGCCAGTGATGTTGGCCAACAGCTAAGACCTGCGGAGCAAAGGGAAGACCCAGTGGTCGCGCTGCTCCATCGGTTCTGCTCCGATTCCCTGGCCTTTGAAGGTGGTGATCCACGCCCGGCGTTTCACTTTGCGATCTCATTTCGCGGTGCGCGAACGAAATCGCTGCTGCCTTCCCTCGGGCTTATGTGTCATTAAAGTTATGGCGCTAATCAGGGCAAATCCTTACGAGTGTTCATTTCGTTAGATTGATGGTTGCTGATGGATCACACTATTCTGGCTCTGGGGCCAGACGCCCCGAGTGCTCGTTCTCCTGCTCCTCGCCTCTTATTATCCTACGAGGTTCCTTCTTTCTTCAGTGTCCTCTCTCTTTGTCGCTCTTTTGCCATTCTGTCTGGAACAGCAGATTTTACACCCCTGGGATTTGAAATCCTGTCCATTCCTTACTGACCATTGTTGTGTTGACTGCACGTCCTATCTTTACTGTGATTCCACGCCATTTCTTGGCCGGCAAAGAGAGAAAGACATCCATTCTTTATTTCATTTCTTGGCACCTTGTCTGAGACACTTTTCTCCATCTTTCAAACATGAAGTATCGATGCCTCGCCTCTTTGGGCATTGCTGCCCTGGGTGCCGCTGCGACGGTCTCTGCCAACCCACTGCTGAACCGCGAAGCTGAAGGTCAATGCCCCCAAGGCTACACCCAGAGCGTCTACTACAAGACTATCACCCTCCAGCCCTCCTCGACTGCGTCAACTGCGCCAACCTCTACGCTCGCCAGTGCAGGTGAAGGCCAATGTCCCGTTGGTTACACCCAGAGCGTCTACTACAAGACGATCCCTCTCCAGCCTACTTCAACTGCATCCGTCGAGCCAACTTCTGCTCCCGCTGTTGAGCCAACCTCGACCCCTGCTGTCGAGTCGAGCTCTACCTCGATTGATCAGGTTACTACTCTGCACTCGTCTTCCACCGTTATCGTGACTGAGGTCGTGACTGCAACCCCTGCGGTCGCCACCACGAGCTCCGCGGTCGAGAGCGCTGCACCAGTTGCCACCACCCCCTCCGCTGCCGAAGCTTCCCCTGCTGCTGAGACTAGCACTGCTGTGGAGGCTACCTCTTCTTCCTCTTCCTCGGTCGTTGAGGTGACGACCAATGCTGCTGCCAATGCCGCCGCAACTACTGCTGCCGCTCAGCCTACCCCTGAGGCTGTTACCACTGAGGTTGCAACTACTGAAGCTGCCGCGACCACCGAAGCAGCTGCCCAGCCTAGCCCTGAAGCCGCTACCACCGAGGCTGTTACTACCCAGGCTGCTGCTGCCGCTGCTACCACCGAAGCTGCCACTACCCAGGAGGCTGCTGCTGCTGCTACCACTGAAGCCGTTGTTCAGTCTACCGCTGAGGCCGCTACTACTGAGGCCGCCACTACCGAAGCTGCTGCTGCTACCCAGGCCGCCGCCACTACTGTCGAATCCAAGTCTACTTCTACTAGCTCGACCGCTGCTAGCGCCGCGACCTCGTCTGCCTCCAGCTCCAGCTCTTCCACCTCTAGTGCCCTGAGTTCCGAGTACTCGGGTGAAGCAACTTTCTACGGCGGTAACGTCTCGGGCGGAACCTGCTCGTTCACCGAGTACACCATCCCCTCTGGCCTCTTTGGCACGGCCCTCTCCTCCCAACGCTGGGACAACGCAGCCGAATGTGGTGCCTGTGTCGAGGTCACTGGCCCTAGCGGTACCAAGATCAAGGCCATGGTAAGTCTTATCTCCTAAGCACTTCCCTACGCGCTTTTGTTCCTTTCTTCCTGTCTCTAACAAACATCAAGGTTGTCGACGAATGTCCCGAATGCGACTCCAACCACCTCGATCTCTTTGAGAGCGCCTTCTCTGAACTGGCCGACATCTCTAAGGGCGTTATCAGCATCGACTGGGAGTACGTTGCCTGCGGTATCACCTCCCCGATCGAACTGGTCAACAAGAGCGGCACCTCCGCCTACTGGTTCGCCATGCAGGTAGTCAACTCCAACCTGCCCGTCACCAAGCTCGAGGTCAGCACCGACAGCGGTAGCACCTGGCAATCTACCACCCGTTCCTCCTACAATTACTTCGAGAACCAGAGCGGTTTCGGTACTGACACCGTTGATGTCCGTGTCACTGCCGAGGGTGGTTCTCAGATTACCGTCAAGAACGTCAGCGTCTCGTCTGGCTCGTCTGTCACTGCTTCCTCCAACTTCGAGTAACTTGGTGATGTGATTTGACTAACTGGGTGTCTGCGATGATGGGATATGATGTTGTACTCTTTCTAAGATTATAATTCTCTGGGAGTGCGTGCCGAGATTGGTCATGCCTCTGCTTCTTTGGTGTATTAGCGCTTTGTTTGAGGGCTTCTTTATACAAATCTTATAAACTTCTTGTATATACTTTTTGAGATCCTCCTTAGGTCGCCACTATTACTGCTTATGTCTAAGAATGACACTAACCCTGCCATCAACCGCACCACGTCGAAATAGTCCTTTCTATCTCGTCTGATTTACATCCTTGGTAATATCGTCTACAACCCAAATCCTCATCGTGTCACTGCACAACATGTCTCCAAACCACACAACTTACTCAGCATCAGCATTTCCCCTTTTCTTCCAAAGTACCTACCACAAGAATGCAATTAAAAAACCCGCCCTGTCTTCCTCCATCGAGCGGGAGATACAAACATGCAAATCAATGACCGATGAGCCAGCCCCACCTCCAGCCTATTGGCCTATGAAGTCTCTCTTCAATTTGATTTATAGTAAATAAAAAATCAAGTTAAATGTTTGGAAAGGTTAGACAACTATCGTCATCAATCAAACCTATATTTATTACACAGGCACACATCGCATGCATGAAAATGTAATCACATGATAAACAGTTACCAACGCAAACAACCAAATACAAGACCGAAAAAGTAAACTACTGAATAAGCGAGACGATCTGGACCATCTGGGCTAAATGACAATGACCTGAAGCGGTGAAGTCATGTGTGGTTGAAGTTATCTAGCCTGCTGACTGGCAATATCTTCTTACTACAAAGCTATGCATGGGAATGGTAGTTGGTACATGATAGGTAGTTGCTAGTAATTGGTAGTAGTCAATGGTGATGGGATCATTCATGTATTACTTTACTTAGGTGAATGGAGTTAGGCAATGGGAATTAGTACTTATGTCGATTGATGGCCACGCTGTGGGGAAAATGGAGCGGATGTGAACGATTGGGGGCAAGGATGCAATGATGTTTAGTAATTGTGTATTTATAAGTACTAGTACGAAGTGATGAACCACAACAATGTTAGAAATCTAGCGTCATCGATATATTTAATTACGTATATGCTGCATGTGATCTATTACTCTATTGGTTCTATTGCAGGCAGGACCTTGCATCTGCTGGACAAATCACTCTTATGTTTGATTCCTTATCCGATATCTGCTCTGCTCACTAAATCATTACTAGAACCATACGGAGATCAGACTTGAAATGAGCTTGCATTCCGATAACACGCCGTGGTGTCCTAGGCTGCATGGCCATCAGATCATCCACTCCCAGCCATAGTTTCGCCGTCCCATCCTTAAGAATAGCATACAGAAAGAATCACAGCAGGGGTAAAAGCAGATACGGGGAAATAGAAACAGGATACCCACCCCAGGCTAAGCAATTAAAATAAAAACTGGAGGAGAACCACATCGTGTCCCTCACAACAAAAACCGGACATCGTAAGACTGTACCTTGCAAATAACTGACATGGAAAATAAAAGTGGAAACAGGGAGAGATCAGGCAAGGTCTGTTCAAAAGAAAGGGGAGAATCTGTTAGGATAAAGGTTAGAGGAAAGGGAAGAGGGAGGAAAGCAAGCGACAAGATCGACGCTATCTCAATGGCTCCCAAGGTAAACAAGTCGTAGCACATGTGAGTATAAAGGAAGGGGATCATGCAGTGATTCTCTCACCACATTGTCTGCACGCGCAGTAATGCAAGTTACTCGAGATTAAACCTGGCCTTGGTCAATGTCAAGGGGCTCCAGCTCCTTCGAGTCTTCGTAGTCTTCGAACTCAAGACCTGCGTCGCGGCAGCGCTGCAACCACTTCAGCGCAATGTCACCCCGACGGTTGACCTCAATCTTCAGTTTGGAGTTCTGCGAACTAATTTCGTTGATAGCATGGCTTGTGGTCATATTGTTCTGATCCCAGCGTTCACTCATGGCTTTCTTTTCTTCGTGTAGTTGGCATATATATTCAATTGCGCGTTGCAGGATGGCGCCCTTGTTCTTGTCACAGTTGGGGACAAGGCGAGCAATCTGATTGATGCCCTCATTGATCGCCTCACGGCGTCGCCGCTCCACTAAGTCCCCGTTAGTGGGTGCACTATGAGAAATGGAGAGGGGAATGTATTGCTGTACCTTCTTTGTGATTGTTTTTACGGATCTGATGCCATTCCGGAGAACCTACGGAAGGCTTCTGGTTCATGCTCTGTGCTTCGCGAGCAGCGTAGACGGCGGCAGCAGTAGAATTGTGACCATGTGCGGAGCCGATAGCCTGGCCCATGTCGTCTCCGAACGTCAAGCCGTGGGCGAGATTATTGTCAAAGGTCGCATCCGGGGGAGGCGGGTATTTGTTCTGAGGGGTGTGGGCGGCGAGTGCCGCCTTGGCAGTGAGGGCATTGTCATCCGAGATACCGTTTTGAGGACCAACATGTTGCAGAATTTGCTGGTCGATGTTGAGTTCTGTCGTAGCGCTTGGAAGATGCGCGTCATAGGATCCAAGAGAGCTATGGGCGAAGTTCGGCTGAGTATCTGGGGCGGGAATGCTGCCGTTGCTCCCATTGGAAGATCGATTCAGACGCTGGGCATCTGGACCGGTGCTATCGGTACTATCGCGCTTTCGCTTGGCTGTAACACTACCATCGGTAGCACCCAACGACGGATCGGACATCGTTAGGTATGTATGATATGACTGCCCTGTGCGTAGCGGTTAGTATCGCAGCGTGTCATTTGGAGAGCCAGCCACCACGTCCGAAACGCACTTACCTGCTAACGATAGGGATTCAGTGTAGTTACCGGAGTTTCGCTCCAGCTCTAGGGGCCTAATCGGAGAGATTAGGCGATTCTCGTTGACTCTAGAAATTCTGTTAGTGACAAAGTCGCTTTTGCACGATCAGTACGGTTCAAGATGGTGTAGGAAACAGATCCGGCGGAGGACAGAAAGTGACAATATTGCAAGGGAAGAAAATGGTATCATTCATTGATTTGTGAAGGAGGCATTGAAGGGTCCCCAGTGAAGGGCTACAGTTGCTGTTGTGCACAGGTGAGGCAGATCTGGTTGGGTTGTGAGCTAGTAACGCGTTTGCTGACGCGCCCACCTCCGCATCCAAGCACCAACAAGCACGGAACACGAGATGAACGGCGCAACCACCATCAGAGATACAACTACAAACGAGAGATGACACTGAAGTGAAAGCAGTAGCACGGGCACATGAGGAGATAAAGAGCAAATCCCTGAGATGGGAGCGATATCGGCGACGCGTCGCGAAGACAGCTTTGCGACCGATGGAAGCGGGAAAAAACAGCATCATCATCCTCGGCCATCGCCCGACCGGGCCATGACGGAGAGAGAGAAGACAAGGGGGCAAGCCAAAGCAGAAGCCATGATGCGATGGCGATGCTTCTGGCCGTGGAAGAACCGCGGAGGAGACAAGAGGCCAAAGAGAGTAGAGGGGCACAGCGCGAGCGAAGGGGGAGGAGAGGGAGAGCTGGATTGATTACCTTGGGATGGTCTATCTATCACCTGACAGCAAGTCACCTGCCACGGGCAACAACAGAAGGGAAGACGCCGGTTCGATCGCAGAAGCTGGAGAACGAAATTTGTTCACGAAAGAAATGGTCGGGATCGAAGCATCCACATCAAAGACAGCGGACGGATCGGCTTTGAAAACAAGCAAAAAGTTGTGGCGGATTTTACAATGGAAAAAAGGGATACATGGAGGAGTAGAGAGAGAGTCGAGTAGAGAGGGACTGCTCACGTGGCGAGGGACGAGGACGAGAATCAAAGAGAGGAGAACCGCCCGCTACGGCGCCCCAAACAGACCCGAGGTGTAAAGAATAAGTAACCCAGGCCGATCACCTGACCCCAGTCACGGAGTATTGATAGTAACTACTATCTCACTTAACTACTTGGTAGTAGTTAGTTATACTCCCGCGGTACTTGCTGCAATATACTTGGTCGATAGTAAGTACTTCATCACCTCCAAGCTCTGGGCTATTGTAGTACCATATCCGAAAAAGGACAAGAAAAAAAGGGGTTATTCTGAGAAGAACTTACAGTAAAGTAGAAACCTACTAGTTGTAAGCAGTCTCTCTCGCTCCAAGTGAGGCCAGCCCGGAATCATACCACCACCAACCATTCTCTGTAATCATCATTCTCATTGAGACTATTTTTTTTTCTGGCACATCACTATTATCTTCCTAGTACTTTCCCTTCCCCCTCCTCCCCTCCTCCTCAGTTCCAACCGGTTTCCTCGTCCCTCCTTCTCCATCCTAAAATGTCAGGTGCTGCCATCCCGTGCCCCCTCCTCACCCAACTCTTCGATTACCAATTCTGATTGGTCGGCAGGCCTCCTCTGTCCCGGTGGCCGGAGGAGGGGTTCACCCGGAATCACGTGGAATCCGGCAGCCCTCTTGGCTCGAAAGGGAAAAAGGGGACTGATTGGTGTCCTTTCTGACTTCTCTAGTGTCCTGCGATCGGTCTATTCAAGAACATAGCAGCGATCGAATGGGGGAATGTCCTGTTATCCTGCAGAAGCCCATTATTGGAGTGGAAACGTCGCTGCGCCATGGAGGGTGCCTGCTCATCCCGGTCGGCCCGTCCCTTCCAAGTAGCAACCAGTTACTGGCAGTAGTTACAACTAGTGACTATCGACGGAATACTTATGAGTTATTCTGAGTCGAGTCAGCACATACGTCCCAAGAAGTTACTACGGTGGCTTGTCTCTGATCCCCTCCCCTTAGCCGCCGATCTCTTTTGCAGTCTGAACTTTCTAAATATGTCGTCATGGTCCGACTGTCCAGTCATCCACTTGCTCTTGTACCCCCTGTTTTCTTGCGAATGGGTCATAGGTAGTAGCTACTGCTAGTGGCTTCGAATCGTCAGTCTACAAAGTAGTGGTAGAGAGGCCCCCATCAAGCCTGCATTTGGCATAATCAATCTGCGATAGGCCACTATGCCCTCCCCATTGCGCAGCAACTCTGTTTTCCTTCGAACCAACCCGGATCGATTCCCAATCTTTCCAAGGCTGTCCGCTAACCCCAACCATCACATGTATGCTGCGTAATGCAACCTATCAAATCCCTCTTCGCGATCTCTACCAATCTCCTCCTCACCAGGATGGATACGCATCCTCCGAAGTATGCTACCTTTCCTTGTCTAGGGATGCGCGTCAAGGGTTGCATGCAGAAACAGGGGGGGTACCCGACAGGAAGAGAAAAAAAGGAAAGAAAAGCCTCCTTCCAAGGTTCAGCAGTTGACTCTGAGGAATTAGGAGGCCATCTGACGGGCGAAGTCGCTGATCAGTTGGTCATGAGATAAGATGCTGGAGTGGATACTCTACCATTAGGTACTTTAGTTTGCTGTAGCGATCATTGTCCGGAGCCTTCTGATCATCCGGGGTTTCCTGCCGCAATTGACCTTGGAGGACAGTATACATCTCGTAGGCGGGTATCATCCGGAGAGCAGGAATGGGTCTAGATTCGCCTTGGTCGCTCCCAATGCGAATGAACGGCCAAGTGACGATGACAAGTTACCATCGCCTGTCACATGGATAATGGTCGAGTCTGACTGGAGCCCAGGAAATGTCTCACATGATAGCTCATGGCTCATTGTGGCAACTCGGGACTTTGGAACCAGCCCATCTGTCCGTCCGTCCGTCTGCCTGTCGGTCGGTCGGTCGGTCGGTTGACGAGATGCACTTCGCTCTCCGATAAGAAGTCCACTGGGTCAAGGACGGGGTGGAGGGCCCAAAGCGCATGGAACAGAACAAGTGAGCGAGGAACCGGTGCCCAGATAAGCTTCCTACGCAGCAAGGGAAGGAGCGTATACACGACTCCCATATCCCATAGCGCCAGAAAACGAACCCTTGGACATGCATTGCGACTCTTATTCGTTATAGATTCCAAGCCCAAAGCACCTCTAGTATACTATCTATTTGATTTACGAACGCCGACTCAAGTGACGCCATCTGAAATAAACTTAATAGGCAGGGCAACACTCCAGGCTGCAACCCACCAATTCCGAGGTGGCTTTGAACTCAAGTGCAGTTGGAATGTCATTTTGAAGCTTTGACCAATCCAAACACCATGCTGGGGTCTGCCGTAGTGTCGGCAAAACATATACCTTCCGTCGTCGCACCCATCATATCCCAACATAGAATTTTCGTATCAAATGACGGTGCATCTGTCTCAGCGGCATCTGTATCGGCACCAGGATCTCCTTCTTCAATAGAAGTTTCCTTACTCCATGTACGGATTGTTGGTTTCTGTGTGATTGCTACGATAGCACTCGTGCCCGCGTACCGAGCTGGGTTTGTCCCTTCCGCACCCGGTTCTTCTCCGGCTCTGTTGGCAAACACAATGATAATCTTCTTTCCGTGACTAGCATCATCGCCATCGAAGTTGGTCTCATGGCCCATCTTCTTCCTGATAAGCGGCATGAACCGCTGGATCCAGTAATTGAAAGTGTCTAAGTCCGGCTCATCACCGAGTGAGTCGAGCTCGTTCCGCTCCAACAAGGTCAGCCAAGCCATAGAAAGTATGACCAGCTCAGAGTTCGTATCCAAGACCCGATTAGCAAATTCCCAGGCAGTAAAGGGAGCCTCGAACCGGTATGGGTTGATGTCCATACAGATGCCGAAAGAGGTAGCTATCTGGGACTCCACCGAGCTTTGACTCGAGTTTGGGAAGGAGAGCTGGTGGTAGCCTTGCTGAGGGTTGCCCTCAGCCGCCCACGTCTCATCCGTGTAGTATAAGAACGATTTACGGTAGTTTAGGATGATATCACCGGTTTCGTCCACCACCAGAAGGGAGTTGTAGCAAGTCTCTGTGGGGTTAGATGAATCAGCCTGCTGGGCATCATCTCCTCGGTAGACTTCCGGATAGCCCACGCAGACTTTGCAATTGAAGCATTTTGCCGTTTCTCGAGCCCACTGCGCGGAAGGACCTTGTCCAACGGGCTCAAGGAAGGGTCTTATAGCCTCCAACGAGGGGAAGTTGTATCCTGGCCAAATCAATGATCGTGCTGCGTAGAGAAGTCCGGGGGTGGAAGGGAGTCTCAACGGATGTTGGTAGAGGTAAGAGCTCCAGGCTAAGACGCAGGGAACAAGCCACCGAGCACAAACATCCCGAAGCTCATGCGTCGTGTGACACCCATGGGGAGGACAGAGTAACACTTACCCGTCAAGGCCAACTCGGGCAAAATCAAAACATCCGGCTTCAGGAGATCAAGTCCAACCCCAATGCCAACGCCCCGCACTACCTTCCCGTTCTTGAGAAGTTCATTGGCTCTCTTAATATTCCCATCGACATCGCCCAAACGAGGGGCAAACTGCAGCGTTGCTACTTTCATCCCTTGGCGCCGTTGATGGTACAAACGCAGGAATGAAGTACAATAGATTTGAGCTGGACCACAGCTGTTTGTAGTGCGCAGAGTAATACTAATATTGCAGATGGCGAGCGGAAGCGGCGTCAAATGTAGGAGACGGAAGCTGCGTTGGGAGAGTCCGACATGGATGGATGCGAACACTTTGACTGGAGAGACAAGGAAAAGGTGCGCAGGACGTCCCACCCGTCTTGGCTTAAAGGAACCGAAGATATTAGAGATGAATTATTCTACTTGGTCCCCTTATCACGGTTGAAGGGAGCAGTAGCGAAGTATAGACGATTGAACAAGACTTCTATTTTTTGATGGCGTGAGTGAAGCGAGAGACTGACTGGACTGGAGAGGGGGAGACTGGAGACACTTCCAGGTCCTGATTGGTGGGGAAGCAAAGTGTTCACGTGATGGTCCCGAGGCCAGAACCCGAAAAGGCTGCCGGGCGACGTCATGGCACGGGGAAAAGAAGGCGATCAAGCTTCATTTTAATTCCAGCCCAGGCGAGTATTTAATCTAATTCAAACTCGGACTGCCTTTGTCCTTGGCCATAAGGGTTCCCTCTATTGCTCGTCTTGTCCTCGAACGTTTAAAAGAGAAATGAACATTGGACCATGCTGTGAGGGGATTTTGACAATCATTCCATCTGATCACAGTGTCGGAGGTACCTGATTTGCTGCACAGCCATTATTGAGGGATGGATGAGTATGGATGGATGCACTACTAAGTACATACTAGGGGAAGATTTTTTTGTTTTTTATTATTTTTATTAGTTTTAACTTTGGGAAATCGAGGTAGTTCTGGTTCGGCTCCCGCGTTGGGTTGGAGCCTTACTTGGGCTATTGACTCGTTTATTGTTTCGAGTCGGGATTCGGTGGATAAAGGATGGGCCTCTGGGCGAACTCATTCCGCTACAATAATAGACCCATGGCCATCCTCTTTTTTCTCGGCCTAGCAGTTGATTCCTGGAAACCGTCAATCCCACTGCGTTCATTCTTTTGAGGGTGGATTCGCCCCATTAACGAGAACCTCGTCCTCCATAGCAGTGAGAGCAAGTGTGTATGAAAGGGAGTAGATACTACTTACTGACTATTACTGACCGGGTACTTTCCTTTACTTACTGTTGGTCTTCACCACACCCTTCCCATTCATTCATTGTATACCCCTTGGTCCCCTCCGAAACCTGGAGAGTGCCGTTGGAGGTCTTTTTTTCCCCTTTGAACTTAAACATCATCTTGACCAGCATCATCTCCATCGTCCGTCGTTGAATGTCGTGCTCAGATCATCTTCTGTCCCTTGCCGCGCCCCTTTTCGATCCTCACCCGCCAATCAAAGCCGCCCGCTGCGATCGATTCTTATCCTTGGGCCATCGACATCATTTCCTTCTCCTCCCACCACAACGTCTCACCTCTCCTCGTCCACCACGGCCTCTCCGCCATCTAAGCGCGCCTCGCGGCCCTCTCGGTCGTTTTCCTCTTCGAAAACGTCTCCTATCGCGTCGCGAACGGGCCCTTCACTATCCTCGCCCCCGGTTAAAGAAGCATCCCCTTATCCCCCGCGAGGCCTCCGCGTTCGGTGCCATTCCTTCGAGGCACATCCCCCCACATCCTCCGATCAGGTCACCGCAGCGAGTTCCTCCCAATCACGATTCTCATACCGGCGAAAGAGTTCCTGGATACCTCCCACGATCTTGCGCCCACCGTCGGTGCGACTCGCAAACCCCGTCAACTACGTTCCCCGCAACACTCCGGTCACGGTACCCCATCTGTCGCAGCTCTCCGACGAGAACCTTCCACTCGACGCACACCGTGACGCCTACCCTTTGCTGACTATCCCCGAACGGCGTCGCAGTCGACCGACCCCATCCCCGAACAGTCTGGTGGTGGAGCGCAGTCAGGGGGAAACGGAGAGTGGACGCTCTAGCATCGCAGTGCCTCGCGGCCAGAGGCGCAGTGGCGCATTTGACGACCAGCTGGTGTTACGAGAAATGTCCGAGTCGGGAGTGTCAAATGGTGCTCCGGAGGTAAAGAACCCTCGCGCACCGGAACGAGCGCATCTGGGCTTCGATTTTGCGGTAGACGGACCTGGACCGCTTCACGACGACCGGCCTCGCCACATCCAGTCGCAATCCTCGCTGCGGTCACAGTCACACATTGCATCCGTACCATCCATTACTGGAGCCCAGAACGGCGGCGAGACGGATGTAGCGGAGGAGTTAGCCTGGGGCCCTGCGCATCCGTGTTATCCTCACATCAACCCACATGTTCCGATCGGGTCCGAGGAGTACATGACGACCCGCATCATACGAATCCGGCGTGATTGGATGATCAAGGGGGACCTGGCTCCCACATTTTCCAACCTATACCCCGAGATTCTGGACCCGCTATTACCTGAACAAGAGTTTCGAAAGGTGATAGCCACTGTGAATGACGAGCTCATCAAGGCGTTCGATCCGTTCAGTGTTCGCAATTTCATCGACAGTGCGCTGAGCCTTCTGACAGGATGGATTTGGGAAGACATAGGCGCGCCAGGTATCAAAAGCCATCTCAAACGGGTGGAAGCTTGGCTGGAGAGGTGGAACAGAGAGGTCGGGGCCAAGGACGGAGTGCATATCTGGAGTCTCCGCAGGACGGCGTACATGTCGCTAGACATCCAGATTCCGGATCCCAAGGTTGGAATTATTCGCAGTGAAGGAGTCCCATCACTTTCAGGGACCAGGCCGAGCAGCGGTGTCTGATGGAATGCCCGCACGATTTCTATTAAATCGCCATCTGCGGTGTTGAGTCCCGGTTTACATTCTCTACGACTTCCTTCTAACTAATCATCTACGCCTTTTTAATATGTCTCGTCGGGATAGGAGACTGCATTCGAACTCCGATCTCCGAGATTCTATCTATTCTTGTGATTTCTTTTATTTCTGGACTCGCCATCATGATATCCATGCCCTAACTTTGATACCCGCCATGTGGGCGACAGTCCATGTTATCGCAATGTGAACCAGCGCCACGAGGTTTTACTGAATTCGAAATTCTGGAGTGGCATGTTGCTTCCTGTCGCTCTATGCCGACCCCGTGGACAGCAGATCTGGCCCGCACATGAGACGAGCACAACACCCCATCTCATTCATCAGTGTGTTACTGTCCGTATGTAGTTAGGTGATTATATGAGCTGTGTATATATACATGTATGCTCGACCGTCAAAACCCGGAGAGAGCCTAACATGGAGCTGTAATCGGGGATAATGCGAGCATACACAATGCTTACTCCAAATTACTACAGTTGATCTAGGGATCAATGCCCTCCCCAGTCAAATATGATTCTGCGGATACGTGGGTGTTCCCGTAGTCGCCTTCACACAAAGTCTCCTAACCGTCCGCTTGGTGTTCATTTCAACGTTGACCCTATATGCCTGTTATCTATACCCCTTCAAGCGCTATAAGTATATATTATATCGACCTACAGGTCGTGCTTCGCCGTCGAGAGAAAAAGCTACGCTATTCACATGCAGAACGATAATTTTATTGATGGTCATCCTCGGTGGACTCACCAAACCATCTAGTAGTCGGTGTACCAATACGATAATTGAACATCATCTTCTCAAACTAGTACCAAACTAAGCCACAGCACCATCGGTGATTCGTAAATCTTCCCAAACGGGGCTCATTGCTCTATTACGATGCAAGTGCCCGAAGCCACCGAAAGAACTATTATCATTGTATGTCGTATACTAATATTTTCCTTACTGCCTTATCTCACTACACCCGAGAATCAACATATCCGCATCGAGGTGTATGAAGACACTGTTATACTGCGCAGCTACTATCTCTACCTTACATTGATAGCCGACAGAGTGTGTACCACTATAAAGCTGCAAAAGACATTGAAAGGGATTTATGGAGCAGGAATACTGAATACAAAGCTCCAAGTATCTTGGAGATATGAAGGTTGGCAACCGCCAGATACTATCTTCATCGAATTTGGATCAGGTACCTGATGTTAATCAAACTCTCGCTACCATGGCTACCATTATTAGTAGGACATCTACCTGATATAATTCCACTAGATGAATATCTTAACGAGGTTCATTCGAATCGGGCAGTACTATGTATGGTATTGATACAAACGTCCTACGGGCCCGCTAGTCTCCCATATGCTCCCCAAAGCTGAATGATGGTTTGCTCTCAACATTTGAGAAAACTGTTTTCATTTAAGGATAGTTATACTATTTAAAGTCGAACTGTCGATGTCCATCCTTGATAGCTCGAACAGCCAATTTGTGTGTGAGGGGTTTGTCGCCGTGACTAGTAATTTCGCATTAGAAGGTCTGGACTCCGTCGATTTCCTTGATGTCCTAATATTTCACCATATCCACAGAAGAATCGAATAAACAAAACAATATACTGGCTGGTCACTCATCGTGCGCATCGAAAATAACTGTAATGGTTCGAATAAACTATAGTTGTACGGAGTAGGGTCGGCAGACAAACCCCCATCGCCTGCGCTGGTCGAGACCGACTTCAGCTTTCTCTCTCCGCGGCGGCCCCCTCATCCCTCATTCCTCTCCGATCCCCCCTTTCCTTTCTTCTCCTACTTCTCTTTTTCCCCCTCACCCCCCTTCCCTCATCCTCCGCAGCGCCCTTTCACAATGCTCTCTGGTATCCTCATTTTCAACCAAAAGGGCGAGAACCTAATTTTCCGCGCTTTCCGCAGCGACTGCCGCCCGCGCCTCGCCGACATCTTCCGCATCCAGGTCATCTCCAACCCTCAGGTCCGCTCGCCCATCCTCACCCTAGGCTCCACGACTTTCAGTCATGTCAAACACGAGAACATCTACCTGGTCGCCGTGACTAAGAGCAATGCCAATGCCGCGCTGGTCTTCGAATTCCTATACCGACTGGTTATGCTGGGAAAGAGCTATTTTGGGAAGCTCGATGAGGAGGCCGTGAAGAACAACTTTGTCCTAATTTACGAATTGCTCGACGGTGCGCCTCACCTGTGCTTTCGAGCATACAACCCACCTGAAAGATTGCTAAACCGCATTTGCCTCTTTGATAGAAATCCTGGACTTCGGATACCCTCAAAACACCGAGACGGACACCTTGAAAATGTACATCACCACCGAAGGCGTCAAATCCGCCATTGCCAATTCCGCGACCGACTCCAGCCGTATTACCATGCAAGCCACTGGCGCTCTCTCCTGGCGCCGTTCCGATGTCAAATACCGCAAGAATGAGGCCTTTGTCGACGTGATTGAAGACGTCAACCTCCTCATGTCCGCCACAGGCACCGTCCTTCGCGCCGATGTCAACGGCCAAATCGTCATGCGAGCTTACCTCTCCGGCACCCCAGAGTGCAAATTCGGCCTTAATGACCGCTTACTCCTCGATACCGACGCTGCCGGCTCCTCCACCCCAGGCAACCGCGACGGCACGATGAAGGCTACCCGCGCGGCCGCGGGCTCTGTCACCCTCGAAGACTGCCAATTTCACCAGTGCGTCAAGCTGGGCCGCTTCGACGCCGATCGGATTATCTCCTTTGTGCCTCCCGATGGCGAGTTTGAGCTCATGCGCTACCGCGCTACCGAAAACGTGAATTTGCCCTTCAAGGTTCATCCGATTGTGCGTGAAGTCGGCACCACCAAAGTGGAATACAGCGTCGCTATTAAAGCAAACTACAGCTCGAAATTATTCGCGACAAACGTTGTGATTCGCATTCCAACACCGCTGAACACCGCCAAGACGACGGAACGGACCAGCCAGGGTCGGGCAAAGTACGAGCCGGAACATAATAACATTGTGTGGAAGATTGCGCGGTTTTCCGGTGGAAGCGAATACGTCCTGACAGCAGAAGCGACGTTGACGAGCATGACACACCAGAAGGCGTGGAGTCGGCCACCGCTCAGTCTATCATTCAGTCTTCTCATGTTCACCAGCAGTGGATTACTGGTGCGGTACCTGAAGGTATTTGAGAAGAGCAACTATAGCAGTGTGAAGTGGGTGCGGTACATGACTCGCGCGGGCAGTTATGAAATTCGGTACGTTTAATGCGAACTCCTTGCCTGAATTATTGTGGGGGTGACTGCTGTGCTAACTCCAAGCGAAACAGATTCTAGTTTGATATAATAGTCTACAAGCTATTACTGCAGGCAGGGTGGCCGATGCTACGATCCCCTATCTGTAACTCAATAGCTTACATTCCGTCTCCCGACCTTTGAGCTTGGTGTCTGGCGTTGACTGATCGATTGCACGTTTCATGTTGGGTGTACTGCTGTACTCATACTAGGTTCTGTTCTCTTATTGCACATAGGGGTTGATTGATGCATGGCATAATGGCACTAAAGGGTTGGTCATGGACATACTTAAATGGCTTGGTAGTTCGATTTTTGTTACATTTAGCCGGAGTACTTACTGCCTTATTATTGGTGCTAACTACTTACTACATCTGGCCAAAATACATGTTTCTACTCAAGTTATAGTAGCAATAAATTTTAGTAGCATGGCTTTTAACTTTATCTTTACTTCTATTTTTATTTTTCATTCATTCAATCATTTATCTATCTATCTATCTATCTTTTCTCCCTTCCCTTCTTCGCGTGCCATCTTTCGTATATCCTCTCGATGTCTAACTAGCGTTCTGAATATTGAGACAGTGTTGCGTTCGCAACTAGTACTGAAACTGCTTGACACTGCTTGCTTACTATTGTTGACGAGTAATGCATGAACGGAGGCTCGACCATCACTTATCCGAGCTTTTCCAGTGTACTAAAGCGCGCAAGTTCTCCCAATTCCCTAATGCGCTTACATATACCAAGGATTATAGTATTACTTTAGTAGGCAGAGCTAGTTGTTCATCAGATCGGACCTAGTAGTATATATTTGATGATCAACCACATAACTAAAGGGCGAGTCTACGCTGAGGTTTCAGACATGCTTATGCTTCAGGCGTGCGCGACGTACGCGCAGAGCAGAAATCTACCATAATACAAGTAGAGAGAATATTTACGTCTACATTTCATCTGCCTTTGGTTGGGGCTGAACCCATGGATAGTTGATAGAAAGATATTGATAGATAGTACAGTAGAATAAAGTACATACACAACCAGTGTGTCGGTCATAGATAGTCAGTCATATGATACATGAAGATGGAAAACCCGAAGTATGGCGAATACCGATTCCAATCCATATCTCATGTACCCGTTCACCCATCAAAATCTGATGTATGTGGATAGATGGATGGATAGATGGATGGACAAACATGATGTAACTAACCCCGGAAGATAAGAAACAAAACAGGCAGCAACGTGAAAAGGGTAAAGTAATGGTAATAACACAATTTGAAATCCCGAAAGTAACACCCGACGAAAAGAAGAGAAGAAATAAAAAAAATTCCATCCATATCCCGTATCGTACATGAGTCCGTGAATTGTAAAGAAAAAACAGGAGAGCCAAATAATCAAAGTCATAACACAAGAGGTAGCGTAGCGATGCTATCAGGGTATTGGCGATTGAAAGATGCAAGTCCAGGAGCGAATCGAGTCGGTATCGTAGGCAATAATCAGAGGTATTTCGAACGGTAGACAAGGAGATATAAACAAAAAGAGGCCATTTTAAATCCCCATCAAGTCTGGTTTAGCTCCTTGTCGCAAGCCTATCTCCCCCTGACCCAGGAGAGTTTGCCATCTGCGTCTGATGGACTCGTGGTTCCTGCCCAATTCTCTGGCGCAGTCGTCCAAGACCTGTTCGGAGAACTGATACCTTTCGAGGACCAATTTTACGAGCCGCTGATCGTCCTCTGCGATCCAAGAAGGCGACGGATCGATCGGCGATAATTCGTATGACACGGACGCTATGGTCTCATCATTTGCTTCGATGGACGGCAGCGGCGCGTCAGGATTGTACAGTGAAATTCCCGAAGTGTTTATTTCCCTTGCGCTCGGATCTTCCTGTGATTGATGTGCCGGCGATAGAGGCGACTGTGTAATCGGGGGTGAATAAAGCGAGTAGAAGTCTTCCCGAGTAAGGCCAAGTGGTAAATCATTGGGAATTTGTCTGCGACGCTTGGGAGTGGAGAAACGGTCGCGCGATTTAGTTCCGTTGGAGAGCGCGGGTTCGCGATCCTCAGGGTCTGAGTCGAGGTCTAATTCGTAAGCAGATCGGTTGCGCTTGTTCGCGCCACGCGTAAGTCTGGAGGGAGCGCAAGGTGATGGGGAGGAGCGTGTGAGATTGTCCAAGTCTTTCTGGGCCACTCGTTTCTGCGACCGAGAGGGAGGAGGGGATCGTAGCTGAAGGGGACTTAGAAGACGCGGAGGAGTCTTGCGGCGGGGGATCGAAGCAGGAGAGATGTTGAGAAGAGATTGGAGGGCGCGACTGGTTCCCAATAGACCATTGCCTGATAGGAGGAGGTCATCTTCGGTTGGGGGTGGTGTGTTGAGTAGCAGGTTGGGCGCGAGATGCGACTGAGTCGACTGTTGTGGCATGTCGCTAGGAAGCGCAGAAGGGAGTAACATCTTGCGCGAAGGTGATGGGTACTGCCCAGGGATGAGCGACATATGAAATAACAAAGGAATGATGATGACTTGGAGTGGTTGAGGAGGTGTGGTGGTAGTGTGGTGGTGGTGGTTGTTTGGTTGGTGGAGTGAGGCAGTCAATGCCGGAGTGTTTGTGCGCGGATCAAGAGGTACCCGCGAAGAATGCAGGTTTGCGCCGGAAGAGGTTTGGAGGAGAAGAACAAGAGACCGGGTGAAAGAAATTAAGTGAATGAAATGATGATAGCAAGCGCTTTGATTTCGAGTAAGTCCGGGGAAATGCGACGAGGGAGCGACAGCGAAGAAGAAGGGGGTGGTGGAGGAGGAGGAGGATATCAAGCGGCGCAAGTAAGAGGCAGATGATGATGGGATGATGTCGGAGAAAGGAAAGAGTGGGAAAATGGGCGAAAAAGGAGAGGATCCGATTCCAGCGGCTTTTCTGGCGTTTTTGTTCGGTTCCGCAAACGGGGGCCCAGCTTCTGGCCCAATGACCGGCAACAATGGCTCTTGGAAAGTCTAAATCCGGGCTGCAGAATTCCCAAACACGCACTAAACAAAGCACTCGGTGTTGATGGACGGTGAAGCCCAGGGTAGAAGTAGTAAGTGAATGCGGTGGCAGGTAGGAATGATTGACCGGCCCTCAGCTGCGATTGAATGTGATATCACAAATTGAATGACATCGAACGTGTACAAAGAATGACCAGTAACACTTGTCTGTCGCCCTCATGCCTGGTCCTGGCGTATCTATCCTTCGTTGCCTCCTGGACGACTCACACTGTTCGTTTCGTTTTACTCTGTGTGTTTTGTTTTGTTTTATTTTTTTTTTTGTCTCTGCTTTCTTGCTCCTCTCACTCCTGTCCTGAGAACAGGGAAAGGCCTATTTTTGAAGGTTGAACACTGCCTTATCCCTCTATATCTCTTTCTCTCCCTCCCTCCCTCCATCAATGCCCCTCCGGAGGGTGGAGTGAGACAAGGAGTGCAGGAGCCACTTCGGAGGGGATGCGGGCTGCAAGGCGTCTCCTCGAAGGGTCACCCATTGCGGCATTTCCCCATTGCGGTGCCCACTTGATGTCAAATGCATCGACACCAGCTGGAGAGGAGAGAGCTATCACCCGTCTGGACTGGGATGGGCCGGACCGGAGTGGGACAGGAGGCTGTTGCATTGCAGCATGCATTGCATGTTACGGAGTATACGTCTATACCTGCCTACGAAGCCATGATGATGGCTGATGCTGGGCTGATACTGATCGATCATGAATCCTATCCCTCCTACAGCGGATACATCGATATACTTTTTTTTTTGGGTTGGGATGGCAACCCTCGATAACCTGGATACTTGGGGGGGAATGGTTTAATCCCTCTATTTCTCCCTATCACCACGAAGCATCTACATATGAAGCGCCAGATCCCTCTGTAAAATTAAATATAAACCACAAGAAGTTCTGAATTTCTTCGAATATAAAAAAATTATGGACATCTTTCTTGGGTCAACTTCCCAGACAGGCAAAATTGAGACGCCATCGCGTCGCGTCGCGTCGCGCGTCACATTAGTAGCGCGTCTGGCGGAAGCGCGTCCGCCAATCGACGGTGGCGGACAACGCAGGTGACCAATCGGCTGGATTCATCGAATTCTCAGGTGACTTCCAAGTGACTCGTCCATCAGCATCACAATCATCGGACTCAATCGGATCCATCGAGTTTCTTCCAGCCGGGGCTTCCGTTGAATGGCAACCATCGATGTTTCTGGCCGTTGTTGTCTTGAACGCTAGACAATCATCCCTCCAGTAACCAGTTGTGTTTCGCCGGCAAAGCAAGAGATCGCCAAGCGTCCACTGTTTCCTCCTATCGCTCCGGCTTATCGAGCCCCTCCTCCTGCCCTCCTTGCTTCTTTCCCGGACACTCACGGATCTTCCCTTCCTCAAGTCCACATTCTTGCTCAGGGCAAGGTTTTGATCTCCTTCACACAGGGACGTGACTCCAGGTGGCTATACACTATTCTTTGGCTCGTGTCTCAGAGATCGTGCCAACGATTACTACAAAGTAGCTCCCCAGCCGCCTCGGGATATCATGCGTCAGATGACTGCACGTTGATGCTGCCCACCGTTGCTTTCTGCTCTCCTTTGTTCATCCTTGCTTCATCAGTGCACCTCCAGGTTGCACTCGGAAAAATTGGCCACGGTCTTCTGCATCGCATTATCTCGCAGCTGGAGATATCTCCGGACGGGTATATTCTACGACTGTGCCAATGAAATTGCCCCAAACACCTCCATTCAGACTGACATAGCACAGACGACAGCATAACTTGTCTAAGTCCAACAACAAAACTAATTTGATATTAACTACACCAGACCCATAACCAGATAAATCTATCAAAAAGCCCCCAGCCTTCTTTACAAAGCTGGAGCCTGAGACCAAACCAAAGAACCCAGACAAGGGTTGACGATCTCAGTACCACGATTAGCAACACACTCCCCTAGAATAGTACAACAAGCGCAAACCATCAGCACGATAGAAACTCAGCTCAGACCTATTGCCCTGTTTCTCCAACTCTATACCGCTTTCCGTTCATCCCTACTCTCCCCCAGCCTCTGCGCAGCATCCACTATCCAAGCAAGGGATACCACACCCTATCGGACAATTTTCCCACCGGTTCCCGGGGGAATCTAATCTACTGACTGTCTATGCGAATCACAGCACATGCAGGTGCAGGGCGATTGACACCTGCACGGGTTCCTTGATCCACCTAGGAGGTTTTTCGCATGCTACTACCCCTTGATGCACTGTTATTGGTTACGTCCCTCCGCAGCACCAGTAGTCCGAACACACGACGTCAACGTGCGTCTCAGAGGAAGTATATCAAGCGTCTACTATAGAACTCTACGGTGGAAGGAGTTCTTAGTATTACTATTTCCAGTAAACCCAGCAACCAAGCTACAGCCCTAGGACGTAGATCGTCGCCCCCACGCACACAGATACAGTTTTGGTAAACTTGATCCAGCTAGATAGACTAAACCATTAGTAGAAAGCCAGAGTATCAACCTAGTTTCACCCATCTCATCCTATTTAGTATTCCCTACACAGTCCTATGATACCGCTCAGTGGTCCTGGATTCTATGATAAAAGCAACCTTTACAGTCCGGATTCATCCAGATCTGTAATACTTCCAACCCAGCCTCAATCCTCCCTATTCACTTATAGTTCTCACCCGACAGAGACTGAATACTGCTGAACATTACTACTAATATTACATGAAGACTTACGTATTCCCAATACCTTANATATTTCCTACCCTCCTTTCCTCCCTCCCTCCTACCCTCTCCCTTCAGGCGTTCAGACAAAGGGACATCCCACCTCACTGCACCCCTTGATAAGACTTTCCAACCATCGACAATGAATTAGGCTTTTAGGCAGCCTGCTTCTTTCCATCTGACTCTAAGGACCGCATGGTCTAGTATTGCAAGATTAGGATAAAGGTACCACGTAGGTACTAATGCAGCCGATTGACGAAAAGGATGAGTGGATTTCTGGTAATGACACAAAGAGGCACTACTACGGGCACCACTGGAGCTTACTAGTTTGTGCTACAAGGGGCTGAGACATGGCTGTGTAGGATGGCTAGTACCTTTCTGCTGGGGTCCGGGATCCCCCCTTGTTCGTTGTCTGGTCCCGATATCTGATGCTTTGATACGTACAGCAACGCTGTCTGTTCAGTTACTCTTTCTGTTTGTTCGAGGTCTTGTGTGATCGAAAGCTTCGTGATTTGTTATTTAAGCTGTCATCGATTTATCTATGCTATAACTAGCTCGCTGAGACTAACCTCACTTTTTAGCATATGCCCTTCCATGTCCTGCGAAATTCCCGTTCACTGGTGACCCGTCATACTGCGACTGGAGGTAGGTTGAGATCCGACAAAGTAGGAGAAGCAATCGCGTGGCCGGAGAAATTTCTGGCTGACGAGCTGGGGCTCCATATCTCGTCTGGAAGTTGACTACCTCCCCCAAATACTATACTTGAAGGCGACGTATTTTGAGTATCCCCATTCCTCTCGAGGTTTGGATCATTACTGACTGCTTCTCGAGCGACCATTTCGTCACTGAAGCAATCCAAGCTGGTGATTTCCACAACTATTGGCTCTTTGGGGAGGCAGGGAGTCCAGTTTCTAATTGATCGATAGTAAAGTTCTTTAAACTCGAAGGAATGGACTGGATTGCTGAACCACGCATGTTGCAGCCCTTGCTTGGCGGTCAGGCGCTCTTCTGCGATGATTCTGAGAAGGCGATGAATGAAGTCTTTTGCTCGGGGATGTGCAAATTTTCTGGTCAGACTCTCCTCCAACTTCTCATAACCCCCGATTTTAGCCAAGTCAAATGCGTACGTTGCCATTGAGCCATCACACGAAGTACTACCTGTCAGTAAGACCGCTGTTACGCAACCTAGCGACCACATGTCTGCTGCTTTGGTATAACCCTCTTGACGAGGAGAAATAACTTCTCTGTCCTGGAATTAGCACCGCAAAACACTAACGATCAGAGCACTAACGGAGCACTATATTCGAATGTGCCAACCATGGTCGACATTCGCCCCGTGTTGTGGGTGGCGCATCCAAAGTCAGATAGCACAACCCTGCATCCATCCTCCAAGGATGTCATGAGTATATTGTCTGGTTTCAGGTCTCGATGAATTATATCCCGGCCATGCAAGTAATCCAATGCCATCAGTAGTTGCCGAACTATAACTGCAGCCTCGATGTTAGTAAGCATTCCCCCTTTGTACTGGATATAAGAGAAAAGATCTCCGCCAGGTACCAGCTCCTGAAAGAGATAACTATGTTTTCTCTTAGCCACTAGCCGTGCGCAGGCTTATGAACCACACTTACACATGATAGCTAGTTTGTATCACTTTTTTGAGACTGATAATGTTGGGCTATCGTGGTGTCAGAGCAAGGCCCAACAACGAGATTCATCGCGGTAACTTACATGGCAAAGATCTTTCAATATTAGGGCCTCGCGGCTGGAAACTTCCAATCTTTTCCTAAGGTTTGCTTCACGGCCAGACTCTAGTAGCTTCTTCCCGTACTTCATTTTGACCAAATCGGCTTTTTGCAGCACGGTTGGATCGCCATAGTCGTCCCCATTATCACCTGCCCGTGATACCCTAATTATGCCACCCCTAAGAGGTCGGAGGTTTATAACTTTGCAAGCAAGTTGCTGGCCACTAATAGAATTGTAGGCCATGTACACCTGTCCGTAAGCACCAGATCCCAATCTACGTGGTGTGACGCAGTACGTATTGTTGAAAAACTGCGAAAAATTAGCACGGATTTCAATCTCGATGTGGAATCGCACTGCTAACCTGGATCTCTTTGGTCATGACGATACCAAGGCGTTCTTGCACATGCATCTGATAACTGAACCTGAGAAATATACCCACCGGCAGCTGGATTATGTCGCCATCACTGAGGAGAAATCCACCCTTGCCTGACATGGGGTAGATGTTCCATACAGCCCCATTTTCGGAGATGTCCTCGGCGTAAACCAATGGCAAAATGCTTCCAGGGTTCTCATGGTCGAATAGAATGGTATATATGCGGAGGTGTTGACGAGAAACGAACTTATTATCCAGCACGAAATGACTTTGTATCGGTTAACTTCCACATGCGAGATGGGATAGAAAGCGTACCACTTATCCGGGTCTCTACCGACATATACCGTCTGGTGGCTCCGGATGATCAGCTGCTCGTCCGCTCGACCGGTCTCTGGATCCCATCTAGATAATATCCCAACAGCATCGGGGGTCTGAGACCAGGACATGGCGGGTGCTTGGGGACCCGAGGAATGATAGGATTAACGATAAGTTAGGATGCTTGCTAGGCGGGATATGGATAGGAAAAATCTGAGAGAAGCATGATTGAGTAGGCCAGGTAATGGATCACCGAACCGTTATAGAGTTGTTCACGCTGGAACATCCAGCGCCGGCAGGTCAGGTGCCTGCCTGCCTATCTGGTAAGTTCTAAGGCAACAACAACCATCTACTGCACTAACACTTTCATATGGTGTGCGGCCGATGGATTAGAATCACCGTTAAGCCAGTCGCCGGCACTTATAAGTTTCAAAAAAGCAGAATTCAAGACATAGCCAGCCAGAGCACAACCGAACATGGACTGCTGGCTGCTGTGGCCATTCGTTTCTATTCATCAAAAGACATCAATACGCTCCGTACAATGCAATGCTACATGCCATGACTTCATCACAGATCTGAGGGAAAGCAAAGAGTGAAAACGTTGAGCAGTCAAATTCATCAATTCCCTTGCAATCGTCGAATGCGTTCCTCAGCTGCTCTAGCGCGGCGTTCCCGTTCCAGCCGCATTCTCATTTCCGGCGTCATACCTCGCATCTCTTCTTCCCTCTTCTCAGAAGCCGTCTTCTCAACAGAACCCAGCGTTCGACCAGCTGGTTTCTTGGAGGCGCGTTGTGCGGCGCTAGCCACCTCCTCCTTTTTCAAGCGATCCATTTCAACCTTGCGTCGACTCGTCTCTTCTTCCTCTGCGGTTTTTCGCTCCCTCTCAGAGCGGCTATTGGCCTCGTCTCGAGAGATCGGTGACGGCACTTTGGTAGCCTCCCAATCCCACTTCGACTCGCCTAGCTCATGACGCGCAACGCGAAAGGCGTCCCGCGTCGCACGATCCCCAGCAAGCTCGAATGGGGTTCTTCCTTCGCCATTGGTCGCTGTTGGGTCTGCTGTGGTTTTGGTCAAAAGGGCGAGGACCATGGATGGTGAGTTAAGATTGGCAGCGAAGTGTAGGGGGGTGGGACAGCGGAAATTTTGCTGAGAGTCGGATGGCCGAAAGGCGAAAGACGCAGGGAGTGAGTTCTTAGATAGATAAGTCATCAATGCTGGGATCTTAGAACGACGGATGAGAGCCTGAATTTGGCTTGTGTGTAGCATAGCCGCTTCATCTTCTTTGGAAACCTTAGGCTTCTGCTGTTGAGGCCGTGGAGTTGACGGCTTCGACACTTCGTCCCGTTGCTTGGCCTCTGCAGCCGCCAACGCGGCTTCGTCGATTTGGCTTACTTTCACCCGGGTGAGCTCCTTGAAGCAACGCATCAGCTCCCCCTGGGTTGCCCGACGGGTGCTGAACGGGAAGCCTCTCAATCTCGGGTCGTTTTGCCTGAGAACCTGGCCCTCATACTGGCTGAAAAGGATTCGACGATTTGTACTGCCCGTAGCACGAACAAACAATAGTTCGGCCTCATCAATCATCTGCTTCCAATCGGTCAATAAATCTCTGACCTCCTTCTCTAACGCAGCTTCATTGTATCTTCTGAGACTGGAACCTGCCGAATGCGCGGCCCCCTTGGCAGCATCATTAGCAGATTGCGAGCCACCTTGCTTTCGTCTGGTCGTGTAACGATGAAATGTCTTGTGCGCAATGACCCGAGCTTGTCTATCCTCGATACCGCCCTGCTTCCGATGAATTTCGGGAGCCAGCGAGACCAGCATTGCGGCGAAATGGCCGCCTCCGATCATGCACATGAAAACATGAGGGCTGGGGGATGACGGCGTCTGTTGGGCATTTCCATTGGCTCTCGGCGGCATGATAGGTGCAAGCTGCTTCCTTTGAATGGTTTCAACGAGGTGTTTGGGCTCATCCTGTTCAGCATTTGAGAACAAGGCCCGGTAGACACCCAAGGACATGTTGGAAGGCAGACGTGTGCTAGCGAGCCAGAAAAGTGGTGGCCTGCCGGAAGTTTTCTTCTTCGATGGTGCTTCATCCTCATCGTTTACCTGAGAGATTTTGGCCTGTCTCTTCAGCAATGCTGAAAGCTGATCATCCTCCTCTTCCTCATCCTCTGCTTCTGACGACTCGGACCCGGATATAGACTCGTCGAGTTCCCCAATCGCTTTTGCAAATTGAGGCTCGTCCAATGTTAAACCTCCTCTAAGCTGGGCCTTCAGGTTATATCTATGATGGTCGGAGCGAACATGGCTCCGTTGTTCTTGGACGTTCAGGTACGAGACCTTGCAAAGAGTACAACTTGTTGTCGAGGCAACCGCATGATCCAACACGACTTCGTTGGTCTTGTCTGCAACAGCTTCAGGGGTGTCCGCTCTTAATATCGCTTGGTTTTCATGCTTCGTGGTTAGCGTCGAGAGAAGTTCCTGTGGAAGATTGTACACTTCGGATGTCACAATGTGTCAGCAAGCCATCTATCATTTTGGTATAAATAAGGAAAGACCCAATCTAAGGACGAGCGAACACCAATGCTTACCATATAGAGGCCTTTTGACAAATTCCTCAAGAGGTGTATCTGTAGCCATGTTGACGGCCCAGAAAACGCACAACTGTTGGTAAAGCTTTTGAACGATCTGGGACTTGAATGTTGCGCGCCAAAAGAATGACGCTGCAGGAACCCCTCTGGCAGCCCACTCACCGCCTTCCGCCTTGGATGTGGGGCGCGAACCTCAAATAAAATGCTTCTGGAAGGCAGCCGGTTGTTCCGGTCCTACTTAGACTGACTGGCTAGGTACTAAGTTTATTATCATACTAAGTATCTGCTGTTTGACCGGTTCGAGGAGGATACAGTTAAATAGAAGCGGAAAGGTTCAAAGACACTGGTTGTGACCATGCAGTAAGTTAGAAGTTCCAGAGCCGGCCGTACTAAGTAGGCCTGGAAGCATTAATTATCACTATTTTTGTACGGAGTCGGCCAGCAATTGATGAGCATGCTTTCAATACTTTGTTCCCTTATTCCATTTTCCTACCTCAATGTTTTCCTTTTATGTTCGAAGAACCACATTGTGAAAGATGGTAGCGTCTTGCCACATTGGGAATCCCGATGAAGCTTGCTTGACGATGACAGAGCTTGTGATCAGCACACGGGCTATCTAGCACACTTACCAAGTGGAGCAGGGCTAATAGGCTGCCCAGTAGCGGTGTTGCCCAATGGCTTTCATCTAGCTGCCTTAAGAAATGGAGCAGGCGATGAGCAGATGGACGATCTCTGTCTGTTGTCCGATGACCATCGCTGAGTTAGTAGATACCGTGAGGGCGGGCAGAGATTCTGGAAGTTTACTCCGAATAGGCGGTATCTCCGGGTGGGGTAGTCGGTGCTAATTCGGGCTCAAACCCCGACTCCGAGACTCCCAAAACATCCAATCAGGCTGAGCACATTCCCGCGGGTAAGCACGACATCGGTTAGCGTCATTTCAAGGCGAGCCACCGCTTTGAAAATAATGGATTACTTACTCTATTACTACTAGGAATCCTAGAGATCTGGTCCTATAGCTGTGCTTAGTAAGTCAACCATAGAGGCAGCCCAAATGAAGCAGCAGGCAGTTACATAATGGTTAATATGATGTGTAACACTAGGTAAGTACGATACAAGGTCAGCCTTTCCTCTAAGGCTGGACTGGGATGATCCGGAGTTAACAAACGAAGACTGGCTTACTTCGTAGTAGACTAGCACTGCGTAGATAAGCAGCCGTTCATTACATCATTGGTTATTGCCTCCGCCCACCTACACTTCATTCAAACTACTATCTCTGTCGGGCTGTGCGCTTCTCAAACCCCGAGGCGTTGATGGGACACTGTTCAGAGCTTGGATCATAGAATATCTAAGAGGAATGTAAGACCTAGTAGAGTGATAAGTGGCAGTTATAGAGGATACTACTGCTTTCGGTCGAGAACCTTGGATCAACCCTGCCAAGCACCGTTACCACGAGGAAAGAGACCGAATTATGTCATAAACTCGGAATACATCCCTCGCCTTCTCGATGTTAGCCAGAAAAGGTACGGGAGGACGGGAGAACACTGCAACACTTCAACTTACACCGACATCCACGCGCTATAGACAAAATACGAAAGGCTTCTCATCCATTACCACTGCGCTCAGGCAAAGGGAAAAAAGGGGGCCATGCGCTTAGTATGCCGCTTATCAGGCCGGACAGAACGGTAACGCCCTTGTACGACCGCTTACTTACCCTTGTATCTTTTCCGCAAAAGCTTGGGCCCAGAGGCCTTTTAGTAAGCAGCTTGCAGCTCACTAACGAATCAGTAGTTCTCCGTGGTTATCGCCCTCGACGAAACGTTCTTCCTTCACGATCGCAATCCTTCCTTGCGTGAAAAGGCAACCTCGGGGCTTTTCACTGCTTCTCCCTTCCCCCCCGTTGCATGTCCGAAAGGACGAGCGATCTAGTGGTTGGGATACTTACATTCGGGGAAAATGCTGGAAGGCAGTTCCCAAACGTTCCTGGGGGATTCCACCCCCGGATCCCTGCTATCGTCAAACCCGAACACAGCATTCCAGTCCCCCAAGCTACAGCCCTTTTGTGGCGACGTCGAGGGCTGGGGCCCGATCAGTCAGTTCAGATTCGATTTGACACCATGCTTTCTAGATGCCGGAGTGGCTGTCGTTGCAGCATGGGGTCTGCTTATGGGTACGGGTGCTGTGTGGTACTTGCTTAAAAAGCGAATCCCTCAGCCCGTGTCGAAGAACTGGCATTTCTATGCCAAGCTGGTTAGCATCCTACCCCTTCTTCTATAGTATCCCTGCCTTTGGACTGACCGGTGCCCATTGCCCCTGTGTTAGGCCGTCTTGTCCGCCTTGATCTTTGCTACTGCCCTACAGGCAGCCATCCAGGTCGAAACTTACCCGGATAACTGGTTCGCCGACTTTCAATTTTGGAGCTCAGCTCTTGTGCTTGCTTCCCTCGGTGTCATCTTTGCAGTGCAGTACTATGAACACTGGCGCAGTCGGCAGCCCAATGGTGTCGTCTTGTTCTACTGGCTCTTCTTCACCATCGCCTACGGAATCAAATTGCGGTCGCTTGTGGCACGGAAGGCATACGAGGATCAGCTTCCATACTTCGTTACTTTCTCTGTGAGCCTGGGGCTGGCACTATTGGAATTCGCTCTAGAGTACTTAGTTCCCAAGAAACAGAGCGCCTACGATGCGCTGGGCGACGAGGATGAATGCCCTTATGAATATGCAGATATATTCTCGGTCCTTACTTTCAGCTGGATGACCCCGATGATGAAATTTGGCTACAAAAACTTTTTGACCCAAGATGATCTCTGGAACCTTCGCCGTCGCGATACAACCGGCGTGACTGGGACGACACTGAGGGAGAATTGGGAATATGAGCTGAAAAAGAACAAGCCTTCTCTGTCTTTGGCTTTGATCAAATCATTTGGAGGCTCTTTTCTGCGTGGTGGAATGATCAAATGTGGAAGCGACACGCTGGCCTTCGTCCAGCCCCAGCTTCTGCGTCTGCTGATCAACTTTATCAATTCCTATCGTACCAACGAGCCTCAACCAGTCATTAGGGGTGTGGCCATAGCCCTCGCCATGTTTCTGGTCTCCGTGTCGCAGACCATGTGTCTTCACCAATACTTCCAAAGGGCTTTTGACACCGGTATGCGCGTCAAGTCTGCTCTGACTGGCCTGATTTACGCGAAGTCACTGAGACTCTCAAGCGAGGGCCGCTCAACGAAGACAACGGGTGACATTGTCAATCATATGGCTGTCGATCAGCAGCGTTTGTCCGATCTGACCCAGTTCGGTGTTCAGCTGTGGTCCGCGCCGTTCCAGATCACCCTCTGCATGCTCTCTCTCTACCAGCTTGTCGGATACAGCATGTTCGCGGGAATCGGTGTGATGCTACTCATGATTCCGTTGAACGGCGTGATAGCTCGGATGATGAAGAAGCTACAGCTTGTTCAGATGAAAAACAAGGATTCACGATCAAGGCTGATGACCGAGATCTTGAACAACATCAAGAGTATCAAGCTTTATGCATGGAATACGGCCTTCATGAACAAGCTCAGTCACATTCGTAATGACTTGGAATTGAACACGCTCCGCAAAATCGGTGCGACACAGTCCATCGCAAACTTTACCTGGCAGTCCACCCCGTTCCTTGTCTCTTGCTCTACATTTACTGTCTACGCCTTGACTCAAGACAAGCCTCTCACCACCGACGTGGTGTTTCCGGCCTTGACGCTCTTCAACCTGCTTACTTTCCCGCTCTCTATCCTTCCAATGGTCATCACGGCTGTCATTGAGGCCTCGGTGGCTGTCAAGCGTCTAACGGATTATTTTACCGCGGAGGAATTGCAAACTGACGCTGTTAAGATTGAGGATACCGTTTCTCATATCGGCGACGAGTCTGTCAGAATTCAGGATGCTTCCTTTACGTGGAATAGGTACGAAGGCACGCACGTGATTGAAAATATCAGCTTCAGTGCCCGTAAGGGTGAGCTCAGCTGCATTGTCGGGAGAGTCGGGGCTGGTAAATCTTCTTTGCTTCAGTCACTGCTGGGAGATTTGTGGAGGACCGAAGGTGAAGTCGTTGTCCGAGGTCGCATTGCCTATGTTGCCCAATCGCCCTGGGTCATGAACGCAAGCGTCCGTGAAAACATCGTTTTTGGCCATCGCTGGGACCCTCAATTCTACGACCTTACCGTTGAGGCATGTGCTCTGCTGGACGATTTCAAGAATCTGCCCGATGGTGATCAAACTGAAGTTGGTGAAAGAGGAATCTCGCTATCTGGAGGACAAAAGGCTCGGTTGACCCTCGCTCGAGCTGTCTATGCTCGTGCCGACATCTACCTGCTTGACGATGTGCTCTCCGCAGTCGATCAACACGTGGGAAGACATCTCATCAATAGGGTTCTTGGCCAAAATGGTATACTGAGCACCAAGACCAGGATCCTCGCGACGAATGCCATTCCTGTTTTGAAGGAGGCTGATTACATCGGCCTGCTGCGCAATAAGACAATCATCGAGAGCGGGACCTATGAACAATTGCTGGCTATGAAGGGAGAGGTCGCGAACCTGATTCGTACCACGATGAACGATTCGGACGACGACGAGGAGTCTGGCACCGAAAGCCGTGACCTAGCGAGCCCTGAAAGCTCTGAATCTGTCACTGTGATTGATAACGCAGAGTCTGATTCGGATCCCGAGGATGCTGAGCGAGAAATAGGTGCGCTTGCTCCGATTAGGGCTGCTGGTGGTAGAAGGTCAAGCACTGTAACTCTGCGACGCGCGAGCACCGCTAGCTGGAAGGGCCCTAGGCGGAAGCTAGGAGACGAAGAAAACGTCCTGAAGAGCAAACAGACCCAAGAGACATCGCAGCAAGGCAAAGTCAAGTGGAGTGTTTATGGCGAGTACGCTAAAAACAGTAACATCGTTGCCGTTTGTTTCTACCTGGCCGCCCTGCTGGGAGCTCAGACTGCGCAGGTCTCAGGCAGTTTTTGGCTTAAACACTGGTCTGAGGTTACCGAAGCCCAGCCAGATGTTCCTGTCGGCAAATACATTGGTATCTACTTGGCCTTTGGTCTGGGATCGTCCCTTCTGGTCATCCTTCAGAATCTGATATTGTGGATTTTCTGTTCTATCGAGGTATGCTGGATTCCCCGTGCCCTGTGAGGCCCCCCCAATTAATCGCTTTACCATATGCTAGGCCTCCCGCAAACTTCATGAACGCATGGCATTCGCCATCTTCCGTTCTCCCATGAGCTTCTTCGAGACAACACCATCCGGCCGGATTCTCAACCGATTCTCGAGGTGAGTTCTTTTCCGATATCATGAGACATAGCATTTGGTGGAGGAAGGCTAACATTTACTTGCTCAGCGACGTCTATCGTATTGACGAAGTGCTTGCACGGACCTTCAACATGGTGAGTTTGGAGATCTCCCTTGATTGGCTACTGTCGCTTACATCTGCCAATAGTTGTTCGGTAACTCTGCCAAAGCCATGTTCACCATGATTGTTATCGCTTCCTCAACCCCGGCCTTCCTCATCCTGGTGATTCCGTTGAGCTACGTATATTTCAGCTACCAAAAGTACTACCTCCGCACATCGCGTGAACTGAAGCGCTTGGACAGCGTCACGCGCAGTCCTATCTACGCGCACTTCCAGGAGTCTCTGGGCGGTATTTCGACGATTCGTGCCTATAGACAGGAAGAGCGCTTTACTTTGGAGAACGAGTGGCGAATGGATGCGAATGTGCGTGCATACTTCCCATCCATCAGTGCCAACCGTTGGCTGGCTGTGCGTCTCGAGTTCATTGGCTCTGTAATCATTCTGGCCTCCGCGGTACTTTCTATCGTTTCCGTAGCGACCGGCAGTGGGCTATCTGCTGGCATGGTTGGTCTAGCCATGTCCTACGCTCTACAGATTACCCAATCCCTGAACTGGATCGTTCGCCAAACGGTTGAGGTTGAGACAAACATCGTGTCGGTCGAGCGTGTGCTAGAGTACGCAAGCCTGCCCAGCGAGGCACCAGAGGTGATTTTCAAGCATCGGCCTGCTATTGGGTGGCCCGCGCAAGGCGCGGTATCGTTCAACAACTACAGCACACGTTACCGCCCAGGGCTTGATCTCGTGCTCAAAGATATCAATCTTGATATCAAGCCCCACGAGAAGATCGGCGTGGTTGGTCGCACAGGTGCAGGCAAGAGTTCACTGACTCTGGCACTGTTCCGCATTATTGAGCCGGACAATGGCAGCATCAGGTAAGGACTGCTGCCCGACGTTATCTCATCGTGGCGAAATAGATTCAAAAGCTAACGCTGTGTGTAGCATCGACGGGCTGAACGTGTCGACCATTGGCCTTTTCGACCTGCGGGGCCGCCTTGCCATCATCCCTCAGGATCCGGCCATGTTTGAAGGAACCGTACGGGATAATTTGGACCCACGACATGTGCATGATGACACCGAACTCTGGAGCGTGCTTGGTACGTTGGGCTACATTGCATACGAACGCTAAGTGTGATTAACTGACCTGTTATTCCTGCAGAACATGCGCGACTTAAAGATCATGTCGCGCAAATGGACGGTCAGTTGGATGCCCAAATTCAGGAAGGAGGTAAGCATGTGGCTGGTTTTGGTCTCTCACTCGTGCATTTCTGCGCGGTTTTTTACATCATTAAGGATCTGGGTTAACCTAGTCATTGGCAGGATCCAATCTCAGTCAAGGGCAGCGCCAGCTGGTTTCCCTGGCGCGAGCGCTGTTGACGCCTAGTAATATTCTTGTGCTGGACGAGGCAACGGTACGTGGCCAATCCCATTGCAATGTGCTTGTTTAATTACTTTGACCCCCGTTTTCCTTTCATTTCGCCTCCAAACTTACAGTTCGCTTTAGGCGGCAGTGGATGTGGAAACGGACGCATTGCTGCAACGCACGTTGCGCAGCAGCATCTTCCAAGACCGGACGATCATCACTATCGCGCACCGTATCAATACCATTATCGATTCTGATCGAATCGTGGTGCTCGACAAGGGCCGGGTGGTCGAGTTCGACTCGCCCGCGGAGCTCATCAAGCGCGAAGGCCGGTTTTACGAGCTGGTCAAAGAGGCCGGACTCCTTGACAACAGCGACGGGCCTGGAGCTACGCAACAATCCTAGCGCTTATGACGAACATGGCGCTTCCTGGGTGGCCGGAAAGGATAAGATAGCCTGTTTGGTTTCAGGCCGATCCCTCGCCCCCCGACATGACTCACTGGGCTGCGGTTATGAAGGTGCGTACCCCTTGGATAACAGGCTCGGCTTAGTCTGTACTTCGTACATAGACAGAGCTATTGTTCGAGCGCTGCATGGGGGTCCATAGCCAGTCTGTGCGCACCTGATTGGGACGCAAATAGAGGAGGGACAAACCAGAAAAAACCCTAGAATAAAGTAAAAAAACAAAAGGGGGTGTGGGAGGGGTGTCGGTATTGTACCGCGGAATCAGGCACTCGATTCGAGCTTGGAATCATACGAGGTGTGATTGGCAATTTCGGATTGCTCGGTGTTTTGTCTCTGTCTGGGTCTAGATAGGAAGTGGAGGTCTGTTCTGTCAGGGTGTGACTAAAAAAAGTATGATCTTGTTGGAATATACGCACGCGCACACACACATAGTATTATATATATTGGCGTTCTGATTTAACCCATCCTTAAAGGAGTAGATATTGAAGCATCAACCACAACTGCCGTGTTCACTGAAAGTGATTACTACATTGTCCACCCCCCTCCTTTAACTAGTAACTCTTCCTACCCTCAACCCGTAACGCCGTGGGAGAGAAATCTTTTCCACGCGCAAAGCGACAAAAGGAAAAAAAGGAGGAGAATCAGCGCATCAACAGTAGTAGCGGTGTAGGGAAAAGGGCAGGCACCTGCCAGACAGAAAACCCGGACTCTGCAGCATGCATTGCATGGCATGCATGTACTAGCGCCACACCAGAACAAACAACTGGACTTGCTCTGCGCTGCATTGCTGACTTAATGCATTTCCGCCAATATCATATCTGCTCTTTTTTTTTTCTGACGCAGTCATATCATTATCATTGGTGTCACGGTGCTGATGCTGATGCTAATGAAGTCACTCACGACTAACCAGTAATTAGTATGAATGGGATCAAGTTTCGACTAGTATAGTAAGTAATTATATGCGATGATATGCTGGGGGACCAAGTGGAAGTGGTAAAATCGGTGTCATTACGTGTTTCGCCAAAATGGCTAGAATTGTGTAGGTATGTTCAAGTCTCTTCCTTCTGGACTTGTTGTATTTAGGTTAATTAGTAGTTGATTGCTCTGTGTTGTTTGGGTGTGTAACACTACCGTTGTTTCTGCTGCGTACTTGTACTCTATACTCTGTATGGTTATGATCAAGTGTAAACTGACACGCAGGCAGATATAAGTATTACTGACCATTTGCAAGAATTGAAAGGACGAAAAGAACTAGTAGGGGAAGAAAGTACCGTCTTTTTGTGTAGTACTTTGGATAATACTATTGGGATATATTATGAGATGAGTTACGTGGTTCGGTTCATTCGGTTCATAGATGAGTGCCTTATGAATCTTTGCATGAGACGGTGGCGTTGTTCTGTTTTATCTGATCTAGATTGACGGTGAGATGGTGCCTTTGCTCGTGCTTGGGCTGCTCGTGCGCCGTGTTCTTGGGAGGTATATATGTGATGTACTAAGTAGTATATGTTCGCCAGTGGCGTCGAAGCCAGTTTGTCTAGATATGAGTGAATATACGGTCAGTGCTAAGCAGTAGTTCTGCCAGCACGCTGGTCTCTATAGAGTTTGTTGAGGCCTAACATAATATTGTGACAATCTGGACTTCACGTTCGGGTATACGATGATATCGAGAATGATGACATTGAGGTACTACAGTAACTGTTCACTCGTGGTGGTGTATAGTAGTAGCATACTAAGTGTTACTTTGATGTGAAAATAGAGCGGCGTGATATATATATATTCCATGTCATGGCTTAATACATTACAATATACCCACCTCCTACTAGCAATTTGTTCACTTCAAAGAAACAGTATATACAGTGGAATAATAGAGATACCGAGATCATTCGATCCAAAAATGTATCAGTCGGGTACTATTCTCTACACCTCCTACCTGCAAAGAACACAGAACCAACGTCCACATGCACAACTGACAACCCACCCCCGAAGTCTGGAATGACCAAGCAGCTGACTAGCAGCTACGTTACTGCTGCAAGCATTGACTGACTGACTAAACCACGGAGATAAGCGATTTGGTTAGTGAGTTAGTTACTTAGCGACTCCGTAGTTAGCCATGGAAAATGAGGGGTTCTCAAACTGGCGGTGAGAATGACAGAACCCAAAGGGGTCTTCGATGTTCTACAGTACTTCGAAGGCCCAAAGAACACGCATACTAACTCCAAGTACCTGACTAACCTGGCCTACCGAGGGAGAAGCGAGTGGAGGCTGGAACTGAATGTATTTTAGTCCTGTTTCGCTTGACGCCGGAGTTTTGGTTTCGCGCTGCCTGCACTGCCACAGATACGTGCTCAGATACATGATTGCTGATAGTAAATGTCATTTAGCCTAAATGGAGGGACAGTGGCGAGATGGCGCATATGCGCTCGTCAATTTAGACGGACGGACTATCTATCCATTCTTAATCCTCTGCTAAGTAACTATAAGTAACTACTAGGTTCGTGAATTGAGTGGTTGTGGCGGCGCTTAACTGGCGCTTTGACGATGTGCCCGCAGGTTCCAAGTTTCGCCCTTTTTTAATCGACTTCTATCTATGTCGTTGGAAGAGAAGTGTGGCATGTCGCTGAGCCTTGGGCGAGTAAGGTTTACCCCAGTGCTTAGGGAACATGCGCTTCGATACGAATAATGCAATGGTTGCTGAAGATAAAGGAGGCATTGAGGATTACCATAGGCTGGGACTTGTGCTGATATTTTGTCGGGTACGAGTTCCTATCTGTATGTACTCTACGGAGTACAGTGAGTGACATACTAGGCTAGCGTATTGGTGGACCAGGAAAGAAAGTTATCCTCCTTGCTTCGCGCACCGTCATCATCGTCGTCCCGATCAGTAGATAGTTACGGACTACTGGCGTGATCGATCGATTGGCCTTCTTCAAAACACCTGCCTAGTCTAGATAGCGATCGCATCGTAGAAAAGGGGGGGTGGCGGCAATCAAACCCTTCCACTGAAGTTTAGCATCGCGGCGAAAAGAGCGTCTCTAGCCTCTATCTCTGCGAAATAAACTCCGAGAAACTGAGCTACCAAAGCATATCTCAATCCGTAAACTTTCGCGGAGGTTCTTCAGATCTGAGTGTTGAAGCAGGGTGGGCACGGTATTTTATTCCGGGGATGAATTCGCCAATGAGTGCACGCCCCTTTGAGGCGAGAGGAGAAGCACTGGTGTAGAAAGTGCGATAGTTAGCTAGTTAGACGAGGCGGATCTGAGATTATGATGATGTTCTGCATGGACCAAGTGCCGCGCCGCTTGCTGGACCTGGTCGTCGGGTCGAGGGATCGCGGGACTCAGCTCATGGCGCGATCCACAGGATGACCACTTTGAGCGGCGTGCATGGGGATTGAACGGACGGATTGGATGGTAGTTCGCGCTGGGTCGTGGGACGGGCAAGTCGTTTCGAGACTTGCACCTCAAAAGGGAAAGGGGAGGAGGTCTAGTTTTTTTTTGGATCGACTGGTTATTGAGTGGCCGCGGGATTTGGGTGTGGCGACGGGCCAGGTGGCTAGACTATACCAATTGTGTTCGATTCGAATTAGTGGAAAGTCAGTGGAAGAGCTAGCTAGTTGGCCAAGCGATAAGCGAGAATGGTGTTGACGGCGAAAATCGCCGAAGAAGATGTTGGATTGAAAGGAACTGGAAGGGGCATGGAATTGGTAATTAACCCGGGAGAATGGTTGATTATAGTCAAGAATTTAGTGCTCCAAGGATTCTGCTGGGGGGTGAAGGCTTGACAGCGGCTACTCCTCATGACAGTCCAGGATGACAGCTGTGTAAATATAGTAACTAAGACCAGGGAGCAGATAGTGATGGGATCCTTCAAGTCGCGCAAAGCAGACCAGACACAGTGGCTGGCCGCAATGGCTCAACGCTCAGGCCGTTAAACTAATGGAGACTCATTCAACTTCCCCGAGACGCCAACCATGGTTCAGCGGTCGACGGTGGGCGGAGTTTCCGACGAGTCGACCAAGAGTCCATGACGAATACGGATTCATCTTGAACATTCTCGACGCCATGGGAAGTTGTCTGCAGGGACAGTGGGTGTGGATAGAACCAGGCTTGCATGTGTGTTGGGTGCCTGTGTGTGTGTGTTTTTTTACCATGCTTCAGTTTTTGTTTTTCCTCCCCGTTTTCGACGGGGCCAGACAATCACATTGTCCAGGATATCCCTACCGGAGAGCATCCACCGGAGATGGAGCCTGACAGCTGGCCATGGCTTATTTGTCCAACCCGCCCCGCGGCTGTTAGTATCCAGGTTTCGCAGTGGTGGTTTGTTGACACGCCCGTTTGTGGTAGTAAGTAGTTAGTGGTTGTGTTGCGTTGTGCCTTTCGGGGTTTGGGGCTTCGCTTAGCAGACGAAGCAGTAATCATGATGATAACTAGACATATAGACGGAGTACTCCGTATGTAGTGCAATATTGGAGATGTGGAGTAATATGATGGTAGTACGTACTTTGTATGTTAATAGTACCACTGCTTCTAGCAGTATATCGTAAATGAGTAAGTAATTATTTGGAATCAGTTCACTGAGACAATTGACGGACAGTAACTGACTAACCGTATAGTTAGTTGGTTAGTTAACTAACGAACTAACCAGTTACACAGTAGTTTCCTTCAACTGATCGTCAATTGTCAAATCCTCATCAGCATCATCATTGTGGCTCATTGCAGATCTTCCAATCCCCAATCCCCGATTCCCCTGACCGGACGCCAATTGCCCAAGCAAGCAATATCTCCGTGCCCGGCGAGGCCTCATCCATCAGCACTTAGTTAGCACGAAGGAGGGAAATTAACCAGATGGATAATAATAAGTACCCATGTTAGGTACACCACAATAATACTCGGCTGTTAAGCATCCACCGACGAAGTGTAGTGTAGTCACTAGTTAGTAGTCGCATTCCGGGATACACTCATACCCAGAACCCGCGCCCGCCAGCCACAATCATCATTCTGCTGCAGCACGCACAAAACACATCAACCATCCTTCTATCTGTCAGTCAATCCTTCCTTCCCGGCCACTTATCTAAGGTACGAACCAGGAACCCCGGTATTAGTTTGCTGCACAGGACTTTCGGTCCCAGGAAATGAACCCTGTGGATCACGTAGAACCCTGTCTTCTGTCTCTTACTGTAAGTTGTTCTTGTCTCGCTCCAAGGAACATGATCCGCCCCGTTCGTTTGTCCGTTCCCACATACACACACACACAACCTATCGCACCCCTGCCGGTGGATTGATTGTCATCCTAAATGGAGAAAAGGTATGGCTGGCCAAGAGGGGGCTATCTGAAACGGATCAATTGGGAGTTCGAGCTGTCGGCCGAAGTGGTACCTGCCGAATGTATCTTTCTGTGGATTTGCGTGGTTTGGAGGATCGGTGTTTGGATACTCTTGAAGGACGAACATATTGCGTCAAAATAATTAGGATAGTAAAGATCAGTCAAAATACTGTACAGTCGATCTGAAAAGACCTGGTAAGTAGCACTTAGCCAGAGGCAAGCAATCGATCATTCAAGAGCGAACATTATCTCTTCTATCTCATTTGAGCGGGATTGTTTATCATCGCGAATCTGGGCACCTGGAATCAAAGGTCTTGTCCGGATAGCTCTAGGTATTTTCCAACCACAACAACTGGACCAAAAGATGGCTCATGGTGGGAAAATAGCCCCTGCGGATTCATTATCCGAAAGCAACCGCGCTCCCCGACAATAGTCGGTCAAGTTTCAGCTCCTCCTCCTCCTCAACTAAACTCGGGATTTAATGGTCGACGTGCCCAGTGAGTGGTGGTTGTCCCTAGTGACATTGACTATCTTGTGCATAGCCCCGAACAAAAGCGAGCGAGGCAGCAAGCGGACGGGACGACCGCAATCCCTGCGTAGATTGGCGCATTCAGTCAATCGGATCCCTCGTTAGTGCTGCGTCAGTGAGGTGTGAGCATCGCGATCGGAGGGGGTTGCGCAAATCTCATTGCCGGGGATATTTTTTCCAGCTACTTTTACGCGGTTAACCTGATTTGAGAAAACCGGATATACCTCAGGGTGTACACAAGTGTGTGTGTTAGATTGCTTACGTGTGTGGGTATTAGTAAGGGTGGAGGATATTGACGATGCCGGCAATAGATCGAGGGGGGTTGGGAATGGTGCTCGTTGCGAGATAAATCAGATGATGAAGCAGTAGTTTGTTCCAGACTCCGCGCGGATGCCTCAGATCGAACATCCCTGCTGTTTCTGATTGCCAGGACATGATCGGGGTATGAGTGTGGGGGTTTGACGTTGAGTACTACCTACATAACTGCACACTTAGATGGTGGTGGTGGTGGTGGTGACGATGATGATGGATCATTATGAGAGACAGGTAAAGCATGCAAGTCCCTCTGATCGGTCGGTCATAATCCGGCGGCAATACTACCGACCTACTGTACGGAGTACTTCCTTTCTCCGTAGATGGCCAGTGTCCATTTCGGGCACCGTACAGTGCGATCCAAACAGGCAAAGCGTGATATTCATGATCAGCAACTTCCACCGTGCATCCAGTTACCTGGGTCATCCCTACACGATTTCCCACCCGATTAGCATTATCGGGCTCTCATTCGTAGAAAAGGTCTTGGAAATGAATCCATCAGGATGATTCTGACCAGTCCAGGTGGACAGGAGGACCCCACTGTGCGACGAGAGAGTGGGTAAGCGGTGCCCAGCCTGTAAGTAAGCCAACTGCTGTATGATGGACTGCAGCAATGGGTCCACATCCCGGAAAACCATGTTGACACTTCGGCCACTCATCAGCCTGGAACAGGGATCCCCTGAGCAAGATAGGTTCGGGACTAACGAACAGCTGCAGATGGTCCTCCGCCCACGCGAGTCATTGGAGGATCCATCCGGCCCGGACTGGTTGGGTGAATGATCCTACCAATTACAGCCCAGTAGGGTCTCTTCATGTCTGTTTTGAAACACGAAGTCTCCAAAGTCAATTACTTAGGTTTTCAAGGCGTGGCGCCAAACACATGGCGTACGCCTCATGGAGAGAGCAGCAGAATATGGGCCAATGTTGCCAGAAGGGTACGAAGTAGCTACTCGACGCGAAACACTCCAATCGGCGAGGGTTCGATCGGGAGCGCTTTGAGAAAAGTGGATGTGGCTGGTTAGTAGGTACATACTAGTAGTGCCAACGCGACCATGGATTGACATTTAACCTGGGAAAAGGACTCGTCGATAATGACACTTCTACTAGAAGTCGTTTTTTTGGTGGGGAAAGGACTGGGATCATGGTAGTTTCCTCAACATCCACAGCCCTGCACCTGTTCTTTTCCGGGCATGACAGGCTTCCCCAGATAGGAAATGCCAGCCCTCCGGATGACATAGGTCTTATGCCACCTCGATTTGTCAAGTCGAAATAGCACAGTTATGCCTGGCGTGTAGGAGCTATGATATAGTTCAAGCGACTATGTCGACGGTTCCATGGTTCAGAAGGGTCTTCCGGCAGATACCCGCAACCTTGAACGATGAGTTGTACACGCTGAGACTAGACCCAGGTAGGCAGGTCAGAGGCCATCCAGGCCTGATCCGTGGGAGACATCCGAAAATCAAAATCGAACCTGTGCACGGGGTTTATCGGGCCTTAGATGACCACGCTCATCTCATTGCTCTCGTTGCCATGACCCTCGCGCGAGGATATTTCCGGCGCAGGAGAAAATAAAAATACACAAATAAACTGAATTAACAATAAACAAAATATGTAGGAACACTTGGGGCGAGACCGCTGCTGCATGCAACAGGTATCGTCAAGCTCAGTATGGCTTGCTGAATTTACCCCACAGCTTACAAGGTCGTCTGCTCTTGTAGGGCGAATGGCAGCCCTTTCACCACTGGATACCTGGTCGGAAAATATTCCATAACGTTTTCTGTCATCCACATTTTATTGTCCTGTGTAACGGATTTTCTTTCTTTCCTTTTTCCTTCCTTCCCTAGGCCTACAGTAGTGATGTAGTACAACATTCGGCAGTACAACGGATCAATCTGCCGATGAGGGTCCGGCCGGGCCTTCCCGTGATGGAATTGCCATCATCTCCATATATCACCACTCACTTACTTACTACCTGCAGTGCTCTGCAGAGGCTCGGCCCGGTCGGGAGATATGCCTCAACAAAGATGATCTATGAGACATCAACTGTGAGTATCCATCTGCTGCAACGGAATGGAGATGGGGAGGACGGCGACTCACAAAACTTCGATCTCTTTCGATCACCCGCAGAGGTGTTGATTTGACTTGATTGCGATTTGCCCCTCCCTTCCCGCTTCCCTATGACCTGTAATGCCCGTGCAAAGAAATGGTACGCGGCGTGCCAGGAAGAATCGTGTAAACAGGACTTCCCAAATAGGATGATCTATTGTGAGCTTGTTGAAACACTGGCAGAAAGGTTTAAGGAATACTAGTAGCCAATTCAGTAAAAGCAAAGGGCTGAGATGTATGCACTAAAAAATACCATCCGGCTGTTCTGCGGCCATGCACTGTGGTATCTAGGTGCTTTTGTGCGTAGACCAGACTAGACTCAGAGTAAGTATAGATGGTGATCTAAGTAGTAGATGTATGTATCACTACTATGCCTGGAACCTACACCCCCTTGAAACATCGATCTTGGACTAGACTATGTCCCGGGTCATTGTGTGTCATTCCTACTTTAATCGCACAGTGCCTGAGGTGCTTTGGCGTCATCGGATAGTGTTCAGCGCTCAGGCCGTGGGCGTAGCAAGGATCCTATCCCATCAACCTGGCCCATGGTACGCACCGGCCCTGGGATGGGTTAGAGTTCCCGGGAGCGATTAGCGTTGGCGAGAGGGAGGGCAGGGAATTGAAGCCGTTCGAAAGTCCTTTCACTAGTTCCCAAAGACCGCTGGGATGGGGGGTTAGTTACTCAGTACTCATACTACTTAGTAACTACTTACTACAAAAACACACAACGTAGATCGTAATACCCCCTCAAGTGGTGGTAGCTTTCAGGGACCCTTGATCCAAACGGTTTCACACTTTTGTGTTAAACTACTACTATTACTTACTACCAGTATTACTGAAGTACCATGTCTATATATAAACAGCCTGTAGTACGCCTCGATCCCCCGGAAATAAGATCGGTTCTTGGAAGATCAAGAACGATTGCAGACGAACCTCCAATAATCACGCACGATCTCTCGAGCAGGGGGAGTCAAGCGACTGTCAGCGAGGCGGGGCTCGATCGGTTCGAGTGGAGTCTGGACCGACCTTGGGCTGACAGCAAGTTGGTAGTAACGACAGTAGTACTTACGGAGGACTGACAAACAACAATACGTATCTTCGTATAGGAGCAATAGCATGCTGCTCGCTGCCAGTCCAAATACAGGCTACGAGGGTTTTTTTTTGACGGCCGATCCCTATAGTTGCTTTTTCCATGACGAGCGTTGGGACCTTCAACCCGCTATCCCCGGGCCGCCCCCCCGCCCTGTTTGGAGTGGCGCATGTGAATGGCCGATGAGAGAAGCCAGGGAGTTCTTTTGGCGAGTATCACCAGATTCTTCTTTAATTGAGAGGGGGCGCCTCCCATCTAATTACCGATTACAGTACCAAGAAGGTTGAGCGAAGCAGTCTCATCTGTCGAGCAATACACTACCGAGAGGAAGTTTAATCAAAGCGCATTACCCAGGGGTCCCCGCCTAGTCACCAACCGACAATTATGAGCTACTTGGTAAGTTGAGCACACGCTGACTGACTGACAGCCAGCCAGCCAGCCAGCCAGTCAATCATCTCGTTTCCGAAAGGAACCAAAGGTACAAAGTACGGGGTTGGATTTCGGGTGGGGGCCTTCCATACGGGCCTAACCCTTTAGCGGTATTAGTTCGGTCCCAAATCCTCAATGATGGGTTCTAGTTCCAGACACCAAGTGGGCTGGGCGCTTTGTTGACGGATTTTCCTTTCATGGTTGCCCCTCGCTAGATATGATTATTTGATGGACTTCTGAAGGCCGTCGCCCACTTGCTTCCCTTCCTAGGGAGGGATCATGACGTAGCATCCTCGTTGTTTTGTCCATCAGCCATGGAATCCACGCCGTGGGACAAGCATCAGCTGCAAGGTTTCCTTTATTCTTGCATTGCAGCAAAACGTTGTCATGAGACTACTACTACTACTAACAACTATAGGGGCCACTTCCAGTATACATATTACTAGTATATACATGTGTGTGAACTGGTCTGCCCATTAGGTATCATATGTAAGTGGCATATCCATATGATCATGACGGGTAACTATGTACTCTGTATATTGTATTGTTCTCTAGGTCTTGCTGGACCCACCGCACAGTCCCCCTCCCCCCCAAAGGCCCCAAATTATCCTGTCGGGATTAGGCGCCGTAGGCCTCACTGATCATGCCAAATACGGGGATACCGCGTGAGCGGGCATCAGCCCAATGTACCAAAGTAGTTGCGGGTTGGTCTGCTTATCGCGGTGAAATTTTCGAATCTTTGGAGGTCGGCGTCTGACTGACTGAGTAGGATCCTGCAAAGTAAAGCGGACTACTACTTTGGACTACTAGTTAGCTCCAGGAACCAACAATCCCCGCTCCTAACAACCGCCTCGCAGTCCGTCAGGCTGACCGGCGGTGTCTCCAGTTATCATCGCAGAGATTGCCTTACCGGGCACCAGTCCTGAAATTCTCCGAGGAAGTGTCCCGCGAATTCTCAATAATGGTGTAACTTCAATATTCAGCCAGATACAGGCAGGCTAACCTCTCTTTACCTAGGAGGTTCCTGGGTTAATCTACTTAGCGCCCCCCGTCTATCCCCTGTTGGGCTAAGGTGTGCTCCAGCCACTTCCAAGGTCCCAGCAGCTGAAATGCTGAGTGGACAACCAGCACAACAGAGTAAGGGATTTCCGAGGTCTGACAGGTCCTCCACTGACCAATAAGCGGGACTAATTTCATGTTTAATCTCCCCTGCCCCAGCATGACCTCCTTCCCCCCTCCCCTCCCGGGTGCCCTCTCTTTCCTTTCCCTCCCCCCCCCACCCCACTGTTGTCGTCACATTACTACCCTCCATCGCTAGACGTGCAATCTACCCTACGAGTCCCAAAGATCGGGACTGGAGGATCTACCCCGTCTGGATGGTAACTATCTAGTACCTACCTTAGGCACTTCCATTTTCTGTTCGGTGCAGAGCGCGAGTGACTAGTGAAGGAGACCGGCCTGCGTAGCGGTAATTGCGGCTTATATTCCTGACAGAATGCCCGCCCTGGTGCGCGGAAATTATGTCACCGATACTACCAACTGGGAACGACAGGGACGGCCCAAGGCATATCTAACTGGGAGGGTCATTTGGCCCAGGCGGGAAGAAAACCGATTGCTACCAAAGCGCCATCAAGGAAAATCATAGAATCCAGGCCCTGCAACTGAGAAAGCATTGGTGAGCCCATATGCATCTATGCCGTCCACAACCGAGTCGATATCGTGGCGGTGAGTCTCTCCCACCGGTTCTGCCTGTAACCATGGCCCGTGTAGCACACCGTTCAATGCAAGGCGCCGTGGCTCGTGTGTGATTGCCGCTGCCACGTTGCGAACGACGATAGCATCTAATGCGACTTGATATGATGGCATTGCATCACAGCACACCTCATTGAGGCAGTCAAAATACTTGCGAGACGTTGATTCAGGTTGAAGTCGTCATTATGAAAAGGTCTAGACTCGGGTCAGCCGGCCAGGAGGAATGAAAGGGGTCACCTGCCCGCTTGGCGGGTCACTTTCCGAGAACCAGACAGACAGGGATGACAAGCTCCTCCGCTCTAGGATTGGCGTGAATATTTCCGTGATGTTTTAGCTAGTGTTCAGCTCGTTGGTTCTGATCAAAGAACGCGTTAGTACGGAGTAGTTAGGCAGTCAAACAGACCACTACAAGACAGTACTTCGGGGAATTGTTCGGGAAACAAGGGAACCTCGCCCAAATACAACGGACATACTTCGGCCTCATTTTATTGTCTTTGTGAGGAACTTTCTGTGGGGACTGATGATACCGCCATCATGTTTCGCCAGACTGTGGACTTGCCTCATGTCACACTATCTTATCATGTTGACTGAATATTCGGGCCCGTCCACGATGATCGTTCTTCAGGGAAACGGAGTATTCAATTCGGATATCGGCTCTCTTTGCTATTCCCAATTGTTCTCTACTGGCCAAGGAACAAACGAAAATGGGAAATTTATTTCCCCCCCTTTTCTCTGCACTTGTTTGTCCCTGGCATGGCAGTTTTGCGTGCATAGCGAATTCTGTACGTAAGTGGCCGTCAAGGTTTTGATTTAGTGTCAACTTAGGCGCTGAAGAGAAGACAATCATCGTAATCCAAAGAAGGTACTTTCGCTAGCCGACTGGATGCCACACGAGGCGTTTGTTTGATGTTGCTTGACTGACTGACAGGCCGTGACCTAGAGGTACTCCGCACGACTGGAAATCGCTCTTGTTAGCATTGACCATGCTGATTTCCCAGAATGGAAAGTGCACAGACGAACGACAATCTTAGTAACCTCGTAGCAAAGTACCGCCCGCCATTAGTTAGATTAAAGTCTCGGGTGGACGTCGTCTTCAATTGGCCCTAATAGGGGGTTTTAGCTCTCTGATCTGACATGAAGCCACTATATCGGGTCCTCTTATCATTGTCGCCAATTCCACGGTTCAGGTACCTGGGCGCGGGAGCGTCCCAGATAGAGAGTTAGATCAGCAACCCGAACACTCGCTTAATGTCCACCGTACTTACTGTAGGACGCAAGAAAGTCCCTTCTCCGGGAATTACTTGCACAGCCTATTTGGCTTGTTGTGTCTGCTCTGGCTGCTTTCTTTGTCCGGGAAAGTCGTGGCAGATTATTAACATAGCCCGCGGCAAGAATGGTCGTAAGCCGATGGAGGAAAGGAAAGATTCAATTGTATAGTAGAGTGTGGATTGATGGTGGAATAATCCTATACCATACAACAGTGTTCCAATGGCTGTTCCCTGGCTACTGTGATGCTTGTGTGGTGCTAAAGCATTAAGCTACCCTGTGAATTCCAAATACTCGTCGTTGCGGTCCCCATCTACCCCAACAGTCGGAGATTATTCACTACAGGGAATTGCACACTAGGCGTTATAGTTATATTGCTTTCCTCTACTTCTGTTGTAGTAGCATACCCCGGCAGCCCACACATCAATAGAAACTAAGTACTTAGATTCCCCGAACCATTTGCCTTACATGCTGACGGCTCCGGAGAGCTCTTCTACTAGCAGCAGTCCACCCTTTCACATCCCCCCCCCCCACCAAGCACTACTACTTCGTACCGTCTCAACTTAGCCCACTCCTTCGTCTCCAGTCCCGTGGGCCATGCGCAAGCCAAAGCTTCCCAGTCGGTAGATCGTCCTGGTACGGATAGTATCTGTAGCTTGCTATTGGTCCACCTGCCACCGGCACTAGTTCGGGGCACATCTCTCTAGATCCGCCATTTGATTCTTCCCAATTTTCGTCTATCGTAATTTGTTGGTACATGTCTCTGGTGTATCCTATTTGCCTCTTTGTTATGTATATTGTGTCATCCATGATGTTGGCCTGCCAGACTGCATCTACTAAATGAACATATTCTTCCATGTATACACGGTTGGTCAGTATACTTTAAAAAGTTTGTGGCTTTCACTCTATGATAAACAAAGAAAGGACAGGCGAGGGCTTCATTCATGACAGTGAAAGGCCTGGCATCGGAATATAACTCATGTGATGTCGTCCTCTGAACTCTCTATATGCACCTGGTGCATATCTTTTCTGCACAAAGGGCAGTCAGCTGATGGTGGCGACAACTCGGCAAGTCCGATATCGATCACCACTTCACAGAAGTACTCAAGTAGCAGTTATGAGCAAACGTTTCAGATGCGCATAAATGATCGCACTTGGAAAACTTGTTACACATGTGCGGAGTACAGCAGTAGCAGGATTGATAATCTCCTGGCGGTACTACTAAAAACCCTGAGAAGAGGAGGTCGACGGTGCGGCGCGGATATAGTATCCACGACCGATCTCTGGACAACAGGAGTCGTTAACTTGTGGATCCGTACATTTCTGTCAGAACACTCGCTTGAACTTCAACTACCTTAACGGGCATTCGATTCACGCATGGTGTTGCCATTAAGATGTAATGGATAAGTAAGGTCCCAGTATCTACCTAGGTTACGCCGTATACTCCCGTGCTCCATAGGATCTCCTACTGTCTGGCCCAGGCGCGAGCTGGGTGGAACGGCCCTGACGATATGCGCGGCCTGTGCGTAACCGGAATTTCTTGTATTCTTTTTTATTTTCTTTCCCAGCATCCGCTGGGTCCTATCTGAATACATACGTTCTCGTCATACACAACAACATGCAGGCCATTCATGGAGGATGGTTAATTAGGGGGGTTTTCCGTGATTTACAGTAGGGCCGAATATGGCCTGTATCGCATGGTACTGGCTATGTACAGGGGTATGAAGTCCAGCCACTTGCGCAAACTGTGGTATCTAAATCACTGCGTTGGCGATGGACACTTCATTGCACCAATTAGTCGTTGCCACTGTCACTACAACGCTTGATTACTTTTCATACAAGTCTGCAATCAGGGATGGATGGGAGGCAAAAGCAGACGTTTCCCGGGGTCAAATGGTAAATACTAGGTTGTTTACAGAAATTTCCAATTTTCGTACTCCGTACATGACGGGAAGCGCGTGTCGCTGGCGAAAGAAAACCGGTTCCAGTTTGGTGGGTGGTGAGATCTGCCAATCATGACAGTCATTTGCGGGTGCAAAAAGTCCCGCGCTGAATCGGCCTGCCGGAAACGCCATCCCTGAAAGTAAGTACTTACGACAACTATTACAGAGTAAGTACTCCGTACAATGTCTGAGTATCCGGTTGATACTAAAAGTCATTCTGCCTTTTGGGTGGCGGTTGGAGCTCTCCTGAGCCAACTTCAACGCTAGTGACCGGACTAAGTTATTATTATTCTTGCTAGCACAAGTCGTTTTACACAAAGTCATCAAAGATCGGAATGACGGTTGGAAGGCTTCTCCCTAGTCCTTTTTCTTCATTCCCTTATTCGGACAATGTACTTTCAGCCCAAACCCACGGTATGGGTACGCCTTCCGTAACCTAGTAGTACTATCTAGTAAGTAGTAGGTATTTATCGTCCCCCCTCCTTGAATGGCGCCTTCCCCCTCCTCCTCCCGCCATCTGCCCCGGCACTAGCGGACCTGGATGATCATCAACCCGCCCAAGAGGACGACTAGTAGGTATTGTAGTAGTGGTAAGGGTTAATACTTACTCAAACTGAAGATATCTTTTAGCGACCATGGAGTCAGTTCGCACGAACCTCAAGCATCTTCAGTTTCGTAGTTCTCTCGGTTGTGGAGTTCAATCAATTATCGATGCGCCACTGGGTGTCCTTTCGAGTGGCCCGCTCCGAACAAAGCCCTGGGCCAGCTGCCACAGCCCCGATGGGGTGGTCGATCTACAGATAGTATTAGTCAGGTAAGTGGACAGGCAAGTTAAAGTACGTGCTTAAATGATGTTTATCTCAGAAGAATCGCGATGTCAATATGATGATGAACAACTTCCTAGGTGGGACGGATGGGAAATACCATCTTCTTTTATTTACGTAGTAGTTATTTTTTATTTTTCATTTTTTATTTTTTTTCCGGACGCAAAGTATTAAAAAATGAGGGAAAAGAGGCATGTTCCCACCGAAGAAAAATCAAGAATTAAAATAATTCTCAAACGGGAAAATACAATATGCGGAGAGGGAAAAAAAAAAAAATTAAAAATACAATTCAGGAATAGATTAGAATAAGTGATAATAATAATAAAAAGAATTTTAATATAACCGGAAAGAAAAATAAAATGAAATAAAATAAGATAAAATAAAATAAAATCAAACACAACAGGAAAAAAAAAAGGGCAGCATTTCCCCCTACTACTGCACGGCCTTACCAAAAACACTCAGCGGCATATGGGTAAGATAGATTCTATCCATGCTTTTCTAGAGTAGCAGCTGTCCGTTAGTGTTTCGGCTTGATACATTCAAGGATTATCCATGCTGCTGGGATCCCACCACACGTCCCCAGTGCGATGCCAAATCGGGATCGAGAGGATGATGGCCCGAAGGGAGGGGATCCCCCCCCGATGCACACAGAAAGTGGATTTGGGTTCTTTTGTTCAGATGCAATCTCGATCCATCAGTTACTACTATCTAGCAGGCAGGCTGGAAACCTGGGACGTCCCCAGTTGTCAAAAAGTCCAGTCCCTTTCCTTTCTCCCTCCTCTCTTTATACTTAAGGACCTCAAGATCCAGATCCTTTGCCTGTTCCTGACTTCACTTTTCCCCCATCGCTCTCCCCTCTCTCATTCGTGATCTGATCTACATAGTTCTGGCCTCGCTTGCTTCACATATTGACCGTTTCCGTTTACTTCTGGTACCCGGTATTAACTATATCCTCTTCGGCACCTTGTACCACCTAACATACATCCACATCCACATCTTTGTGTCACCGTCCTTCTTCACACTATCTCAACACAACGGCAGAAGTACTTCGGGTGATCATCGTTTCTCACGGTAGAGCCGGGTCTCGATCGACTATCTAGTGCACCAGTATCGGTTGTTAGCAGCTTCTCTGCAAGCTATTATACCAATAAAACCCTCAGCCAGTGTTTGCCAGCCATCGAGCGCTGTTTGCCTTTGCGGCTAGGTGAGTAGTAGCTGCTTGCTATACAACCCTTTCCCAATCAGTCCCCAGCATGGAGGATGTTTGCTTGATAGCGTGTCCTGTCTAGTACACAAATGTCACCGACACGGGCTTGATAATTCATGCTTTCCAATAGCCCGCTTCAAGGGCTGGGTGCTCAAAGAATACAATTACTAACTGGCTGGAAGACGTTGACAGTGCACCACCACCGTCATATCTGGGGCATTGCAGCAGCTCCTTGTTCCATACAACTGATCGCCAGCTTCGGGAAACGCCTACAAATCGAGCACATTCCCCGCCACCTTCCGGAGACTTATTCTACTTATCCTGCAGAGTCATAAGCTTGACTCTTCTTACCCACTTGGAAACTGTGCTTTAAGAGCCGATCCATCTCTTCCGAGCGCAGTAGCCTCGATACATACCACCCGACGTTTGTGCAAGTCTCTGCCCTAGGGCCACTATGGTATTCAACTCTCCTCTTCCGAGGACAGGGCTTGGCAAAAGACCCTCGTCCGCCATGAAAAGCGATAGTATTGGATGGGACACTGCTCCTGTGAGTAACAAAATACAATGTAGGATTCATTTGCTAATTCCGAATGATCAAAGGCTATGTTACCCCCTCCACGTACCTCAATCAATCTGCCCTACGCACATTATGCTTTGATCTACTTGGACAACATGGGTAGGCTCCGCGTGGCGGAGTCGCCATCGATCCGTGACAACCACGCCACTATCTTCACTTCCGAAGTGCGAGAAAGCTTTCTGGAAATCCTTGGAGCAAGAGTCGGATATCAGAAGCCTCTACTTCAGAGTAAGTACATCCATTTCATAGAGTCAATATATAGTACAGCTGACTGACTAAATCTAGGCATCAACCCCGCCGCGTTGAGCTATGACCGCTCCGACGATGCGTCCTGCCATCGCCATGGTAAGAGACGTAGACTTCACGTTGAAAGTCCCGCTCCGGTTACGCAGAACTCCCGATCTGAATTCCCAAGTTCGCCGTCTGGTGCTGCAGTAAACCGGATCGCGCTTGAAGTTGGTGACGCCGATCGACTGGAACAATACTACACGATCTCCCTCAGACACTTCCAGCAGGTCAACTGCCGTGTTGTTGCAAAGGCTTTCATCAAATTCATCGAGCCCCGCAAGCAAGTAAGGCATCCCTACAACGGAGGCAGGCCTAAGCCTGGAGCGCCCCCTGGTACCAAAGGCGACCCGGAGAAGACGAAGCCTGAATGGTGGCCGGCTGGTGTGGTGCATAGGGAGCCAGATCATCTGAAGAAGGAGGGTAAGTCGTTAACATACCGTCTCTTTACGGATCATCTGTACTTACAAAGCATAACAGAGAGAGTTGACCTGTTGGTTCACATCGTGCGCAAGCTTGGCCGCATTGGAGTTACGGCCGATAAGCTACTGGAAATTGCATTTGACTGTAGAAGACAACTCAAAGAACAGGAGAAATTCACGATTATTGAGGAAATCTTCAAGGTGCGCAAAATGGAGGAAAGATACGAGCGAGGTGAGATCGGTAAGTATCCTCCACAATTACCATAGCCATTAATCAAGATTGAGGCTGAACTGTTACTAGATGCTTCAACTCTCGTCTACGTGATGGATCGTGAAGCACACCCTAAGGGTGACAAGGACGCCGACTCAGTCGCTGGGCCCGAGGCAAAAATTGAGCCAGAGGAGCCAGCAGAGGCCGAGGAAGAGGTGGCAACCCCGACTCCTTCAGTCGAGGAAATAGATGCGGCATTCATTACGGACTCAAGCGACATGCCAGTGCCTCATACCATGCCTTTGAGAGAGGGAAGAGATCCGCTTTTCCCTTTGCCGGAGTCTCTTAATTTTGGAGAGCCAGCGAGACAGGATCAATCGTTCTTCACGTCATCTACCGACTATCCCGGTAACTATTCAAGCGCGCTTATTGAGACTCCCGCCACTCAAGGGTTGATCACACCTATCGAAGAGACTACATCGTTCGAATACCTGACCCAGGCCCCTTTCCCGGACGCCAGCACTGCCGAGCACCACGCAGCAGCGGTGCCAATGCAGCATTCCGTCAGCCAATATAACCACTGGGCTCCGTCCTTTAGGGAGGAGTTGTTTAGCCCTTTGGAATATGGATCCGCGGCCGGTCATGCCCTCCCAGAGCCTCGTATGCACTACCCGTTGGGATTTGCTTCCCCCGCCGAGGAGATGCATGGCATGCCTGACTTTTCACGCGATCATCATGCTTATATGGAGCAGATGAGCTCGAGGGGACCTCTATTCCGTACTGGTTCTTTGAGTCATCCACACTTCACTCACTCCCACCAATGCTGACCGACGGCGAATTCAGCAGTCGCGCATTGTGTCTGAAAACCAGACAGTCGGCGAGATAATTCTTCCTCCCTCAACTTCACGATACGTACGACCATGATGAGCTTTTCTCTTTGGAACCTTTGAGCATTTCCCTTCTTCTCGTGCTTTTGCCTAGGTGCGATATGAGGTGGCCGCTCTTTCATTGCCTGGGTGGGCACCTCTTTTCAACATTTCTTTTGCTTTTTCCTTTTCTTTTTTTGCCTTTCTTTTTCCTGGCTTATGGGATGTTTGGAATATATATACATATTCACTTTGGTCAGTATTATATGACAGTGTACGCCTTGCGGACCTCCAGGAAAACAAGAGGACAATGGACGAGATCCAACGGCGGGTGACCGCTCACGAGTTCAAGGCGCATCTATTTTTTTTTTTTTTTTTTTTTTTTTTTTTTTTTTTTTTTTTTGGGTTTAATGTATGTTTGCAGGTAAATAGACTTTGTGAGCAAGGGCGCTTGGGCGCTAATGGAGAAAACAAAATATTCCAGGTTGGTGGACGCTACCAAGGGAGCAGTGAGTCTTCTGGGTTATGGAAGTTTTGTGTGAGAGGCGTGTGATAGCAGCGTTTTAGCGTTTGTGAAAATTTTCTATCTGTGAACTCAAGAAGAAATATATTCCTTCAAAAGCAATTCTCTTACGACTGCAGTAAGTCAAATACGGAGGGTCTAAGGGAAGTCAGATCGACTCCGACGTTGAACCTTCAGACAGTATGCATTACGAAGTACGGTGTAGGCAAAGTACTTAGTAGTTGTCAGTGGTTAGAAGTAGAAGAGCGCCAATGAGACGCGCGGCAGTGGCGCTTGCGCTTGGATGGGCTTAGCGTGCATTGACGCTGTCCCGCCGATGAATCGGAGCTTCGCGCGGTGGTCTGAAGACATGACACTCCTCTCTCATCGCTACTGACAGCCAGTAGTCCATCGCTGGCTTGTTCCGTCCTGCATTATCCGGCACCTGAGCTTGTTACATTGGGCAATCGTGCGCTCTGCCGTCGCTCATTTCTTATAAGATAGCTCTTCGCTTTCTACCGGAATATTCCACGCCGTGGAGGTCGGGTGGTCCAGGAGCTCGTACTCAACTTCTCTTAACCATCGACTGCTACCCTCCGACTTCTGTCAACGAACCTTTAAAGGTACCGCATCACTCGCTGCTTTCTTTCGCGCCTCTCGCTCTTTTCAACATCTCCGCTTTCCTTTTATACGGTTTTCGTACCTTCACGATCTCCCTTAAATGATATCCTCGCCATGTGGTTTCACAAGTCGTCCTGTCTTCACAAAAGCTGACTTCTCCGTTACGCGCGTGTCAATGGTCTTGGACGATAGCGCTATAGAGCTTTACGAATACCAACCTACGCCGTTTCGCGAACGACCTCGTCCGCGGACATTCCGCTCGGATTCTCTGTTCTCGACCCAACCCAGAAGCTCTGAAGATCATACTTTTGGAGGAATTGTGGACTCGTCCACGTTTCCGCTGTACACGGCAAGATGGCCGGCCCTGTAAATCCCTTTGCTGGCCTTGGCCAGAAGGATGGGCCAGCCGGACCAGCAGGACGTGGACGCGGCGGACCTTCTGGTCGACCTTATCAATCCAAAACCGCCAATCAGCCTCGCGCATCCAAAATTCGAGGCCGAGGCCGAGGAGCTTCATCAGCAACAAGGTCTGGACGGGGGCAAGGAAGGGGCGCTAGCACAGCGAGCAATACTTGGCGCAATAGGTCAGATTCGCCGTCAGGGTCTGTACAACCGACTACCTCGCCTTTCGCACATATTCAGCAAACGGCCCCTGTTTCGTCACCCTTTGGCGGCCAGAGCTTGCAGCAGAAGACGTCTTCTACGGGGTTTGGAAAGGCCTCGCCAGTGCCGTTTGCTGTCCCCAATTTAGATGGCAGTGGCGTCGGCTTCGGTACGGGTTTCAGCCAAGGGTCCTCCCAGCAGCCGTCAACTTCGAATAACGGTGCCAGCGTTCCCGTCGAAGAGTTGTCGCATTTTAGCAGCTATACCGAGCGCTATGAACAGGTCAGTTATGATTGCAATACTTGGATGGATACGCTGCGCAACGGTTGCCAAACGATACTCATATGTCGAACAGCTCAAACTCGATAGAACGAAGGAACGGGAAAAGGCCATTAGAGAGGGGCAGATGGCAGATCCAAACCAACCGACTTCCTTGAATCAAGCTATTACACCCGTGGGCACGTGCACAAGCATGTGCCCTGAATTTGAAAGAGTGGAACGTATAGTCCAGAAGATGGTCGACAAAAGCGAGAAGGTACGTCTCGTTGTATACAATCTATTGCTGCTATTGATACTGACGTCGAGTGATTAGTTCCTGCATCCCGCAACGAATTCGCTACAGAATATGGAAATGAAGATGCTAAAAAGATTCAGAAGATCCGCGGCCGGCTATGATGAACAGCTTCCGTCAGACATTCGAACACCGAAGACTCTCCTCCAGACCATGAACTACCTCATACGGCACGTCATTGATGGACCCGAGCCTCTTGGGCTTATCCATAAATTCGTATGGGACCGAACTCGCTCAATCCGCAATGATTTCTCTGTCCAGCAGCTCACGCAGGAGGAACATGTGAAGATGGCGGTAACATGCTTGGAGAGAATTGCTCGATTCCACATCATATCACTGCATCTCCTGTCAAGCCCTGCCAACGATGAACCTTTTGATCGCCATCAGGAACGTGAGCAGCTGAACAACACGATGTTGTCGCTGATGTACTATTACGATGATAATAGAGGCCGGATCACGTTCCCGAACGAAGACGAGTTCCGGGCCTACTATATAATCTTCTCGATTCATGACCAACGGCCTGATTTGGAAGCTCGTGTTCAGAAATGGCCTGCGGAGCTGAGGAACTCACCTCGGGTTCAAATCGCCTTGGAATTATTTGCTGCTGCGGGAAATACATGGGAGTACCAGGGAACTCTCGATGCGAAGCGAACAAACGCGATCGCGCAAGGCTTCTACGCACGGTTTTTCAACATAATTGGTTCGCCGGGCGTCTCGTATCTCACAGCCTGCGTTGCAGAAATCTACTTCAATCACATGCGTCAGACCGCTATTCGTTCCATTTGGAAAGGATACTGTCGCTATCCTGCATCCCAACAGCACAAGAACGAAGAGTGGACCCTTGACGAGCTGACGACAGTCCTTTGCTTTGATGACCATGAACAGACTATCAAGTTCTGTGAAGACCAGGGCTTGGAATTTGCCGAGAACGCCAATGGAGATCTTTATCTTAACTGGGGCGATCGTCCAATTGATACAGTCGGTATGTTTACTTTCGACAACGCTTCTGCTTCAGAGCTTTCGTCAAGCGGAATTTGAATCAGAATTTAGCGACGGATGGTCGCTTTCCCTTTTGACATGCCCATAGGAAGCTACTACTTAGTCTCGACTAACTGTTTACTGCCACAGCCTTTCAGCCGTCGTCAGATCACTCGTTCTCGGAGCGGCTTGTTGAGTCAAAACGTGCAGGCAGAACATTGGCCGCCATCATCCTTGGCCTCAACATCAAAGAAGCTACAAACCTCGGAATGGTCGACACTACTCACTTGTCCGAGCGCATATCTGCATTGCCCGCGCCTATGACTACAAGCGATGATTCGCTTTTCGTGAGCGACGACGAGCACGTCTCTCAACCGTTTAACTTCCAAGCGGCTGGGCCTTTTTCACAAGAAGAGAGCCCACGCGACTCGCCGAGCTCTGCATCTAGCCTTCAGAACGCGTTCGTGGGGTTTTCACAGCCAGAAACTTCGAATCCGCCGGCTTTTGCTTTTGCTCCTCATCCGACTCCACAGCCCTCACAGCCCTTTGATACGCAGAAACAGACATTTTCGTCACTATTTCCACCTAGGAGCACGGCCAATACTTCTGGATCACCTACAAGTGCACCATCAAATCCTTTCGCGAATGCAATGCCGTCATCCACCCTGTCGGAAAGTCCCCCAAAAGAGAGCATTACGGCCTTCACGCCCCCGTCAGCTAATCAGCAGCCTAAGTCTATCTTCGCCTCCGCACCGAGCCCTGTTGCATCACAAGACACAGACAAACCTTCCCTATTTCCTCCTACCACGCCTTTCAGCTTCCCAAATTCTGTTAACTCTAATACGGCCCCGACATCACCATTCAGTACCCCTACAGTTTCTTTCTCCCGAGAGACCGACCAAGCGAACGTACCGGCTGCTGGTCAGCCCACACCTAGTGTCTTCAACACAGTCAAGCCGCCATTCTCGTCAGGGACATCTAACTCTATATTCAGTTTCTCCAACGAAAGCACAATCTCTGCTGACGTTGTCCCTCAATCTCAAACATCTTCTCAGCCTTTCGGGGCCGCATCACCGCCATTCATGACTATATCTGCCCCGGTGAAACAAGGTACGTCTTATGTGGTGTCATATTGGTCTCCACCCATATCTGACAGCTTCTCAGAGCAATCATGCCTTTTCTTCGCCCCGCCGCCACTTGCGCCATCCGACACCGCGTCCCAAGCTCAACTGGGCAGTCCATCGCTCGAAGAGAAACAATCAATGCCCTCGGATGACAGTACTGCTGTTCATTTCACGAAAGATATCTCGCCTGGACCGTTAGTTGAAAAAGAGCATATATCACTCCCAAGCAATAACATTCCAGTCGAGTCTCTGCACTCATCGACTGCCCAGGAACCGGAGGCAGTGAAGACTCTTATTGATGGAGAGCGTTCAAGCCAGCCAGTCGGGGCAGAAACGAAGCACGAGTCTCTACTTATTAAGACGCCCGTTGAGGACCCATCTGAGGAATCATCTCCTGGTCAGCCCCTGGTCTTTTGAGCTCTTTACCCCTATCTTACCGCTAATCAATGTTTCCAGAACTTGACAATAATTCGCGGCGCTCTGCCTGGTTATCCGCGTTGAAAGGAGCTGCTGATAGACGGCGGGAAACCGTGTCTAATGGGCGTAAGCGAGTCCACGAGGAGCCAGAAGAACAAACACTTGTTCAGAGCGGACCCAAAGCGCAGAAACTGCCCAAGGCCGAAATGCCCACTCCCCAGAAGAAGTCCATGGCACTTGCTTCTACGAAACCGTTACCAAAGCTTCCAATTCTGGAACGAATCGAATCAATGACCACCAGAAAACCGGTGGAACCCAAACACGAGGCGCCGAAGTCGGTTCAAGTTGACGAAGATGAGCTGCTTTTGTCTGCTGCCCGCATTGCCGCCGAATCATTGAGAAGTGGACCCAAGCTCCTCGATGGGTGGCATGCATCCTACGAGCCCCGAAGCTCTTCCTTCAGCCCCGGGGCTAGTTTATCATCTTCTGTTGCAATGTCTAGAAGCCAGTCCCCCCAGTCATCATCCTACGTCAATGGCTATGAGGTCTCACTAGCCCCAGATACAGATCTCGGACTTGGCCGTACGCTGTCTCGAACAGAGCAACGAATTCGACTGACAGGAGCTAAGGGTCTAGCGTACAAGCCGTTGGATTTCACTCCTGAGAAGAAACGGAGATCTCGCTAGACTGGCAGTGAATTTAAGCTCTGCGCATCTTTATTAGTTCTTTCTCGATCCATGTACAATCTGCTCGATATGCGACATCCATCTCATCTGATTCCATTTCACCATGAAGGGACCTACCGTGATTCTGGCTTTTCAATTAATACTATACCACTGCATTCAGCACCGGCGTTCTGAGGTCCATGTACGCCTTTATTCTGTCTTTTTACTTCGGGCTTGTGGCTGACACGGGAATTCTGTCTGATTCGAAATTATGCATTCAGTGGACATCTATATCTCAGAATCATGTTGAAAACGGCGTTGTATTCTTCACTGCGAGGTGAAATAGAACCAGATTATCTATACCCATACTACTCATGCCTCAGTCTCCGAATCTCATACAAATGTCATAGCACAGTCGCATATTGCTTTTGTACTATTAAGGTGATTAAACATCTATGGGACATTTGATGGAAGAAGTTCTTCCGTCCGCTATAAATTCCTTTCTAAACTTTGGAATTGTTTCAGTCTGATCACTACGAATATTTGACATAGTTATGCGGATAGGTTTAGTGATGTCACTCATAGGACTACTAGTATTTCGAGTAGGCTGCTCGTGAAAAGAGGAATATAGGAATCAATTAATCACTAATATCTACTAGCACTGATAGTTTTCTAGGCAAGGATAATGGCAAAATCACTCAATGTACATATACTATTGCCCTCCATTGATGTGCATACAGAAACAGGGACGCATGGCCTTGCTTTTGGGTAACGCATTTGTCGAACCGAACGGATATCTTGAACGTGTGACTGAGATGTAGTTTAGACCAGCATTCACGCCCCTTTTACGGTTTTGTTTGCCTTGGCTTGCATCCGTCGCATGGCTTCGCGATGCAGGTCGCTCATGTCCCCTCGTTGCATGCCCTCGGCAATTGCATTCCCAATATGATTTGAAGAGGGTCGCTGTTGCGACGGAGTATAAGCTGGCGGGTTCCGGTCCTGGGGACCTGTAGGGACCATGGAGCTGCTTTGTTTGCCGAGAGGGTTACGCCTATCTCTAAGGTCCTCTTGAACAGATTCCCGCCATGCTGCCATCGCGGCTGGTGTATTGGTCGGGGAAGGCCCGCTTGCATGGTTCCGCCTTGAAGTTGAATAGGGAGTATGCGCTGGAGGTGGGCTCATGACTGTTTGCTGGGATAACATTGCGCGACGTTGGGACAGCGGCATGTCATCTGCCCCGTCATGGACTCGGTATGAAAACGATCGCTGCAAATTTTCGACTGGCGATTGCCCGGGACTAGTTCGTGAGTACGGATCCATGCTTAGTGAAAATGAAGATAGCCTGTTTCGCATCATGTCCTCTCGTACAGCTATCAGGGGCGGGGGACCTCTCCACTGGGGTTTAGCAGCCTCTGTTTCGTCCTGGGGTGATTCTAGAACCGCAGGACTCCCGAGCAGCGGATTCATATGATATCCATCATTGCTGAAGTGCGGCTGTGCACTTTGAGGAGGAGAGTGGGGCGTCTTCTTCTTGATCTGGTCCATATGAGAACCGCTGGAGACACGTCGACTCTCACGTCTGCTTGGAATATCTTGGACACGGGGCTCTACTGCTGGAGGAGGCTGTGCATTGAACGGTGTTTGCAGTAGTTCTTCGACGTTGACGGGTACTGCAGCCTCCTCCGCATCAGGAGAATACTCTGGTTGCTCTTCTTCGATCGGCTTGATAGGTTCCAACTCAGGAGCTTCAGCGTCGGCCAGGTGTTTTGCCCACTCATTTGTTCGATAGGATTGTACCACTTTAGATGTCCGCTTAGGCAGTTCCCTTACAGTATCTTCGCTCAACTTGGGAGGTTCATGTTTGATCGGCTCCGGCTCAATTCTGGGTTGTGGCTCTGGAGATTTGCGTTTGTCATGGGAGGCTACCCTCTTGTTTCCATTCCCGCTCTGAGACGACGGCGGCAATGGATTCTCTGCATGAGGTTTCTGATCTTGACTATCGGTGATGTCAGTCTTCTCATGACCTCCCGAGTGGGATTTATCGCGATCGTGATCTTCCAAGTCAGTTGCTGCAGTCTCTGTGTCTCTGGTGGCATCTCCCTGTTGTCTTCCTTCCTCAACAGCTGACTCGCCTAGACATTCACCCTGGGTTGATGAGGGTCCTTCAAGTTTTTCTTCGCCTTGGACCATGTCAGAGTCATGTCCAGAACTTCCATTACTCTGTCGGTTGACCATTGTCAATGACATCTCCGAAGCTGCGGTATGCGATTTTGCGTCGAGGCCCCCTTTGGTCTCATAATTCCCAAGTTTTTCTTCGATGGCTGCCGTGGGCGGTTCCTCGCTTTCTTTCTGAGTGCTTCTCACACGAGACTTCTTATCTATTGATGACCGTCTGCCTTGGGGCTGGTACTTAGATTCTGCCTGCTGCTGTTCGTTATCGTCGATGTAACGCTTCTCGTCCGACTCTGGAACTTTCTCCGTAACTCCACCGCTATCATCGTGAACAGTAGGGCAATCTGAGTCTAGGTTGCCGCCTTCGTCTACGGTGCCATGCACGGATGAAGTACCATCGTCAACGGACACCAGGGCCTCTTGAGACTGAGAAATGGGCAATTCGTCGTTTCGAGAAGTCCGTGGCATGCACGATGGTCCGGAAAGTCGCTTTGAGCGTATCGTTGCAGTATCTGAACCAATGACGGCCGTCATATCAGAACTTTTATCGTCCTTTATCTTGGCTGCAGCTGCGCCGTCAAAGACCTTGATCGGAAGTGGGCCACTTTCCTCCTTCAACTTATCTGATATTTCTTTGGCCGTTCCAGCTGGTCCATGGTCGAAGTCGCCTTCAGTCGCTCCCGTCACATCTGACCCAGCATCGCTGTTTGCCTCTCTTTCTCTGCAATCGGAACAGCGGTAGGAGCCTTCGGATGTCTCGGCTATGCTTTTCAATTCATAGGCGTCTCCCTTCTCCATAGCATCCATCTCGTCTGCCTGGCATTTTGCGCCATCTGCGAGTTCCGAAACGCCCGCGGCTGGCTCAGCACCACCATATCTCGCTTCCCACTCTTTCCGCTCTTGCATATTATCCTCTTCCAGCTTTCGTCCAAGTTCGGCCTCGGCTTGTTCCTTCTTCTTCTGCTCTTCGTCGCGCTTCTCTTTCTCCTTCCGTCGACGTTCACGAACCACTTTCCATAGCCTCAGTTGTGAGACTACGCCCAAGATAGCAATGATAACTGTAGCAGCAAGCTCCACACGAATATTACGGGTGATTGGGTATGTATTCGTGTTTAATGGGAAGATATTGTCGTTCAGGCCTAGAACGGGTGTCAGATGCTATGTCCTCATTCGTGGTCGATATTAGACAGACTTACCCCATATGTAGAGCCAAAACTCTTTCAACCCTGCCCGACTAAAACAATCAATTCCAAGCGCAACAGCGGTGCCTCCAGAAATACCCGTTGACACGATCAGTCCGTAAGGACGTGTATGATGGCTGAATGACAAGGCATAGAAGGCAACTGAGATTGCGCCAATGAACCCACTCTTGGAATCAGTGGTGGTGAGAAGACCCCCCGGTTTCAAAGAAAGCAGCCACATGCTACTGCAAAAGCCCCCAAGTAGGCATCCAAGGCCTTCGGTCAACTCTTTAAAAACAATCGCAAGCGCGCCGAATGTAATGCCGGTGAAAAATACAGCAACAAGATACGCCCCCTGGACAGCAACTCGGACAGGAGGGCTCATCACATAGACAATAAGTACCTACAGGAGAGGATTGTTAGACAGCTGGCTTATCAAGGTTGGTGAGCAAACCTACCGTCACCCCAAGGCTAGTCAGAAAAGCTGTGGATAGGAAGACTTGTACCCTACACTACACGTAAGCCCACGGAACCGAAGCCCATGCATTATAGAGAACTAACCTCAGATTCCGAATGCCTATCACTGCGAGGACAGCGCCTGCGACGATGAGAATGAAACCTCCGATTCCCAGAGCAGGTGTAACTGTGGGCTGGATAGGAAGGGCATCGGGGCTGGTTGAGTTCTTGCCATCTTTCGATTAGGTCAGTATCAAAGAGGAACAAATGGATTTGGCAGGTTCTCTTGCCTTTCGATGCCTGAGACGTATTCAGGGACGCTGTAGTTGTGGATGCTGGGAGGGTTGCATTCGAAGACGCCGTGGAATTGCTGTGTGTTATCGCCGATTCTGTCACGCTTGGTGATGCTGTGTCACTGAAGGTTTCACTGGCAGTTGTCGTGCTCGGAGTGGCCTCTCTTTCTCGAAGGTTGTTAAGCTCATGGCGTCCGGGAACTGAGGTTTGTGCGGTGACAAACAATCCAGGCGCAAGGAAGGCGGCCAGAGCAAACACGAGCAACAATCGCATGGCGAATTTAGACCGATGACGAATGGCACAAGCTTATCAGTGTTACCGACAGGCTGGTTCCTGACTAAACGATGTCTGTGCCTCCGTACAATAGCAGTGGAATTCAGAATGCTGCATGTGGTGTTCTCGACGGCCACTTTTCACATAACTCCCATGCAGGCTGCAGACAATGGTAAGAGTAGGCCTGTCTTCTCACGACAAGTCTCGAGGTAGGCAAAGGGATTGTGACAAGCGTGGCGTGAGTATTTCAAATGGATTGCTCAACAACACAGTGATCTCATCTCTACCACCTATACGTAGCCATGAGTGAGAGCAAAACGGGAGGGAATTGGTGGGCAAAGGAGACAAGGAAAAAGGAAGCAAAGTAGGGGAGCAAAAGGAATAAAAAGTCCCCAACTTCACATCGGAGGTGATCTGAAAATGACCGCTTTTCTTTTTCTTTTCCTTCTTTTTTAGTCTTGAAACCTAACCATTCCAGTCCGATAGCCACGGTCTGCTTCATCGGCAATTCAAGGAGAATAACGATGGTAGCAGTAGACTACCTGCACGAAAGATGCGGGCTGATCCACTCCCTGTCTCCAAAAAAAGCAATATCCTTCGCATGGTTGTGCATGTTAGATGGAATTATTTGGCAAGGATCCGCCCCCTGCCATTCATTGGCATTGGAGTTGTCGAGTAAGCATGGGGTTTCTACTCCATGCAATGTGATTAGACATCAGCCATCATCCTCTATAAAGAGCAGTGATTTGGACAGGAATTCTTGTCGCGCCAAATTCGAACACATCCATCTACTTGATCGGTCCAAATCTGTGAACCTCTCATATGAAGGCAGTGGGAAAATGGCCACTTGTACTTCGCAGGCCAAAATTTCATCAGATGTCGGCAAACCTCGGGAACCTGGAAGAAAGAGCATAGGAGCGAATGCAGGCGTGCGACGGCTGGGGCTTCATTAGGACGGCTGAACGCGTTGGCCTACTTGGTCACGGAAGGGCGATGACATATTGAGAGTAGGAGAAGATTGGCTCTAGCCCTGCCTTGTCGCGGTCTATGGTCCGGATTAAGATTTTCAATAGAGCGCAGGCTACGGAGTAACTTGGTTTGCAACGATCCAGGGACGCGACGACCGATCGTCGCGATTTGGCGATCAGAACTAGCACTACTAGCCGCCCATAGTTAGGCTGTTCGTGTGATCGGCTGCAGGTCAAGACACATCTAATTTCAATCGCGGAGTTTTCAGCCTATCGTGCTCCCGGCTCGGAGGACAATGCTCATTGGGGTTTCTGACAAAGACAACGCCGTGCTCCCAATGGACCGTGCTGCTAGCCTAATATCCGACATGGCCTGACTCCCCAGGGGTTCTCCGTGACTATTGACGAAGTAGTCCGGGCCAAGCGGAATCCTTGATCCTAGGAGGTATACTGTAGTTTATATGCGAGCGAAAATTCGGCCCATGGCTAAAATAAGCTGCATTAAACCTTTAGCGTCCGGGAAGCAAAGTATGTGTGAACAAGGGCTCCCGTCGAGATCGAGCGGTGTCGAGCAGTGCGCCGTTTGTGGTAGAACCATCCGACGGAAACTTTGATGGCTAGTTCATTTCTATCCAATGCCTGCCAGCACATGCCAATAAAGAATGCACGGTAGGTGCGGTGAGCAGAGTTTCAGAGGCAAGTGAAAGTCTTAAAAGGCATGCACTCTTGACGGCCAAACCTTAGCATTGGTGCCTTGCTGCTTCCCCAATGGATTCACAATATGACATCTCACAGGCTACACTGCTGCATTGGAGCCAACTGCCTCGTACTTGAGCGGTTGACTCGCTTAATGTTCCCAGGGTTCAAAGTTTATGATTGATAAATGCATGCACCTGCAACACACAAAGCATCACCTGAAGTTATTTTTCTTTCTATGCTTCCCAAAAGCAAGTTTGGATAGATAGCAGCTCATAGGCTGGTGATTTTGGGAAAGCCGTCTGCATGGATATGAGGAGCACATTGATCAAGGGGGAGGAACAGGGAAGGACAGCAGGCCTACCATCAAGGATCTTGTGCACGATTGGAGTAGATGAGGTATAAGCGGATATTGTATCACGTGATATATCGGTGACGCCGCGGGAGAGAAGCTCTCAACTCTACTCGGGAAAACAGGTCATATCCTCGCTATAGCTAGCATTCCTGTCACTGCACATCCTGCTACCCTTTTTCTTTCTTTCCTTCTAGAACCCAAATCTTCTCCCACTATCTCAACATGTCTGCCATTGCCTCAGCGCTGCGCCCTACCCTCCGCGCCTCCTCCGGCGCCGCCCTGTCCACGCGTTCCTTCAGCTCTTCCTCATCCCGTTCCATTGCTCGTATCATGATTACGGGTCGTCTGGCTGGCCAACCCGAGGTGCAGGCCACCGCTTCTGGCCAAGAAGTCATCAGATACACCGTGGCCTCTAACCAGAACTCGAAGGATAAGCGCCCGCCGAGCTTCTTCAAGGTGTCGGCCTTCAGTGAGGGAAACCAGCGCGAGTTCATCACCAACTTGCAGACGGGGTAAGTCTTCCTGCCCGTTAACTTTAATCTTTCCTTCGAACCGCAGATATGCGTGTTTGCTGTTTCATTTGTCTCCTCTGAATGCGGCGTTTAATTCACATCCTCTTCGGGTCTCACTATCCAATCCGCTAACTTTCTTTTCTTGTCACCAGTACTCTTGTGTTTGTCGAGGGAGACGCGACCATGCGCCAGTGGGAGAACGCAGAGGGCAAGAAGCAGACGGCCCTGAACATCACCCAGCGTACGTTATCGTCCACATCCGCCCCTTAAATCATGTGAAAACAAACTACATACTCCCTTATACTGTATTGCGGAAGTACTAATATGTCCTACTTATAATCCGCAGGCGCTCTTGAGGTCCTCAAGCGTCCATACAACCCTGAAGCCTTCTCTGAGGAGCAGCAGCAGGAGTAGGAGAGAACAAGCTAAGATCGGATAATACGGTAAGAGTGGCACTTATCAATAATACCGGGTGGCAGGATGATGTAGTTGTCTTGAAGTCAGACATTCCCTCTCCTCACCATATTTCTTGCTGGCCTCAGGCGTCCAATGCCGACTTTCCCAATTGTCGGTGAATTCGGGCACCACGGCGAGCTGCCATCAGAAACTCTTTCCATTTGGGTTCATCTCCTTGGCCATATGTATCATGTCTAACAGTCCTCGTGTAAAGTATTCTCTTTCTCATATGATGCGCTTCTATCTCTCGGCATGACCTGCGCGTATGTCTGCTTGATTCGTGTTGCTATAAATAGTATGATCTGACTGGTCTACTCCTTACTACTTAGGTGCTGTTACCTACTACAGCTCGCTATCTGCTGCACCGATGCATGTAGTTGACGCGTACGATCCGCTCGGGCAATGCTGTGTCGCGAAAACGCCGTATATGAATTAAATAAATGATATCAGAAGGCAGGTAATCGGAGACTTACTACACGTTCTACGCGTCTAGCACGTTGAGCTGTCTACTAGTACCAATTTGAAATACATTGATCGTCGGCTACACTCTGGAATTTGTGATCAACATAAGCAGTTCCACTAGCTGACGTGAACTAGGCAAACTCTTGGATAAGTTTCATGCCTATGAATAACAGTTTGTCGAGGCAGGGTGATATGAGAGCATACAGTAGAAGTTCTTCAGTACCAAGGAGGGTCAGTCGTAAACAAGACACTATAGCTCCTCGTCTCGTGCGTGACCTTTCAATGCTTGAGAGGAAGATTTCTCCCCATTGTTAAACGTGAAGTTCGCTCTCCTGTCTAATTACCTGCTTTACCCGGATATGATCCTCCGAAAGTGGCGCGGCTCCATGGTCACTGCTTCCACGACTCTGACTCACTCCAGCCCAGGCATTGGTACGAATCGTGGTAGTTTGCTCGGGAATATGGCGCAGAGGAACCGCTGTTTCCTGTCCGGAGGAAGGCCGACTTCGCAGCATCCAAAGCAGTCTGAACCGCGACATCCACTGTGATTGCTTGGCTCCAGACACTGCACCCATTTCAAGGTCATGGTAACCATGAGCAGCTCGGATTGCGTCGGCGGAATTGTTGGAGGATGTTCTAGGATAGCTTAAGCGTTATGCACGGGCAGCGCGTTTGGAAGGGATAAGGGCTTCCTTACCTTGCGGTGGTTGTCCATCGTCTGTTGAATAGAAGCTTTGCCCGGCTACCCAGGGATCCTGACGCAGAGGAGCTGTTTGCTGAGGATGACTTAAGGGATGTAAAGCAGTTGCCAAATCCTAGAAAATCCGAGATCGCGCGGTACATAACGAGAGCATCTCTCCCACTACCGAAGAAGATAAAGAACATATATCCCGAAGCCACCGGAATCCAACGGTCGTAGAAAACACGGCCCTCCACAGGGACTTTGATCACCTCGTTCCAGTTAGGTGGGTGAGCGACACTCCACGAGTATGAATGCCATGGCTGAGTGACAATAATGTTCGATGCAACTACATAGGTTTGAACTGGAATAATAGCCCACAGCATGATAAAGGCGATGAGGAACAGCCGCATGAATCGCGACTTGGTCAAGTTACTATTGGCTGATTGAAGAATGCTCCCGAACTGGCTTCGGTACTTGGTAAGGCGATGTAACACGATAACTAGCCAGAGGTTAGCCTTCACTACAAGAAAAGCGAGATACCAGACGCCAGTGGACGAACCGCAGTAGTATCCAGCAATCAAACAGATGATTAGTGGCCAGATCCACGCTAGCACGAGAGTCACCCAGCTCCGGTCATAGTTATTGAGGCAACCAGCAATAGCATACAGAATGTACCTGTTTGCCTGATAGACGTAGTGCGTAAGCATCGCAATAACCGGGGAGATTACACAGAATGATAGGACCATGGTGTGATTCCACCAACGTTGCGATTGAGTTGGAACGAGGTTTGCGCGACTCGTATCCAAAACCTGTGCCAAGTTGCGAAAAATGCAAACCAAGGTTCCAGGGATAGCAACGTAGCTGGCGATCATGATCTTAACCTCAATATCACAGAGTCCGTTGCCATCCCACCACAAATCAAGGTCGTCCGTCGGCCAGATCAGTGCGTTGACTATATTGAAGATGTTGAGTAGGAGATACCACAAGATTAGACTGCTTGCAGCAAAGTTTCGGTTTTTCCAGTGCAGGACTAGAGGAATGATACTGAGGAGGACGGAGACGAATGCAAGCACCGGAAGGAGTATCGCCTGCGAAGAGACCGGTGTCTCTGGCAAGGCCATTCTGAGTCTTCGGTGTCGAATATACGTCTGTTGATCAACAGAGCATATGAGCCTGATATTTGATAAAAATTTGAATCATGCGCCTTGTTGATTGATTCTTCTCCCGTTGCGATAGCCGGATCTCAAGATGAAAGAGATGTCTGAACAACGATGACTGGTAGGTATGATACGATGCCAAAGGAGAAATGCCATCCTGAAATACCAGGTGGCAGAGCACAAGCCAGACAAAGTGACCGACACATGAGCAACAGCGACCTTCTTATTGAGAATAAAAACTCTGAATAGACAGAGTTAATGCGAGACAAGCTTAGCATGCTGGTGGGGTCTAATTGAGACACCCCTCGCAAGAGTTGAGGCGGCACAGTATAAGCAAATCCTGGAAAGGACCGAGGTGTTGTGATATGTCGTGTCCATTTTGGAAGACACCCCGACGGGTTCCAGCAGGACAGACCAGGGGAGTTGTCCAGTCAAGGGATCTTGGAGTGAGAATTACCCTGTCGATGTACGTATACCAGAGACTGGCCCCAATAGACCAGAACACAGCTCTCTAAATAAGGGTCGAGAGTGAAGAAAACCGCGATGCAACGAGGGTGGGTGGAGGTGCAGTGAACAGGAAGCCTCCGGCCATTCCCCTTTTGGGTATCAAAGGACTCAGCGCCATCCTGGCCACCTCCTTCCTGCGCTGCCTCTTGTTCCACACACACACGCGCACACTTACACTTCCTCCTGTCTGACCAACACGGGGAATCATTTGCAGGAGCCAGCATTAGTGGTAGCGCCACTGTCTGCTCTTCTCCCTCTCTCGTTTAATATGACCTTTGCTGGAAGATATAAGAAGAAGTAGGTGCTTCTGACCGCGTTCAAGGCTCATCATGAAAGGCGTTGTATGTCTGACACTTCAATCATGACGGTTAGGAGAGCGATTCGATGAGACCCATATGAGCATAAAGACTAGGCTCTCATCGGCCCCAGAACACATCTGCCAAGAATTGGGATTCTAAACGGGTGTTACCAGCGCGCAAGACCCTACTGGCATGAGGCTGGAGGAAAGGGACCGACATTGCCCTCAGCTAGCCTCCCAGGGCCTGTGCAGAAATGTTTAATCTGCCAGCCTAGCCTCCGGTCCTTTGAACAAAAAGATCATCCTAAGGTTCAATTCGATCCACGTGCTCTCGGTACGGGGGTGTTCATTTGCAAAGGGGCAGCAACAAGGCACCTGCAGCAGGCTTGGTCGGCAACCGGCGACCACATTGTCAGGCGTGGGTCCCTTGTCGTCACTCGTCACGGCTCCGGTTACTTTCTCCGCACGGCCTGGCCATTAAGCAGGGAAATATAGCGCCCGAGGGATCGTCATTGGGGTTCCGGCTGCGGATCGCCCCCGCGGACCCGGCTTGCGTTGCTGTGAGTGTAGTAGCTGAGCAAGGGAGATCTGCGCATCGCACAGGGTAAATCTCCCGTGGTTCTCTCTCACACGCTCACTTACTCTCTCATTCTCTCACCCCTCTCTCTTCCTCTCTTATTCTTCCTCTTTCACCTATCTCCCCTCATTTCACCTTCCACTGTCCGGAGCCTTCATGAGCATGAGCGACTCGTGAAAGGGCTGGATCACGTCAGGCGCTTGTTGTGTCATGCCAGAGCTTGCTCATCCCTCCCTAGCTCCCCTCGACGACCACAGCCCCCACGTCCATCCCCGCGAGTCCATGACGCTCCGTCACCGCGGTGCAGGCCGATCTGCAACCTTTGCAGAGGGTACAGCCAACCCGCGAAACCAACGTCGCAATTCTACCTTGTCCGACACAGTATCTGAGGCCCGGAACTCGATTCGGTCATCCACGGACGACTTACTTTTCCCACGTGCGGCCAAGAGAAGTGACGTGAACCTGACAAATGAAGAATCACATTGGCATTCAGCACCCTTGGGCCTCGCTTTATTGCCTGCGGTTGCCGGAATCTTTTTCCAGAACGGAAGTGCTGTGGTCACCGACGTCACCCTTCTTATTCTCGCAGCCGTCTTTTTGAATTGGTCCGTTCGATTGCCGTGGTAAGGGCACGCGCTCCCTTTCCCCATATGTTACCTACTAAGCCATATTCAATCTAGGGATTGGTATCGCTCCGCACAAGCTATCCGCCATACAGATAGGTTCTTTGGCGCCACGGATCCGCCACTCCAATCAGAAGCCGACGGTCATCCATCCTCACAGGGACACGAAGGAGATGCAATTGAGAGTGATGACCAGAAACTACATGACAATGCTGCGGCGGCGGCAGCAGCAGCGGCAGCAGCAGCCAGTAGGGAACTACAGATTCACGAAATCATAGCTCTTGTGTCTTGCTTCGTATTCCCAGTAATTGGGACATGGATTCTACACACCATCAGATCCAAGTTGTCGCGCCCTTCGGAAGGACTCGTGTCCAATTACAACCTGACTATATTCCTGCTGGCGTCGGAGATCCGGCCGTTCTCCCATCTCCTAAGAATGGTGCAGGCGCGAACGCTCCATCTCCAGCGAGTTGTCACATTGTCGTCAGAAGACGAATCAGACAGAATAGATGTGCATGATATTGCGAAGCGGCTCGAGGAGCTCGAAGCCCACGTCGCGGAGACTGCTGCAGCACGTCTGTCAGCCAGTACCCTGGATCAGGCCCAGTCACATGCACAAGATCTGGAGACAATTCAATCAGCAATCACGCAAACGGCTGCAGAAGTACGAAAGACCTTCCAAGCAGACATTGATGCTCTGAATCGGGCCGTACGAAGGTACGAGAAACGGACCGCCGTTTCTGCCTACCAAACGGATTCTCGTCTCCAAGCCCTGGAAACCCAGATGCACGATGCCTTCTCCTTAGCAACAACAGCCCATCGAACAAGCATGCAACGGCCACAAGGGGTTTTTCTCATGGTATTCAGTGGGATTTACGCTGCCTTTTCACTGCCAGTACAGGCATTCATGTCCGTTGTCTGTCTGCCATTGCACATGTCGAAAAGCTGTTTGCGTTATATCAGGAGTATGCTGTTCTCAAAATCTTCTTCAGTACCTCACCCCACAAAGGAGAAAGCATCACACGGCAAATCACGATTGGCGAAGAGGCCGGCACGGCCAACCTCGAAAGAAGAACCAACAGATTCCCGGGCCCTTGGCCAAATCAAAGAAAACCATTAATCTTTTGCAACCAGCGTTCAACCGGTCATAACCATATACCTAGATTATAGAAGACGGACTATGGATCCTGCTTGGCGCTATTTTCTGTTTCCTTGGGTTTGCTCTTTTTGGAACCATAAGTCCCACCTACATCTGAATTCAATTCAAAGATGAGAATTGTTGGTTGCAATGAAGTGATAGTAGTAAATCGATATAGCTACTGTTCATTCAGTCAATGGCAATTCGAGCGCTGTTCTAGGTTGATTGTCTCCTAATCCTTCAACCACGTCTGCTTGGTCCGACACTAAATACTACGTACTAGCGATATCAGATAGTGCCTACATCATGTTGTCTGATGGTGCCGAAATTTCCATTGCGGCCAGCACCATACTAAACCCCGTAGCCAGTCCTTCAGACAGGACATGTGTATCATTACTAGTACTACCACTCGGTACTATCTGCGTATCTTTGCTTTAGCTATTACCACCCGCCCAAGTGACGGTAAGATTACAACTTTCAGCGCAACTGTACTATAAATAACAACAGAATAACCCATCCACAAGCAGAGAGAGGTCCGGTACCAAGAGGAAACTCTATAAATATACATATGTAGTTACGAGTAATAACACGCAAATAAGCATTCATGATTGGCTTATCCTTTCCTCTCCTCTCCTACTTAGGAAACACCACCTGAGGGCCCCTTATTATCAACTCCAATAGTCTTTAAAAACGGCTCAATGATACTCCGTTTCCTTTCCTCTAAGGCACGCCGATCTTTCTCCTTTGACGGTGCAGCAATGTCTGATGATATGAGAACTGTTGAGAAGATGGATGCAAGAGCAGTTTCCACGGCCTGACGACGAATGGCCATTGGACTAGGACTAGGATTAAGCGAGGGTTGTTCGGTTGTTATGCTTGAAATCGAGGAAGTGAAGGTACGTGTTTTGCGGCGGATAAAGGCGGCAGGGGCAGGGCCAGGCTGGGATGCATCTTCCGGTGGGTTCTGGGTGGCTGTCTTTGGCTGTGATTCGTTGCCAGACGATGAGGATAAAACGTTTGGTGAGGGGCCGCGGTTGTTCGTGTTGGTGTTGTTGGGAATGGAGGATGCAGGGGCAACTTCGTTCGCGATGCGGGCTAACATGAACGTGACGAAGGTGAAGGAGACGCTGTGGACGGGGGAAAAGGCGAGGCTTTCGAGCACCCAGGCCTGGGAGTCTTCCCAAGATAGTGGGGGTTGTTTGGTTTTTTCGCGAGTGAGAATTTGTTGGTCGAGGTTTTGCCAGACGGCGGCAGTGACGATACCGTCCTTCAGGGATCCGAGGAATGCGAGAAGCGTTTCGCTGAGGATTTCCAGACGCTGGAGTGAAGTTACCTCTGGGGCGAAAACAGAGTTGAAATCCTTGTTGGTGTCGAGCGCTTCGCGAGCACGGGATAAGAGATGGGAACGTTCAACTTGATCGCGCAGAGTCCAGGCCTCAGGCTCAAAAGGCCATCCGAATCCAGCGGGCTCTCTCATCCATGGTGGTGTATCTTCTTCCGCCTCACTTCTTGTCATGCTCCACTCGGCAATGGCACGTTCTGATATCTCGGATATGGCCTCCGTCAATCGAAAAAGCTCCCGAGGAGCCGACAAAGGCATGCCCGGGGTATTGTTTTGGTCTCGGGGTGCCTTGGCTGGAACTAGGCTGCGTGCGCCCGTTTCAGGCATGACAGTTAGCTCCTCTAATGAGCGGCCGAAACAGGTGGGCAGCCATTTGCCATGAACGGAGATGAAGTGATCTCGGCCGTGCGCCACTCGAAGGACGAGGATTTCCTCTAGACTCAATTTTCCGTCATTTACTAAACGAGCCAGTTCAATATCTCGAACGCATGCTGTGACCTCAATGTTGGCAATCTCCCCGGGATGCAGGGTACACTCGTGCGACGGCAGCTTCTGCTTTGAGCCGGAGTCCGAGTCAGACAGATGTGGTTGGTCGATACGGTAATCCAGCCAGGATGGTGTGCGATTAGAGACATCTTGCTCCGGCTTTTCTAGGGTAAACGTTGCAGGCACGCCGCTGGTGTTTGCGACCGTCAGTGACCGGGTGACAGGCACATCGAAAGGTATGTCACCAAAGTTCACGGCATTGGGGTCTTCACTTGTAGGTTGACTGCCGTGGTGGTCCACCACAACGGTGAGCCCAGGCCGAGACTCGTTTTCCACCTTATCCAGCTCCCGAACCACCTCCTGGTGTACCTTGGCTTTCAACTGCGGATCCACCGAGTCGTACGTCAACGTAAATGCTGCGGCCAAGGGTTTATGATCCGAGGAGAGGATGCCTTGATGCGATACATAGTACTCAAGCTGCAGTGAGTTATCCGCATCGTCGTCCACATCTAACGAGCTGTCACCGTTGGAATCCTTATCTGGATCGTATTCCTCCACACTGTCCGCTCCGTCGACATCGGGATCATAATCAAACAACACGCTATCGTCCGCAACTGCTTTGTCCAAGCCCCGGGCTTTCATCTCTTCGTCGCGTTTTCTTGCTTCCGCAGCTTCTTTAGCCAGTCTTTCGTATCGCATTCTGTCCTGGCGAGTCCGATACAGTATCCGGTCACACCAACTGGGACCTCGGTTCTTCTCGCTTGAATCAAACCTAGCAACGCTTCCCACGTCATACTTATACGTAGGAAGGAAAGTGATCGGGCCCTCTCGCCATCCGTCATGGAAAGCTTTCCGCTTATCTTGTTGCATCCGAAGCTGGTCATGGGGCAGTAATGACGATATGGTGGTTTGCAGAGACGCTGGATCGGTGTGAGGATCCACATCCTCGTCCGAAACAGCTGGAAGTGGGCTGCCTGTATCCTCCTGCTTCTGGCTTGCTTCGGACGTGGCCTCCAGCTGTGTAGTGCTGTCCTTAGGTTCGGTCTGGAATTGATGCCTATCGTCGTAGTCATTCGCTGTATGCCGGGCTAGGACTCGTCGCACGTCATCACCCGGGATATCCTCCAGGCGATAATTGAGATCCCCAAACCAAAATGCAAAGTCCTCTTTGCCTATGCTCTCGGTGAGTTCTTCTCGAAGTGCTACGTTTGGGTCGATGGGCTCGAACTTCGTCCGACCGACAATTTGTGAAGCATCCCAATTCCGTCGTTCTAGACTATTCTTGTCGGATCCAGCCGCCAGGTGACAGTTCACGAAGACCAGACATGTCGTTTCACCAAGCATTAATCGAGTTGTAACAGCACCCTTGTTGCCCATATACCCCAAGAGGCCCGTGCCCACACTGGCGCAGCTAACAAACGACACATGGTCGGCGAGAGAAGGTGCCGCATATACTAACTGAAGCAAGCCCACCAACTGAGTCTCCGCAATAAGCTTATATCCCTCTGGCAGGGCTTTCTGAACTGCTGCTTTCCACCGATTCGACGGTGCTGGGTCAACATACGGCCTCAAGGCCTCCGCAGGCGACGAAACATCCACGATCTCCTGTAACCCCAGGACGTAAAGGCCAATCTTGTGCGGCGCAAATTCAGGTAGGCTTTCCCCGTTTCCAGACTCATTATTTTTCACACTAGCTTGCTCTTGCGAGTCGGAGACCCGGAGTCCGGATATCTGCTCACATACGCCTTCCCGCTGTACGAACCATTTCCCAATATCATTCTCGGTACCTGGAATGGCAGCGACATTCCATGTGCCGACCTTCACGCGAATCGACTGTTGATGGGTATATTCAGCCTTCCTTGCCTTTACAGCCTGTGGGAGCGACGAGGGATCGACCGATGGATCCGGAGAAGGGTCGTTGCTACTGGAGGAGTCGCTCGAGGAAGAAGACTGCGATGCGAGCTGCGCTGAGCCCGAAGCCATAGTGGGGAGGTCGCTGACAGTAACACGCCGAGCGAGCCCAGAAAAGGGATCTCGACGTTATATTATATTGAATATATACCTGGGTGCGAATAGACTTATGGGGTGGGAAAACCGGCGGTTAAGAATTCACGTGGAGAGGCAGTCAAACGGTGCAGAAGGTAGAGGATAGTGTATTTCACGCAGTTGGCTAACTGCCACACGGAACGGAGGTATCGCAATGGCCCGAGTTGGAGGTACTGAATATCCTGCTATCCCAGAAGCCGATCGGATGTAACGGAGGGAGGTGATGATGCACGCAAAGGCCCCGAAGGAGGATACTATGACGCCGGAACTGATGAGGCTAAGCGCAGGGCGACTGGTTGGGAAAAAACTGCCGCGGGATATGTACAATAGGAGTCGACCGGTCAATTGGAATGGTAAAGAGAGGGAATAGTAGCAGAGGAAGTGGTGATGGAAGTGATGATGAGGACAGTCCAGTCCTTTGGCACGGCGAGTCCAGACCACGCGGGGGTCCCGACCGCTTCCCGAACAGAGAGCACCAGCTGTGCTTCGACGTCTGCTGCATTCTTCCCTCTCTGTCCCCTCCTGCTTGGCTATCGCTCCAGCTTTTCTTCTCCCTCTCCCTCACTGTCCCTTTTCTATCTTTTCCTAATCTTTCCCCTCTTTCTCTCTCAGAGTTTAGATATCCTGCATGATGACAGGCCGCAAGCCCCGCCGACAGAACAACAATAACAACAATAACAACCACACCCACCGTCGTCATCCCAGCCAAGGCGTCCCCCAACCCTCCGACTACGACTCCGACTTTCACAATTACCTTTCTGATACCCAGCAACTTCAGGATCACCAAGAACCTTCCATGCCTCCACCGCTCCGCTCCAACGAGGAGCTCAACCTCTCTGTCCTGCGCCGCCATAACCCCTCCATCACCAACATTCTCTCACTCGCCCAATACGCCGTCGTCTACATCTTTAGCCCAAGCTCACGACAATGGGAAAAGAACGGCATTGAAGGCTCCTTGTTTGTCTGCCAACTCACTCAAGGCGCCCTAGGCGAGGAACGATACAGTGTCTTTGTCCTCAACCGACGAGGTCTGAATAACTTCGATCTCTTCCTCACTGACGGCGAGAACGTCGAAATCACCGAAGAATACATCATCCTGAAATCAGACTACACCCCAGAGGCGGAAGGCGCCAACAACAGCAATGGTATCAATGGTGCTAACGGATCCACCAAGCCGGGTGCGAACGACGGCACCAATGTCCGCATCTACGGTCTCTGGATCTACTCGGAGCCTCCGCCTAACTCAACCGCGGAGACGCGCACCATCAACGCCCAAATGATTCGTGAATGCGCAACCCACGCCGGACAGAGTATGAAGCTTGCGCGCGAACGATTGGAAGCAGCGCAGCAAAACGGTCTGCATGTCGCCGCTGCTGTGGCGTCGGCGACCGCGCCTCCGCTGGAAGAAGTGCAGTCAAGTGTACCGATGGGTCGGCAGATTTCGCTCAAGGATCTCTTTGGACAACAGCGGACGCAGGATGATGAGTGGAGTGTCCGGGCGCATCAGTTTGGACCCAGCGACTGGCAGCAGCCACCGCCGGCTGTGGCAATGCCTGGCGTAGGAGCAAATCCGAATCCTCCGCAGCAGGATGTTCTTGGGGATTTGTTCCGGAGGGCTGGACTAGCGTATCAGGGGGGTCAATAGCGCGACGCCACTTGCCGTTGTCTTTTTTACGCCATCCAGATGTTAGACACGTTAGATACCCATAATCCATAATCCTTCGCTTGGCAGTATGTTAACAAAATATGTATCCGTAGATTACTAGTTCTAGGTTCCACAAACCCTCTAAATGATCTACACTATTTCCCCAGTACCAACTTATAGACCAAGCTACCTTCAATCGGCGATGATATCCATGACCATCCCAGCGGCCTTACTCGCCGTGACTTCGCTATGACCTATATGCATTTGTCCAGATTAGCTCCCAGCCGACCCCCAAGCCGAACCGCAAGTAGAGAAAAGGAAGAAGAAATAAATAATCGGGGAGAATACTCACGCAAACAGAATGCATGCGGTAGCCCATCCTCACAGACCACCATGGTTGGAGTCTTCCCTCCCTTTCCCCTGGCCATACTCTTGGCCTCGATAATCTCCTCCCTCGTCTTCTCCGCAACCCAATGATCATTCCGTCCAAAATAGAAGAACATCCGGGCTGGAAGAGAAGCTGCAGTAGTCAACGAGTCATTCCTCTCACCATCCCTGTTTCTGGAGGAAGAAGAGGAAGAGGAAGCTATTCCCCAAACATCATCGCTCCACTTATCGGTCGTAATGATGCGCATTTCATCAGCAGCCATGTGCCTTTTCACCTAAGCGTTAATATATATAATCTTCTGTTGATTGCCTTTTTTGGGAGGGGAAAGGGTAGCTGGGGGTAAGGAGAACTAACAAGGCCTGTCTGACGCCCCTCTTACTCTTCAGGAAGGCGCAGGTGGTATCAATAGCCTGCGATGGCGGATCGGCCATGAACAGTTTGATTAATGTACGGAGGGCGAAGTCAGGTAGGAGGGTGGTGAGGATACGGGCGAAGACGGAGACTACTAATGCGAGGGAGGGGATGATTGATAGCAGGGTCTATGTTTTTTGTTTTTGAGCATCAATCCATTATTCAAGGGAAAGTTGTCGCCTTGCGAAACGGGGGGAAGACGTACAGTCAACTTCTTTCCCGAGGGGGAACTGGCAATATCCATTACAGTCGGGAAGAGCATCACTCCACCGATGATGTCGAAGCCACCAGTATTGGAGTGGTCAGACGTTGAGCGTTCGCGATGTCGCCGGATTACTTCCATGGCGATATAAGTGCCCACAGAATGGCCCATGAGGATGACACGGGACCGAACATTAGTAGTCGGAGATGGTTGCGTAGTGGCTTGCACGAAGGAGTCGAGCTTGCGCTGGATGAACCGGATCTGGTCTTCCACGTTGTGGTAATGCGTGGGAAGGGGAGACTGTACTTCGAAGCCAGCTAGGCTGTGGCCGTAGATGTGAAATTGATGATCTTTCTTCTGTTTGCTGCTGAGGGATTGGAGTTTGGTGGAGAGGTAGGTGAAGAAGGGGTAATAGTAAGAGATGAGACCTGGGTTTCCGGATATAAAATAGACTATGACTGGAGTTGCGGGTGAATTGGAGGATACTGGTCGTGGCGGCGAGGTTGTGTGGAAGAAGCTGTCCGAGGTGACATGGGGTTGCAGTGAAGGGGCCATGGCCTGCATGCACGATGGCGGAGCGTAGCCTACCTACGATTAGGGGAGGATAGATGTACGTACGGAATGGTGGATATTGAGTTGGCCGATCCAGGGTGAAAGAAAAGAGAGTTTCCCGGGATAAAGCACCCGGTGGATTCGGGACCCGCATGCCGATCGTTTGTTCTATCCATGACGCACGGACAGTAGCGTTAGCCTACAGGTGCTCGGCTATCTACACAGTACAGCTGCTGGGACTGGTCAGGGCGATTTGTTGTACATCGAAGAAGTCGGGTCAGATTAGGCTGCGGCAACACAGGTATGTGCAAGTAGGCCCTTCCTCGAGGATGCAATTCAAGTGTGTCCTCCAGCTGGACTCCGCTCCTAACCACCAGTGTGGCTAACCGATGGAGACAACGAACGGTGTGCTCGCACCATGTCAAGATCATAAATCATCCCGAATGCCAAGCTCAACTGATCACTATCACGCGCGAAATAACAGTGTCCATGTAAAACGAATTCCCTGGTGGCCCTTTGATGGTACGGTGAAAGCGCCCTCATCATATGCGTAAGAAGAACCGCAACAGCACCGGAAACTCCGGGACAAGCGAGCAGTACAAGAAAGGAGGAAAGAAGTGGCAGATAATGCGAGTAGATGTACATCGTGCCCACGAGATAACTGGGCAAAGGTATAATCGGAACAAAAAGAAGATCTCGCCGCAGAGCTGAGTCCGTAATACATGATATCTAAAAGGAAAGATGGAGAGAGCAAGGATGCAAAAGGAACAGCACAATGATACCGATCGTACATCAAAATACGTCCGGCTCACAAGGGCAGGAAAAAAGTAGAAGATAGAAAAATAGAACAACATCACTTCATCTGGTATCTAGGAGGCTGTCGTGAAAAACAAGCAGGGAAAGATCCTGTTACTCTGACGAAACGCGAACGATGCTGGCAGCAAATGTAAGAAGACGGTTTGCTCGACACAAGAGCCATCAAGGCATCAATCAAAGACGTGGTGGATACCAATTAGCCACCATCACCGCTGTGGTTGTCATCTCGGTTTTCTTTCTCGTTGTTCGCATGATCAGCTCCAGAGTCGGTCGAGCCTGGGTCAGACGCCTTGATCGTAGCCGAGCTAAGGTTGATTGCGATTCTCTTCGGTGGTGCACTGCTATTGAGGCTCCCCAGCGCTGCCCCCTTGTCGTTGGCGGAAAGCGAGCCAATGGACACGCTTCGCTTTCTCCGCACCATTCCGGCAGTGCCAGGACCGGCGCTAGTTGAACTTCTTCGTTTAGGTCCAGCTGTGAGCTTCATCAGCTCGTCATCGTCTTCCTCCTCGCGCCGACGCTTTTCCGACAACCGTTCGGGTGGCGTTTGAGGCGTTGAGACCGGAGTGGACGGTGAGTCTGTGGGTGAGCCGGCAGCAGCATCGTGACCTGAGTCATCTTGCTGCGGTTGTTCCTGGTTCTGTGGCGCTTGCCCATCGCTGGATTCTGGCTTTGTGTCCATCGCATCGTCTTCATCGTCGTCATCCGGGTAATCCACAAGCGGTTTGACGATGGGCGACGCAGCGCCATTCTGCATTCGGGCAGCATCTGATGTGGTCTGCCTACTCTCCTGCTGCCACTGATAGCCATGGTTAGCCAATTTCGAAAGGGGACCATGCTGGAACAAGCGCCCTACCTCTTCATCATCGGAAGTGTTGAAATACTCCTCCTCGGCAGCATCCATCTCCCCGACACCTTGCCAACGCTGGCCGCCGGCAGGCATCCTTTGGGAAGGCAGCGTCTCCTCATGCGACATTAGGGACGAGTCCGGCTCGGCGCCGTAGCCCTGCATTTGCTCGTAGCGTAGGATCAAGCTCTGGAATGTGTCCACGTAGGTGATGTTTCTGATTTTTTCGCCATACTTCTCCACTACGTGTAGAACAAACGGTTTCATATTCTCGCATCGGATCGCTTCGAATAGTTCGAGACAGGCCGAATTTAGGAGATTATCACGGGGCATAGTCTCGTAAACAATGTCGAGGATGAGCCCAAAGATGTTGTTATGGGTCATCAGAGCCTGGTAGAAAGTGTCTTGAAGACTAGTCAAAGCACGGAAAAATCTCAACGCAGCTGAGAACGATTTCTTTATTAGAACATTCCCATAATGACGATCTGGTCCACAGGGAAAACTTACTCAGCTTAAGGTGCTTGTGGGGCACCGTGAGTAACTGAGCGATTCGAGGGGCAAGGGATTCGTTTTGAATGACATTCCGACTCCGGTATAGGTGTTGGCGGACAAAGAACGTTAAAATATCAACGAGATGGGAATACAGCGACACCTCTTGGAAGCTTAAGTTCCGAACTAAGTTACAAGGCAGTTAGTTATCGTCAAATCCCAGAACGAATTCCCTGTAAGGGAGACATACGGTGGTCATCATGTTCGAGGCGTTTCAGCGGCCAGAATAGCCTTCTCGCAGATTCATCGAAATGGTTCTGAACAAATGCATCGGAGAGGATATTCGGACGCGGCTTGTTGAAATTGTCGGGCCCAGCCCGGCCCAAGGTATCTTGCAGGGGAATTTGGGGATCCAGTAAAACTTTGACGGCATCAGCGAGTTGGTTCTTGACCCCCAGGTCGGACTCAGTATGCAGCAAATCAATCAGCGTGTCGGTCAAAGGTGTCTTCTTCTCGTTGACAGCTTTTAGCATATACCCACGCATCATCACGGGGTCGTGGTCAAGAAGCGCCACCAGGATATCGATTCCAGTTGTACGCAGAGCCGGTTTGGGGTGTTTGATGGCGAAGGCAATGACGGCAAACAGGCCATGGTTGATGAAATTCGCAAATAGATTAGCACGCGCCGGCGCCTGCAGATTCTTTGCGATGACAGCGCATTGGTGGAGAAACTGGACAGCGTCCTCCTTACGCTTAGTGTCCGCGCTTCTTGGATCGAAGACCGAGAACAATTCCTTCAGAAAGGGACCATTCGCCTGGATGTGGTTGACGATCTCGACCTGATTGAAGAAGATCAAGGAATTGAGAACCGAGAAAGTCGGATCATCTAGAATTCGAGCTAAGACCACATCCTTGAGATATTGCAAGCGCCAAGTGTAGCTGATTTTGCGGCGAATTAACGCATCCTTAATAGGTACAACTTCCTTGTAGCGCGACTTATCTGCGAGGTATTGTCGGTGGTTCGCTTTGTGCGTTGGAAACTCGGGGTCATCTTGAATCCGTCAGCAACACTGTCAGTCCAGAGGAATTCAGTATACGCACATTCCAATGCTCCCACCACGCCAAGGATAATAGGATCCGTAACAACTGTCTCGATTATGGTGTTGTCATTGAGAAGGATGAGCGACTTCATGATATTGCACAGGCGATGTAGATCGGAGAGACTTTCGAGATCCTCGGCCATTGTAACTAACGGGATGAGCTTGGGGATGTACTCTTCTCGGATGACGAATTTCGATAGCGCATCACGCCCGGCCTGGGTAATGCTAGCGGCCCTCATAACATGATCGATTTCGGGTAGGTTTCCGAGCTCGGGTGGAGGCAGCATGATTGACTGGTAGCTTTCGATATCGTCCGATAGAGCATCTTCTAGAGCACCAGACGTGACAATGGTTAGCAATGGCAACCAGCAAAGCGATATTAGTGAGAAACAGAGTAGGACGAACCTCCTGGTGCCAAGTTCAAAAGATGCTGCTGTACGCTAGTAACGAAATTCCTATAATGCCGTCAGCGATGGATTGGAGTCGATTGCCGCAAGGCTCCATGGTGGCATGGGCAAGTCTTACCAGATCACAGCGCACCCTTCCGCTTCCTGGAAACTCAGCGCCATGTCCGTCCCATTTGGTTCGGTCCATACTATCAACGTTTCTATTTCACGTCGCGGAAATGTCAGCTCGCATTCTGCGATCTCCCTCGATGCATGCGATGTAGCGGAAGGCGTGTAAGGGGCAAGCGGACCTTGTTGTTTCTGATAGCCGTCATCCTTGGAGATTTTTGTCTCCAGGAGCACACGATTAGGCTCATCCTCCGACTCGACGAATATCCGCGGCTCATCCTGGGAAACAAAGAAGGGATTGTTAGCGAAAACTAGCTGAATTGAGGACGCGCGCCTGAGAGCCGCAGTGTTTGCGCCCGAGGAGCGGCGACGGAGATCGCGCTGCGGCCAGACACATGGCGGCGACCGGGACTCACATCAAGGATCTGTCCTGTACAAAAACCCGTCCCGCGATCAAACCAGTCATTATCTTTGAGTTCGTAAACTTTCACCCGCTTGCGATCGCTGGGCGGTTGCACCTCCAACGCCATGGTCCGGCAGAATGGCGAGGTGGCGTCTCGTCACTCCGGGACAACTCAGGAACGAGTGCACCGGCGCGAGGAGAGCCCCGAGAAGGCGGAATGATAAGACGGACCGCGGTCTGGTCCAGATTGGACGAGGGAGGGGGGTTTGTTGGTTGTGGTTAGGTTGGTTTGGTTTCGGGGCGGAAAGGGAAGGAAAGTGGGGAACAAAGGGAAAGGGTTAAAATTAAAAAAGGAATAGAAGAAGGGAAGAAGAAGGAGGGAAGAGTGGAGGAGAGAGAGGGGGGGGGAAGAGGTTGGGTGTTCTTTGAAAGTTTGGAAGATCGGAAGTTTGGTCGGAGGGAAGGGGAAGAATGATGTAAAAGACTCGCGAAGAGGTAAGAAGTAAGTACCAAAGATGACGACTTGGGGGAGAACTCAAGAGGAGGAAGAGGAGGGGAGGGTAGAGGTTGGAAGGATGGGAAAGAATGGGGAAACTGAACTGAAAATGGATGGGGCAAAGAAAGAAAAAAAAAAATAAGTTCGGGTGATGTTGGGTGTGCGAGGGAAACAATGGATGGATGGATGGATGGAGGTGTGCTTTTTGGCTGCTTTTGCTCTGCTTCTGCTCTGCTCTGGCTGCTTTTGCGGACGAGATGATGAACGATGGATGATCCTGAACTTTGGGGCCGGGACCACCTGACGGCCTCGGCTGTGGTCGGCGCTGTGTGTCTGTTCTATCTATTTTGGCACCTTCTGTCCCTTCTAGCTTTTCTTATCCGTTCTTTGCATTTGGTGCCGGCGCGCTACAAGATTCACCCAGCACACGCGACCGGAGATTAGGAAGCCACTGGGAGAAGGAGTTGCCTGCTTGCTTGAACACCCGGGGGCACCAGCCAGCAGCGCTTTCGGAGGGATCGGACTTGAAAGAAGTTCTTGCAAGCAAGCTACTTAGGGAGCTAGGCGTCTTGACCTGATCCGACCCGGCGAAGCAATGCGATGATCCTAAGTGTTCATGATAGTACGAGGGACAGCATTATTATAAGTAGATAAGTATATAAGTATATAGGAGTTCAAGATGTCCTGAAGAAAGGAGATGAGCCAAAGACGCGCGCGCGAGACGGAGATCTGCAGGGAAGCGACCGAAGGGAACCAGCGTCAACCAGGGGGGGTCGCAAATGACGTGCACCCGCCGCGGGATAATGAAGGTCTGCGCTTTGATGTAGTAGTTATACTGTATACATCACTGGAGAGTATCTACAGACTACTATACTACCAGCTGAGGATTTCAAATAGCCTTTTTACATGTCAAGGTAAAGTTGGTTGGATTCCAGAAAGCTTAACAAATCCGAGATGTTCCAGGGGTTGTCAAATGTCAGGCCCACTCTGTCTGACAATTTTCTTCACTACAAAGACTAGATATAATCTAGACAAATACCGTCCACTGTAGATACAAATCAGCCGATACATGGAAGGTCTCCAAGTGAACCTCAGTGCCATCATTGTCATACCTCCCCGACCTTCGGACCATGGAGTTTCTAATTATAATTCATTTCCTCCCGAACCAAAGTCTGGCCCAGTCGGTCTCCACGTCTCTTGCCTTCTTTGCCTGGGCCCGTTCCACCGCCAATTGTAGTAAAAGTATGTAAACCTTCCATGTCTGGACAATAACGGGCATCACCGTTTGGATGAAACGTCACAATGCTTTTGTTCAACCCCTCCCACAAATCGCACAGATAGCAGCTTCAGCAGGATCATCCAGATCCCTCTCCGACATGAGAGTTCCTGGAAACAAGTAATCATTACGAAACGTCAGAGCATCTCCATGTTGGGCATCGACCGAACCACTTCCAATCCTGCCTGATCTGTGCAACGACGCGGTCGTCATCTGCTTTGCAGTACCCGCTATTCCTGGGTGTCAGCTATTCATCATTCCTCGCTGATCCTGCGCAGTAAACTACGATGAGAGTATGCCCCTAGTTACTATTATCTCTAGAATTCCATGCAACAGCAAAGCATCAAGTCGTCAAACGTTCAGAAACGTGAGCATCAAGGTGTGCTATTATCATTTCATTTGCGAATAAGAGCGAGATATTGTAGAGTATGCATCCTTGGGTGTCTGCTTGAAAGGAAAGCTGCTGTGTTTGATTATGCACAGCTTCTCTCTAGCTTTCCTTCATTCTTTCCCGCTAACTCTTCTACAAGTGTAGTAGAACACATGCAATCCTTTCGCAGCACTTTGTATGCTTTGGCTACTAACACGAAGTGTATTTTATTTCTTCATCAGGAGAAGAAGTATAGTTCATGTCCGATTGACCACTATTTATGGGTGGTCTGTACGTTTACCGGGCGTAAGGCAGCTTTTCTGTGGGCTTATATGGGGGTAAGGCAATGAACGGTTGTCTATACAGTTACTTCTACTATTTCAGGCGTCAGTCGTCCTTGTAATTCGATCTGCATCATAATTGTATACCCCTCATAAAGTCCTTCTCAAATGGAATGTCCAAAACAGTTACTGACAATGTTATTAGGCGGTCACAAACAAAATTGTAGTCTATGAGCAGTCGAAGGTGAGGCTGCCAATGGTTAGCGCTCGCAATGATGATAGTGCGCATAAAGTGACCAGGGTATCGCGATGCAAGCTGTCAAAGGTTGAAACTGCAATGGAACGAAATGATCGGAGGGTCTCCACTTGGCTTTGACTCGAACCCACATCGCGGATTTAGTGCCTGCTTCAAGCTCAAGGACTGCCCAAAATGGTCCATAACCTGAACCACCAGCATCCGAGGGAGTTTGAACGCGCAGCAGCTGCCATTGCTGGGATGTGACTGGGACGACGCTTTTTCTAGAAGCCGTTTCCGCTTCTTTCCCCTTTAGGAACCGTATCACCTGATCACTTTCCTCTTCCGGTAGGATCGCGCCTTCACCAGGCGATGATTTCCAACCTCGTTTCCATCGTGCATGTTCCTGACTTTGTCAGTCTCCTATGGATATCGAATCTCCATTGCCATTGCTATATATTCCATTGCACCTCTCCAGTCTCAGGTTTTCCCATGCCAGGACATTAGCACATTAAGTGCTCATGACATTGAGCCGAAATGTTGGTCTTTCGCATTCATTGAATCGGATGCTTCGACCATCAACTACCGAGCCATCAGTGACTGATCGTGGCTCGCCCCCAATTACGTATATCAAGAGTTCAATGGCATTACCGTAGAAGTGACCTGGCATATCATACTTCAAAAGGGATAGCGGGGAGATCCGATCCACGGTTGTCTTACCTAAGGAATGTTACCCCCGCCTTGACCTCGGCTTTCCCTTCACGATGGAACAATCTACTCTAACTTCAGCAGTATCTTCCCACCACCTACATCTTGATACCCCTTTGCTTCACTCGGGCTGTCACCAGATTGGTTATCGCCATAGATGAGCGAATTTGGGGGGACTTTGCGCTCGTCTTAGTTATAAAGTCTCCCAGTGGTTGCTAGGAACCATATCAGTCTCAAGTTCTGTTCGCTCAAAAACTCAATTTTTTTTCCTTGTATCGCTTATCAGAGATGTCCGATACCAAGGCTCGGCTTGCCGCTCAGAGATCCTCTCCACTCCCCGCTAGTTACATACCTGTAGCTCAATCCCCGGAGCAGGTTGCTCCCACATTAGAGGCTCCTCAGAGCGGAGACACCCTACCAGAAGTGCCTGCCACGCATGTCGAAAAACAAGACAACGTCCTTGCATACCTCGCGACAAAAGAGTTCTACATTACCCTTTTCCTCGGGTGAGTTATACAGTTGGAAACGCTTGAAGCACCAAGGTGTGGTCGATGGTTAACTTGTCACACAGACAGGTTCTGGCTATCACCAACACTGCCTGTAGCACATTCAGCACACTACTGGTCAGCGAGGGAACCTCAATCCCGGCTTTTCAGACATTCTTCAACTACTTTCTGCTCAATGCTATCTTCACCCCATATACCATATACCGTTATGGCCTGAAAGGCTGGACACGGGTAGTGCTTCAGCACGGTTGGAAATGTAAGCGTCGCTGTATACTATAAGAAGCCCCCTCACCTCCCCACCAAGGCCTCTCTAATTGCGGTCTTGGATAGATATTATTTTGGCCTTCTGCGACGTGGAAGGTAACTATTTCATTGTGCTGGCCTATCGCCATACGACTATGCTGAGCGCCCAGTTGATAAATTTCTGGGCCATTGCGGTCGTGCTTATTGTGTCCTTCACAATCTTGCGCGTGCGTTACCATATCACACAGGTGTTAGGTATTATGATCTGTATTGGCGGCATGGGCTTCCTGATTGCTTCGGACCGGATCACTGGTGCCGATGACGGGAACTATTCGCGCGCCGATTTGATCAAAGGCGACCTCTTCGCACTCCTGGGCGCGACATTCTACGGACTTGCCAACACGGGTGAGGAGGTCTTTGTCAGTACGGCCCCGGTATACGAAGTTTTGGGCCAAATGGCCATGTACGGCATGGTCATAAATGGCGTCCAGGCGGGCGTTTTCGACCGCAACTCGTTCCATAATGCGATCTGGAACTTCCAGGTTGGTATCTACTTGACAGGATATACGCTGTGTCTTGCTTCCTTCTATTGTATGGTACCGCTGCTGTTCCGGCTGTCATCGGCGGCATTTTTCAACATATCGATGCTGACGATGAACTTCTGGGGGGTTCTCATCGGGGTCGGGGTGTTTCACTACACAATCCACTGGATGTACCCGATTGCTTTCGCGCTCATTATCCTCGGGCAGCTCATCTACTATCTGGGGCGGCGCGTGCTGGGAGAAGCGCGCAAACCCTGGCTGGGACGGAACCAAGAATGCGGCGTGTCGGGACTATTTACAGCACGAAGAAAGATCGAGACCGCTGCCGGCCGGAGTCGCAGCGACTCCATATCCACGACTTGTTCAGAGAGTGATCCTATGCTACCACGTGCCAGTGTGGCTGAGGAAGCAGCTTAGGGACCCTGACGTCCTGCTGAGTACATTCATTCATAAGATAAAGAGAAATTGGTTAAACGACGGCATGCTTATGATCGACCCACAATAGCGCTTGCATAGTTCAGCGAAATCATGTTTTTAGACTATGACATTATATATACAAGGCGACGAGGATTGGTACTTACTAGTAATCAATACACAGCAATCATTATATTCCTACCCTTTAACAATGAACGGCAGTCAGTAGAGTAATTCATTTAGTAGTAACTATGACCAAGCGACCGAATATGTTGTGTTATAGCAATCCATATACTACCCAGTCATTAATGTCATCCCGACACCCTACCACCCGCCACCGACACACCACACAGCGCAGCTTTCCCATTTCGAAGAATTCCCTACAAGAAACCAGAGCTAGATACTTCAATAAGCCCCTAAGCAACAAGCAGCATCTAAATACCGTCCTTAACTCCTATATCCGCCGTCATCCGTCCTTGCCATATCCGAGAACCGACCAAGAACCCCAATCCCGAAAATCTTCGGACTTGCCGATCAGCCTCCGAGAAGCAGCACCTGAACCCTATATATACTTCTAGTAATTACAGTACTACTACTTACCTCCCAATGCCATTGAACTTGAGAATATTGAACACACTCTCCACTATTTGGAATCAAGTTAACTACTACCCACCTCGATCACAATGACTACTACTACTTCTACTCCCTCATCCATAACCTTCCCCTCAGCAACACACACCCTCTCCGGACACCTCTACCGCCCCCAAACGGGCAACAGCAGCAGCAGCATCACCGCAGGCATAGTCATCTCGCACCCCATGACGGGCGTTAAAGAGCAAACCGCCGCCCTCTACGCCCGCCACCTCAGCGCCGCAGGCTTCACAACCGTAACCTTCGACGCAGCCTACCAAGGCGCCAGCACCGGCCAGCCGCGCGGGCTTGAGGATCCCTTCCAGCGCGTCGAGGACATCAAGGCGGCAGTCACGTACCTCTCCACCGCCGTGCGCGGAGTGGACAGTTCGCGGATTGGAGTGTTGGGAATCTGCGCGTCGGGTGGGTATGCATGCTTCGCTGCGGCGAGTGATGTACGAATCAAGGCCGTGGCGACGGTGTCGGGGGCCTGTGTGGGAAAGATGAGTAGGTGCGGTGGGGTGCAAAAGGAGTTGAGGGAGAATGAGGAGGTAATTGGGGCTGTGTTGGGGGGTGCGGCCGGGGATAGGAATAAGATTAATCATGGGGAGGAGGAGGAGAAGGCGCCGAAGATGTTTGATGCGGAGAAGGTGTTGCAGGAGGGAGGAAACGTGGATTCGTTTTTCAGGGCAGCGGCGGAGTATTATGGGACTACGCAAAGAGGGAAGCATGAGCGCTCGACGCAGAGGGTGCCGTTGGAGAGTTATGATCGGATGATGGTGTACGATTCGTTTGCGTTTATGAGGTTGATTGCGCCGCGGCCGGTGTTGATGATTGCGGGTGCGGAGGCGGAGACGCTGCATTATAGTGAGGAGGCAGTGCGGTTGGCGAGGGAGCCCAAAGAACTGTTTGTTGTGCAGGGGAAGAATCACTTTGATTTGTATGATCAGTTGCAGGAGTCGGGGCCTAAGCTGGTGCAGTTTTTCACTGGGAATTTGGCGTGAGGTTGAGACTCTTTAGTGCCGTGCCGTGCTGTACTGGAGGATACGGATGATGGACGATGGAGGAAAGAGATGATAGAAAAAGGGCAAAGAGAAGTAGTAGTATATGACCAAACCTATCAATAAAACATGACAGACCAGAACCTCAGCAGATCAGACTCCGTTAACTCTTTTGATGTTTTGCCTGCATCCCCGAATGTTCCTTTTTGCCAATGCCCCATAAACGCATAAAACACAGTAAGATAACAACAATCAATCAACCTTTTCATACCCAAGATAGAAGCCCAGTTGCTGAACTAAAACCCGCATGCTTCGGCCAAACTCGCAACCAGACCCGAATGATGATAGAATAACACCTGAACCCCCCGTGAATGAGTGGGAAACAAGAGCCCGAGACGTACACTCCCTGAAGGTAAATACAAACCCCAACCCTGGCAGGTCGTGGCAGGTCATGACAGAAGAAAAAGTAAAGAAAAAAGAGGGGAAAAAAAAGAAGAGGAAAGAAAAGCAGAGTGGAAAGGAAACCAAAAAGCACAGCGTCAAAGGATAAATGCAAGCATACAAAAAGCACACCAAATGGGGAATACCGACTCCAGAAACCAACAGGCCAACCAAGTTCCCCAGTCAGTAAACCAGCCATGTACCAAATTAACAGTCCACATGTGACGGAGCGCTAGACAAAAATCAAAAGACGTACTCTTGCACCACCGCCTCTTCCAGTATGTACCATGCTCTTTTCCCAATAGTATCAAAACGAAACCCCTCTCTTAAAACGCCACAGCACAGAAGCGAACACATGCCGAACAAATAATGCGTGATGTTGGTTATCCGCCCATTGTTATCTAACCCCAGACCGAGGCCTGAACTCCGAGACCGTTCTTGGAACCCCAGACACCGCTGCCGTTGCCCCAGCCAAGGCCAACTCCCCCGGATGTATCCTTGACACTAGCGGTCGCAGCCGCAGTAGTGGGTGCGGTCGACACGGAGGGAACAGAACGATCCGAAGCGGCATCGCCTGGAGTGAAACCGAATCCCAGGGGAGAGGGCAGCGGAGTCGTGGAGCGCTTGTTCAGCGCCGGGTTAGATACCTGTCCCGCATGAGGCTGGGGCAAAGGACGGGTTCCGATGGGGCCAACGGAGCCAATCGGCCCAGCCATTGACTTGGAAGGAGCTTGTCTCGAGGAAGGAGAATCAGCACCGCCGGGAGACGATGTCGAGGTTACAGGCTGGTCGGCACTGTCGTATTTGCCAAAAACAGGGTTGATGGCAGAGCTGGGGGAGGAGGTGCTGTTGGCACGAGAAGGCGACTGCAGGGAGGCAGCGCTGGCTGCAGTCTGACCGAGACTGTCGGCGCCAGCCTGAACCGGGGTCTGTGCGAGACCGAACGGATCAACGTTGCGGGGGGATGCACCACGGACGCCGGTCGAGGAAGTCGGCGTGCCACCTGCCTGGCTTTCGGAGCGTGTGCCGTCATCGGCGAGACCGGCGGGAGGGAAGAAGGCAGGGCTGTCGTTGCCGTATAAAGCCCTATGCTGACGAGCGAGTAGTTCCCGGCGGCTTTCTTCGCTCATGGCGGCCGGGCTGAGGGAGCGATCGGACTTGTTTCCAGACATTTCGGCAAGCAGGCCTTTGAGAAGAAGAAAAGAATTAAAACCATGTTCGAAGCGGGAGCCATGTCCCAACGTAATATACAAGCCAACAAATACACATGGGCAAAAAAAAGTATGTATGGGGAATATTGGGGAAGAAAGATGCATGTGCAGAAAAGGCTCCAAAGACAGATGCTACCACGTACTTCGGTTGTACTGTTGCTCCTGGTGATAGTTGCGGAGCTCCCTCTCACGCTGTGCTGCCATCCGACGCTTCGCTTGCATCATTTGCTCTACTTCATTGGGGCGACCCTGGAATCGCTGAGAGGCATAGAAGCCCTGGACATTGGGACTGGGATGCATCCGAGAATCGAACTCGCTGATCGAGTGATGACGCTGGCTCATTGAGTTGACCATGCGGGGATCTGCCACTGGGGTTTAGAATGTGTCGTGATAAAATCAAATGATCTCGCAATATCATACCGTAGTCGGGATAGGGACGGCCCATCATCATGGGCATGGAATCCCTCCGGGGTGCAGCCCACAGCTTTCCACTCTTGACGAGGTTGTCAATAGCACGGTCGACCTCTGATGGATGTTAGCATGCAACCGAATTCTTGCTTGTCACAGAACGAGAAACAGGCCGCAGATCCGACACGGCTAACAAATGTATATGCTTGCGCACTACTGGACGGTCGCAGCACCAGAGTAGGCGAAACAATGCAGGGGAAGTTTATCCGTACCATCGAACTGAGAAGAAAACGCCGGGATTTCGTCACGCTGGGAGACGGAACTCGATCCTGCATAGAAGAATCGTCGTGAGCAATGAGAACCGTGATACCTACACTATATTCGGTGATACCAATCCATACCTGACCGCGATGGGGGAGCAGGTTGCTCCCAAGAGGCCTGGCGCGCGGCCGGTGCCTGCCAACCCTGAGGCTCGTAGTATGCCATGTTTACCGGAAGAGACCGTGGTACGAGGACGGACGGAGTCAAGCTTTGAAGCGATGGGGATGGATCCGCTCGAAGGCAGTCAAGAAAGGCCTGTCTGGATATGACGAGTGAGTAAATGTTCTGGGTGCGACAATAGACTTGAACGGCATTGACAGAAAAGCAAGATGCGACTAGAGCGTGGAGGCCGAAAATAAAACGGGCCAGGTGGCCGAGTCAGCGCACAGGAGTGACAAAATGGCGGATGGCGACCAGCGATGACATCGATCAGACTTATTATTAGATCTCCCAATTTGACTCCTCAGGTATCGAACTTATTTTTTCCTTTTTCCTTGCCTGCCTTCAATCTTGTCCCCTTTCCTTCCGGGCTCTTCACATGACAGGAATGAGGTGCGGACGCAACAAACTTTAATTGATGCGAGACACCAAGTTCGATTCAAGGCCAAGCGGATGCAGTGAGATATAGTGGATGGATTGCGTCCTTGTGGATTTGCGTTCCTCTAGAACTCGTGGAAGTGGTGTCTTATGGTCGAGTGCGGCACAGAGAGGGAAAAAAATGAAAATGAAAATAAAAAAAAAATAACAATGCTTCGGGACGGTAAAAATCCCAAAGAAAATTGTAGACTTACCAAAGCAAATGGATGTTCCCCTGGAGCAAAAAATCCCGGACGATTCTACCACGAGCGAACGAGGCAGAACAGGGAAGAGACAAACAGCTTCTCACCCTTTGAAGGCACGACAGACCAAAAAAAAGTCTGGCGCGAGGGATTTAAAAAGGGTTGGAGGAGGCGTGGGGGTGAGTGCGGGAAATAAGACAGGGAAGGGGGAGGAGGAGGAGGGAAGAAGAATGGCGAGGAAGAGGGAGAGATTGTAAGTAGGAGAGTGAGTGAGAGGGAGAGGAGAAAGGCGTCGGGTAGCAGAGGTGCAACGTCGAGGGAGATTGAGGAGGACCGGGGGTGGAAGAGGGGAGGACCAAGAAGAAAGAGGAGCGAGTAAGAGAGAGAGAGGAGGGAGTGAGAGAGAGGGGGGGCAAGGGAAGGGAAGCGAGATGCGTGGATATTATGATTTTTTTTGGCCCGGGGATAAGAAACACAGATTCAAAGAGAGGCAGCCAGCCAGAAAAGCTGCTAGGTAATAATAATGGAAACCATTTATCACTCCTAAACCAACTCACTACAAACTAATCACTAATCAATCAATCCGCAGATTTCCATTCGGAATGGACACCACCACTACTACTTGTAGATACTCCGTACTAGATCCTATCTATCTTCGCCCATCGACCAGAGAAGGTCAGGAATAAGATGGCGGTCGTGGGACGAGAACCAAAAAGGAAAGTAAAAAAGAAGAAATTAAAGAAAACTTAAGGTGGAAAGGTGAGAGGAAAAAAATTTCGAATCCAGTTCTCCATCCCTCTCCACCTTGGGAGAAAATGCGCACACCACCGGAAGCTCATGCTAGTATTTCCCAAGTAGTCCACCCACACACGCACACACACAACCCGTCAGTCTCCAACCTGTTTAGGAAAGGTTCAAGGAAAAAAAAGGGTGGGCATCGGACGGATTTGCATTGTTCTGGTTGGCAATGAAGATTCGGCTTGTTGAATCGCTAGTACTAGTCCACCGAGGGTCCGGTCCTCTTATTCTTTTTGCTTTTGTTTCTTTTTCTTTTTCTTTTCTTGTCTTTTCTTTTCTTTTCTTTTTTTTTTTCTTTTTTCCCCCTCCTTCTATTGATACCTTCCAGTTTGTATGACTGCCTTTGACGAATCTCCTTCATGGTTGGTAAACAAACTGCAAGCAAAGAATGTGAAGATTAAAGGGTCCTTGGTCTACAGCTCTCCTCTTCCCCATCGACTACGTACTTTGGCTATCAATAGAATCGTTTGTTCTTCAATTGACAGGTATGAATCCATGTGGTATCGTTTCCTGGAGTCCCACCTGTATTGGCAACGTACTTCCGGTAACTATTACTGGATATTACATTCATGTTACCCGTTCTACCTCGCAGGTGACTTTGCTGACAGCATCAAAACCGATGGAAAGGCAAGGAAATAAATGAATCTTGAATTTGGGTAGCAATTAAATGTGTTCTGTAGCAAATATTTGTTGATCTGTTGTATGGTTTAACCTCATTAAGGTATCTCTCCTTGACTGCTCGATACGTGGGTTCCATTAGTAGTCAGTTGCACCATTGCGGACTTTTTTACATTTTGATATGGAGTCCCTCCGTCGTAGCCGGTAGCCGGATATTTCGTGCACTGGGCAAGGACCTTGTACTCCTATGCTTCTATTAGCGTCGGCCCGTCAACCTTTTTTCTCAAAGAATTGTCCCACCCACCTTGGAATGCTAGTTACAGTTGTCATCATCTGAAGACTATCTTGGTAAGTAATTAGATACCAAGTAGATAGGTGCAGATTGACCATGGGAAGGGCTCTCGACTCATTCTAAACCTTGAGGGCGTATGTCTTGTCCCACCCTGCGTGTTCTGGTTCAAGCACCTAAGCAGAGATCAGATTCCCAGAAAGGTACAATCGATACTGAAGGAAGGTACTTCGTCAGTCATCCATCCCCTTATTTCGAAGTTGTGTCTATATCTACCCCCGACCAGGAACATGGGGATATGTATCGTACCACTATTGTCCTGCAAGGAAACAATACATGTACGACACCGGTATAGGTTTCGGTCTTGTATTATATCCTACCGATTAGTAAGTAAAAGTAGCTGAAGATAACATGACTGGATGATCAGCTCCAGACTACACAATGATTCTCTTAAGACCACACTGATCTGAAAATGACTGAGATCTTGGATGTTTTCCACAAAACGAAGACATGGGAACCAAACGGAATTTGAACAAAGTCAGTAGAGTCATTGGACCTCGTGGGGATAAATTTGGAACTTGGTATGCTCCTAATCGATCCAAAGCGGGCTAGCGTGTGGTGGTCGGCCACACTCCTTGCGGGTACACCATCTCACCTCCATCGGTCCCCGAGTCAGATTTGTCTTGGAAATCCACCCCGGGAATTAGCATCTCATTCCACGTCCTTAACTATGAAATATACATACTATGTACTCCGTACTATCCTCATAGTCTATTTTGTCGTGTTGCGATGGCTCTTCCATGGCTGGGCTTGAAATGAATCTTCAGCAAGGGTGTCTCTGTCCTGCAATCTGCACATCATGTGATCACTGTAATCCTGTTCGGGCTCTCCTTGACAGCAGCTGCATCACACGGTCGGCGAAGTTCTTACTTTGTAACTAGTCTTGTCTTGTCCGTCTCCAATCAGAAGTGGTGGGAAGTCCGGCATCTGTCACGGTTCAACCTTACGTCTTAGTAATGTTGGATAAATACTCCGTATCGCCTGGTGCGCAATCCAGGAGGACTGGTGGTGGGGCATGGCCAGTTCAACACGGATAACACTCGGACCGCCGTCCATCCCTCCCCCCTGGCTCGCTCCAAGGAGGAACATACCCAAATCACAAGATGGGTTTGTCCGTCGTCATCATGCTGCCAGTGGCTTGGATCAGCATGTCAACCATCATCCATCATCCAGCCTCTGGAATTGGGGAAACATTGGGATAGAAAAGGATCTTCCCAGTGGCGGTAAGATAAATTTGATGAGGAAATGTCAAACCAACTCCCAGTACTCGTTAAGGGTCCCCCTACGGCGTTATATTCGGCCGACATCGGATGGGGATCTAAGTTGAAGTTGACTTCGACGGTAGACCGTTGGAGAGGAAAACTTGTCCTACATAGTACTAGTATTTTTGTGCCAAGATATGTGCATACTATCTAGACTACATCATAGAGCATACTAATGATGTTTCGCTCAGCTGCCGCGCGCCTCTGCAGAGAGATGACCTCTGTGGCTGGCCGTGCTGGCTTTCTTGCATATTAGTTCTCGCAGCTCAACCCAAGTCAACAACTTCTACGCCACTCTGGGGTCCTTGGTCTTCTTATCCAGTTTTGGCCTGTAGACGATTCTAACCAGGTTAATCAAGCAGGTCTTCCGAATGATGGATTCGGGAGGCCCCCAATTAGGCAGATACTGAGTACTACTACTAAGGTACTCTACTAGTAAGGTTCATAGTCCCCCTCACCAATCATATTGAGATGTCAAGCATAGCCGCTGAGATCTTTCTGTGCCCAGTCTACAATTTCTTTCCATCTCTATAAGCTAACCGCAGCTCCTGCATGCAACTTTCGTCACCTGAACGAAAGGAGGCCAAGACCGTATAAGCAAAACCTAACCTACCGATACACAGGCCGAAGGCCAACGTTGTATGGCTTGCTAGAAAAGTCGGAGCGGAACCTCGAGGCAGCGACAATGTTCACTTCCACCTTTACGCAGCGATATGAGCCATCTATAAACATCGTAGCTCACCGGCTTGTTGAGCTGAATTTTGATTTTCTGGGAATAATTCCATCCCAACAAAGAGGGTGTGGCAATCTGCTCTATCGCATCTCCACACAAACTTAAACCGTTATGTGCGACAGGGAGACATCGGCCCCGTCATCACTGCAAGTGTTGGTGTAGTGGCTGAGAGTGGGACAACACCTGGCCCTTAGAACGGAGAAGGGAGTAGGAGTTTCAGACAGAATATGTATGCCAGTAGGCTAGACTAGACAGTTGATCCAAGACAAACGGTTGTTTGTGAAGAAGCGAGTTTCCAAAGGGGTTTTGGTGGAGTGGACCAAGGCAACTGGCCTGAAGTTCATTGGAACGCTGACTGGAGGCGTCGGCCACACGTGCCGCCAGCAAGACGCATTTGACCGGACTAAGGGCCGAGACAGTCGAAAGTTGAAACTCTCCCTGACAGGCGCACGGGAAACGCGGGGCAGAGAAAAGGGGGAAGAACAATGAACCCAGCCGGGCATCCTTAGTGGCAGGAACAGACTATTGGAAACCTTGAGGCGTCGAGTCAACATGACTTCTACCGCGTACCGGCGATTGAGATTCACACAAAGAAGCAAGAGGAGATGGGTTATCTAGACACTTTTCAGCGTCGGACATGATCGGGACGTGGCTCCCTTCCCCCCCTCTCACTACCATTTCGTTCCGCCCTTTCTTTGGTGCGGAGCGCTTCACTGCTTGTTGGAAACCCCCATTTTGTTACGGCCGGCTTAGCAGCATGAGGGGATGAACGGCTGCACTTGAAATCAGCAAGCAGGACGGAGGACATTTAGCCGGTCTAGATGTCGCATGCATCGGTGGTAAGTACTAGCATAGTGTACGGTAAGTAAGTACTAAACCGGAGGATGCACGTCACCCTGCTGAGCTAGTCGATTGGCCAGCTCATGGACGGGGATAAACAGGGCAATTGCTGCAGGTATCTCCATTTCGTAGAAGCAGATACCAGCATAAGTATGTATATAGATAGTTGGCTGCGGGTGTGAAATGGGGCATTACATTGATTGCCTCATGAATAGTGAATAATGAGAGGGAATTTCAGGTGGGTATGAGCAGGATCACCAAATCGGAGCAGGTCTCATAGGCCAAACAATACTAACTTATCATCCCAGATTACTAGTAGTAAAACATAACAGAAAATAGAAAAAGGCCCCTGTCTACTCCTCAATAATCCTCAATGGCTCAAGTAATCAAATATTCAGAACTCTTAATCATATAGTTTGTATGCCTGAGGCAGTAAAGGGAGAGAGGTGGGTTCGATGGGGAATAAAGAAACTACGGATGGAAACGAAGAAACAATTCAAGAGGGGGGAAAATGAGAAGTTAATAGGGGAATAGGGGAAACTGAAAAAGAAAAATTAAAATCAAAAACAGACATCGTAGATGACACTCGCCCTATTGATAGGAGATTCTTCCATTCTTTCCTTTCTCCATTCGCAACCGCCGCAATTAATTTGGCAAAGGCCAATAGCCTCCGATATTACCTGCCTCGGTGCAGACACGCCTATTTACCTCCAACACCACCAACCACTACCACCGCGGACTCCGTAAAAAACTACTATTTACTACTACTTTGTACTACCACTACTGCTCCTACTATTGTTGCTGTTGCTAGTTGACTCCTTCCCCGGCTAGTCCCCCAAGTCCATCAGGAGGGACACTGACCAGGCTACCTGTCATCTATCTGGGGCTACTTCCTTCCTTGCTTCTGTGCTTAGGTGAGTGACTGCTGTTCCAAAACGTGTTGTGTTGGTTCTTCAATTATCCTCAATCTCGCTTTCTATTGCTCGGTGTTCTTCTCCTCTAGAGTCTCACCCCTTCTGCTACAACAACCCCTCCAACGGACTCCCTTCATGATTTCCTATCTCTCTTATTCTCTGTAGACACTTGATTTTCTTTGGTTTCTTCCTGTAAACATCTTGCTTTCCCTGAGTCGTTTCCCATCTCTTCTTTCATCTCTTTCCTTATAGGAAAAGAAGAAGAAAAAAATAATTAAGGAAATAGCTTCCTTCCTTCCTTTCTTCTTTCTCTCTTGTTTTTCAATCTCAAGTGCTCTGTAAGTTTTGATCTATTTTTTTGCTTTTTCCTCTCTCTCTCTCTCTTCTCTTTACCCCTGTCTATTGTTGTTTAAAGGCTTGTGTGTGTGGAGGGGTCTATCTTCCCATAGAGCGATAATAGTTCCCTCTGGGCTGGAAGCATAAACGGCGGTTACCCAGCCGTGCCCACTTGTCGGAACGCCTGGCAGAGTTTCCCGCCGTTGGAACGCAATTGCAGTGTCCCCCCCTGGCTCTGGCTCTGGCTCTGGCTCTGGCTCTGGCTTTTGGCTTTTGGCTTACCTCCTCCCTCTGCAGCAAACCAAGCAATCACACCAACTACCACCACCACAACCACCAGCAGATCTCCCCCCCCTCCTCTTTGGTGCTTGCTTCGTCGATTGACTTGCCTAGCAACCTGTTGGAATTCTTCGTATATTCGTTCGCTCAATCACCTGGCTGGTCCTTACATGGAGCAAATTCGGTGTTGCTCTTCCGCGATACGACTCTTCCGCTCACCTTGTGTGGTTTTTTCCAGTGTGCCCTTCCTCCCGGCTAGAGGCCATCGCTCTCTCCCCTTAAAACACCGTCTATCTGTTTGACGATCGCCCGGTCCGTCCACTCAGTGAACCTTCTGCCCACTCTCCCCCGATTTACCTCGCGCTGGAAATCCCCATACCTCATTCACTCCTGTCTCCGGTCTGCTTCAGATTCTATTCAATCCAATTTCTGGCGGGTCCACTATTGCGAGAGTTGCTCTTTGCCTCCCCTCCCGTCCCCCTCTCAAATCGAGGACTGCGACACCTTTTGCCCGCGCATAGCACAGCACAGCAGCACAAAAGGCGATTTTGCTGACCTATCGCTGGCCGAGTTCTGCACAGAGTCCACTGCCTTCCCTTCGCCCCCGGCTCTCGCTTCCCCTACGGCTAGCATTTGTCCCGACTAAGACTCCCGCCGTGCTCCCGCTCGTTGACGGATTATATTACACTCGCTGGTGGCGGACTGTTTCCCGCCCGCAAGGTTGGATTTTAGGTGGACCTCGACTTCAGCGTCCGATCACCGTCGGACCTTCTTCGTCCCACCCTTCCCCGGAGGCCAACGTTGTTCGACCAACGTTGGAGTCGCTATATGATCCCAGACACCCATGGGAATGCTAAAATCTCTTCCATCCCAGGTGGAAGGTCACCGGTAACAGCACGGAAGGCCTCGAATATGCCGTGGAAGTTATCCACAGAAACGTCTCCCGAGGCAAAGAATCGGCCGCCATTGACTTCGCAGCAATCCAATTCCCTGCCCTCCACGCCATATCAACATGCGCGAAAAATCTCTTTTCACTCCAGGTCACCTTCGCCCCCGCAAGGGAACACCTCCCCTCGCTCCACCCACTCCGAGTCTACCCATCTCCCTCCCTCGTTACGGAAACAATTCTCAGGCTGCAAATATGAAACCGCCATGGCTTTCTTCCGTCGGAGAATGCCATACTCCTTGGGTGCCGACCTGCTGCCGGAGGAAAAGGATGGCCTCAAGGAGCGGTTGGAGCCAGAGGACGAGAAGAGACTCAGCGCAGATATGCTGGAGGTATATGATCAGCTCCTGCCGTCAGCAGAAAGCGACGACCGGCGACGTCAATTAGTCCGCAAGTTGGAGAAGCTCTTCAATGATCAGTGGCCAGGGTGTAATATCAAGGTTCACGTTTTCGGTTCGTCGGGGAATAAGCTCTGTTCAAGTGATTCAGACGGTATGTATCGGTTGTTTGGCATACGTTGTGTGTGGGTGTGTGAGTTCTAACAAGGATTCCAGTGGACATTTGTATAACTACCACCTATAAGGAGCTTGAGCACGTCTGTCTCTTAGCGGAGGTACTAGCCAGGCGTAAGCGAACCACCATGTGCCTTGCTTGCGTAAAGAGTTGCTGACAATGTTTTGGGATACAGATGGTATGGAACGAGTCGTTTGCGTATCGCACGCCAAAGTGCCTATCGTGAAGATCTGGGACCCGGAGCTGCGATTAGCGTGCGACATGAATGTCAATAACACTATGGCACTGGAGAACACGCGGATGGTCCGGACATATGTGGAACTTGACGAACGCGTGCGACCCTTGGCTATGATAATCAAGCATTGGACGAAACGGAGGATTCTCAACGATGCCGGTATGTGTCGAGTCGTCGATTTTGGACGGACAACTGGAGCGAGTTCTCGACTGACTGTCCGCACACAGGACTTGGAGGCACACTAAGCTCTTACACGTGGATTTGCCTGATAATAAATTTCCTACAAACGCGAGACCCGCCCATTTTGCCGAGCCTTCAAGCTCGGCCTCACAAGAAGAAATTGACAGCGGACGGGATAGTTTGTTCTTTCGATGATGACCTCGATTCTCTCATTGGCTATGGGCGAAAAAACAAGCAGAGTCTCGGAGAACTACTCTTCCAGTTCTTCAAATACTATGGTCATGAACTCGACTACGAGCGGCATGTGATATCTGTCCGTGAGGGGAAGCTCCTGTCGAAGGAAGCGAAAGGCTGGCACTTGCTACAAAACAACCGTTTATGTGTGGAAGAGCCGTTCAACACTTCACGGAATTTGGGAAACACAGCGGACGACACATCGTTTCGAGGGGTCCATATGGAGCTGCGCCGGGCATTTCAAGCCGTTTCCGAAGGGAACCTGGAACACTGCTGCGAACAATACGAATATCCACCGGAGGAAGAACGCTCATGGGAGAGACCGCCGCCTCAACCGCGTCCTGTGCTCACTGCAGCACCACCACCGTCCCGCGGAGGTCGTGGCGGAGGTCGTGGCGGACGACATTCGAATCAGTTCTCCCGAGGAGGTCATTCCGGTGGTCGTAGGGCTTCCAACACACCGAATAAGTCCGGCAACTTCCGACAACCCAACGGTATGACCGCCTCTGAGCTTTCTTTGCAAGCGCAGCACGCACAGTACCTCTTGCATGACCATCTCTATCAGCAAATACAGATCCTTCAGGCCCAAGAGCAAGAATTGCGGCTCCAGCTGCAGAACCAGGCGCTCCTCACCGGGAGGCCGCCGCCGGTCCTTATTCGCCAACCGTTTATTCAGTTCCCAATGCCTCAACAACAAGAATCCTCTGGCGACGATAACTCTCGATCAAGGTCGGGCACCGTGAACCATCCGCCTCTCAACACACCGCACCGCCAGAACGTGTATTACAACAGCCATTACCTCCCTGTGGGAGTTCCTGGCGTGCAGGGAAGCAACACAAATCCGCCGTCGCCTTCAGCCACTACTGCCATGCCGGACCTTCGGCGTAGTCCGCGTCGATCATCTGTTGCCAACGGATCACCGGGTGGGTCACTCCGAGCACACTCACAGCCGGCTCGAACGGTCAATTCTCTTCCGAGTTTTGCGCCATTGTATTCGATATCTCAGATGGCGGACAGCTCGCTGGGGTCGAAGGCGCGCAATGCTCCAGGTTCACCCGACGGTACACAGAGCGACGAGAACAATACCTTTATGCCGAGCAGCCTTCCCAACGTGTCCCGCTCAACCTACTTCGATGAATGCCGACCGAATGAGTATATGGGTTATTACCTTGCAACTTCCCCGCAGCTACAGACGTATCATCAAAATGCTTTACTATCGCCGCTGTCTCCAGTTGGGCTGGCATTGCAGAATGGCGGCGTTGTGCCGTTTGTTGCAAACCCCCAAGATTATATGGCGTCAATTGCGGCAAATGAAGCGACCGGTCAAGCCTCAGATAATGGGACTACATTGCCAATGAAACCAGGGTCGACGCCGCAGCGTGCAACTTCGCGATCAGCTGCATCTGGCGATCGGAGCGGACCTTTGATCGTGGACGGCTCGGTGCCCCCTAGTGAACAGCGTCTCTCAATATCGGCAGAAGGCTATGACCCGTACACGGCCATGAGCCACTGTACGTCGAATTCGGATGACTTAAATATGGATACGCCAGCGAGCGTCTCAGACTCCTTGTCTCAGGAATTCCAGGACAACAGCTCGGTCGATATTGATCAGCCGCCCTACTTCGGTCGCCAGGGCGTTGACATATACCAGACCGGGAAAGCGGCTGATTCCTTTGTTAATGGACACGGTGCAAAGCATAGTCTGCTCTCTAGCCGGTTGCAGAGCCTTCATCTGGCAAACTCCGAAAAGACCCCCGAACCTCAGTTGAAGAATAGTATCGAGAAGATGAAAGCGCCCCAACCAAACCAAGAAGCCGCGGAAAGAGACAACCATCGCTCGAAACAGGCGAATTCAGGGGAGAAACCACTGACCACAGGGCCATCGCCAGCGGCGGACTCGCATTCTTCTTCTAGTGGGAAACGGCGTTCTAATGGCGTGGATGCGTCTGAACGGACCAACGGGATTCCACACAAAGCGAAATCCAAGAATCACAATCAGCCTTCTGGTCCAACCGATAACGAGAAACGACATACCATTGCACAATCGCGAAAGGCTAACGGTGTCAGTTCGACACCAGACTCTGCTGTTGCTCATGCCGGTGGTGGTTGGCAGACGACCAAAAGGAAGCCGAAGAAGAATGCCAGACATTCAACAGAACACAGGCATGGCTTGCATAGTGGTGCAGAGCCTCTCCCAGCAGATGAATCATTGAGAAAGGGGGGTTGAAAATGTTAGATGATGTGTCATCGTGAGCATTTTCTGTTGTCCTTCGTATTGCGATGCCTCCTGCAGTCTCATCTAGCACAGGTCGCACGCGCAATACCCTCGGCCAAGCCGAGCCATAGCTGTGCTTGGTGTGGGAGCCCCTACCAGGTTTGTCTGTTCGCCGAACCAGCATCGGGTAGGGAGCTNCCATGACGGCCATATAGCGTGTTACATGCATGGCCTTTGTACAGCCTTTGCTACGATTTTACAAGTGCTTACATTTTTGGGGAAGTTGGGCTTGAGTATACCATCGAACCCCTCGATTGACTGGAGGGATGTTTCATGGTACTGTATAAATGAGGCGGCGTCCTCTTGCAAATGACATGATTTCGGTTGCACTTGTTTTCTTGCTACTTGTTATGGAAGTATATGGCCTTATTCCTCCATCCTTTTTCTCTTTTCATGTTCACTATTGGCGTTTTGCAAGGTTAAATAACGGAAAATTGGCAAGTCAGGGGGGGTTTGGCTGGTTACCATGGGTTACTTGTGTGAATTGCATATGATATATGTTGTGCCGTCCTCTATATCGTTGTCCATCTTATACGTTGTGATTGTGTTTTGATGTGGTTTGGAGCTTACATTGACTCCTTTGGGTTGTGATTGAGGGCTTTCCCCCCCCCAGGCTGTTGGTGCCATTGCATACGGGCTGTATCATCTCTCCCCTTGCTCCCTGCAGTGGTGCTGCATTGAGGGCAACAATACGCAAAAAAAAAAAGAAAATGCAGACCAAATGAAATATCCCTGCGGAAGCACTTCAGCTCCAAGTGGGGAGGAAAAAAGAAGTGTTAGAGCCGATTTGAAATGAGCTCTAAATCGGAGCCGAGTGGCATATGGCCTAGATGGCCCGTTTTTCTTCCTTCGTCTGGCCGGGTTGGTCTCCTCGCCCTTTTTTGTTTCATCATCAGTTTTTGTTGTTTTCCACCCGCTTTCGAAGATTATAGTCCATCGGCATGACCGTCATCATCATCATTGTCATCACCAACATCATCATTATCATTGTTGTCATTGTCATTGTCAATATACCATCATAGCAGGGAGCCGGGCGAGCGGGTTCACATGGTTTGACTTTCACAGGTTCTTGTTTGCGTGCGTGTCGATTTGTTGAAAGAGCTGCTGTTTCCGTTTCTTCTTTTTCTCTCTTGCCCATGTTACATATTCATTCGCATCGGTCGTGGTTGAGCAATGGGGGTTGCAAATGTAGACGTTGGGAATTTACATATATAGCAGAAAGAAAGGACAAAAAAATGACAAAACCTTGTTGACATCAAGCTTGTCGTCTTCCGAGTTTATGCAACTATTACCAGCCAGTACTGCAATCGTATGTCTACTGTGTTATTTACTTGTCGAGTGAGTGAGATTGCGCTTTAGTACCGAATGTCTAGTATTGATAGTATGAACCCATAATATAACTCGGTTGATCGGTTAAAAGATGTACAGAAGTAAAAAGGACCACTAGTTCTACAGGTTTCAGACGCTTGCTATCTTTCGAGATGAGACAAGCGATCACTTCCACCGTAGATAGAATCTAGGAACAACATAGGTAGTAATGAAACAAGAAGAAGACAACAAAATAGATTTCTAATAGTACATGTAGGATCAGAAGCAAGAAAGGGCGATATTAAAAGGTAACACAAGCAATATATGACAGGAGAAAGGTGATAATCAGATGAGATAAATACATATGTACGGGATAGGTGGTCATGGCTTCTTCGGCACTTGCAACTCATTGAAATGAATCAATCCGGTGCGGGTTCATTAGGTATGAATAAGCGGGTAGGGTAAAGATATATGGGATGGCATGTGAGTGAGAATGATGATGGTAGGGGTGGTAGTGGTGACGGCAGCGGTGATAATTCCCATCTAGCAGAATGCCTCTATCAGCATGTAGGGGAAGATCACGACGCATGCTGTCCAAAAGACCATAATGCATTTCAACAAAGCCAGAGGCAGCTTGTAGAAAGGTGGCTCGGTGATGACGAGCCACAGAGAGAGAAAGGCGACACTGAAGAAATGCCAGAATAGAACGTCCGGCTTTTTGATCAGTCCACCCAGAAGACCTATGGGCCCGCTGGTCATTCCTAACTCAAAGTAACGGAAGCAGCCCCGTTGGAGAGCACGCATATTCTCGTCTAGATTTGCCCCAGTGGGGTCTGGCGTTAGCTGCTGGGACGCTGGGTGTGATGGATGGGAAACAATGTAAAACGAACCTTTAGCAGCAAACAAGGCATAGAGAGCCTGCGCCAAAATGTTGATGACTGAACATGTTTTCTTCCGTTGCCAACGGAAGGAGGACAGCTGTTGCAGGACGCGCTCATGATTAGCGAGGGAAGGGACCTTCTCCGGACTCAGCAGATCACGAAGGACCACAACGTCGTTGAATGCGACGGTCATTCCTCCACCGGTCAGCGGATGCCGCATGTTGAGCGCATCGCCCAGGATGACCAGACCGGGAGTCTTGTTCGGGGTACTAGGCAGATATGAGTTCGGCATTGACCGCAGCTGACCCTTGTCCAACGCAGCTACGAATGAAGGCTGAATGCATTCGGGAAGGGACGGGAGAACGACGTTGCGAAGGTGGTTCTTGACGCCGCCGTTCTTGACGGAGGCCGACGGGAGGTTCTCTGGGATGTCGATGAGGATGCGGGTTTCATGGGTGCCAATTTGGTAGACGAGGATAGGGGCATTGTCGCTAAGGAGGACGTGGCCATGATAAGGCTTGGGAAGGTCTGCATCGATCAATTCCAAGCCCCAGAACCTGGAGCGGACCTTGGGAGTATTGGAATGGTATTGCTTGCGGAGTTTGGAGGCGTAGCCATCGGCCACCACCGTAAGATGGCCAAAGTAGCAATCCTTCATGTCGCCGGTCACACACTCGACACCAAGAACCTGCTTGGTGTGGGAGCAAGTGACCAAGTCGGTGGCCTTGGTCTCCACCACTGTGACATTGGGACAGGCCAGCGCAGCAGCTCGCAGCTTCATGACGAAGCGGCCATGGTGGAAACAACGCCCTTGCGGGGCGGGCGACGACGGGGAGGCTTTGGGGTAGGTGAACGAGACGGGTTTCCCAAAGTATGTCACATGGTAGCCTTTCGCTGGGATGGCATCAATGTCTTCGAGACAATCAGCAAGACCCAGTTTCTCAAGCGCCTCGACACCGCCAGGCTGTAGTAACTCTCCCACGATCCGGTCAGGCTCCTTCATGGACGCCTCCAGCAGCAGGACGCTGCGCCCTTGTCTTCCAAGTGCGACCGCCAATGCACAACCTAGGATCCCGGCGCCCACAATCACGACATCGGCATGGTGGTGGATCAGCCTGCGCTGTTTGGCGACATCGGCGGAGGGGGTGGTATGGCCGTTGGCGACAGCGGCGGCCATTTTTGATGCGGGAGACCGGAGGGGATTTGCGGCGGAGGTAGAAAGGTCAAGGGAGGTCAGAATCGACAGGACAGGGAGGAATGGCAGGTATGCAAAGGGCATATTTCGATGGCCGTGGATCGGAGAAAGAGAGTATATAATGCTGCGAAGAACGAGCAGGCAGCAATGAGGCAGGGATGAGGGAGAGAAAAAAAAAAGTACTGGGGTGTGTTGGGGAAGGGAAAGTTGGAAAGTTTGTTGTATTGACCAGGAGAGGGAGTGGCGTGACATGTGAAAAAGGGACAAAAAGGGCGCGCGCGGGAGGAGTTGAGCCCATGGCCTGATATTCTTCCCTCCGCTACTAAAACTAGCTAGTTTCTTGATAGTAATCGATCTAGACCATCAGAAAAAAGATTTCCTCTTTTTCTTTCTTTCTTTCTTTCTTCTTCTCATCATGTTTGTGTTTAAAGGTGGTTGTAATCTTGGCTTAATACTGAATATCGCATATTCTGCCACTGATTCGTCAATGATGATCTTAGCCAGTATGTTCTCATGTTTGGAGAAAATAACCTGTAAATCCTCTGATACAAGATAGTATAAGGCTAGCCTGGTGCCACCTGTCTGACCAAGTAGTACTGTGTAGTAACTAATTAACTAACTAACTAACCAACCAACCAACTACTACTACTACTACTAAGTTGTGAGCCTCCATTGAAGCCGTTGATTTGCCTGTTTATTATCTCCCGCCGCTTTTATCCCCATTTCTGGTGCCGCTTCAAACCATGGCACCTTTTAGTAAGACCATACATACATACATCTTGCACAATCTTCTAACAAGAAGTGAAACAAACAAATCATCATTTGCGAAATTGAATGCCTCGTGGCACCGGTTCGTACTTATGCAATTTAGGCAGTAACTCGGTGGATGCTGCCAATACTTTAAAAAAAGTCCAGCCGATGCCGATGCCAAGAATCTGACGTCTGAACGTTCATTGAAGCCGCGACTTTCTCCAATCTTGAACCGCTACAAAACAAAACTCTCTGTCCTACAACGCGCATCTTATTGTGAGCATGAATCAACAGCGTCATCCTTTCTAAATCTTCTCGGAAAATAGCCCTTTCCTGAACCCACCATCCAGTTGACAATCTCCACCACCCTTTCCTTATCCAGCCATGAACAACGACCAATTCCGCCGCCTCGTCCTCGACAACCCTTCCTCCAAACCCGCCAAATCCACCAGCCCAGATGCATCTTCTCCATCCCAACAGCAACCACGCAAAAGCATTGGCAATGCGACACCCGCAGCCGGCGCACTGGGCTCGCGCCTTCGCTCCAGCATCCCCATGACACCGTGAGCTGATTCTCTTCCTGTCCCTCAACCCCACTTGCGCTCTTGACCCTTAGTTTACACGATTGATATCACTAACCACGTCTCTTTTCGTCGCAGCCGCTCCATAACAAATGTCGACTTTGCGCGCCAACTAGCCGAATACCGCCGCGAAGCCCAACCCGCTTCCAAGAAATTCAAATCCTCCGCCGCCCCCAAGGGAACGAGATTACCGTCCGGTTATCAAGATCGGGCTGCGCTGTTGCGTCAGAAGGAAGCAGCAGAGGAAGGCGATAGTGCTGATGATGGATCGAATCTGGAGAAGCGCGTCAAGGCGTTGGAGGAGATGGTCAAACTAGGACAGATTGACCAGGCGACGTTTGAGAAGCTACGTGCCGAGATGGGGGTGGGTGGGGACCTGAAAAGTACGCATATGGTGAAAGGCTTGGATTGGGAGTTGCTGAGGAGGGTTAAGGGGGGTGAGGATGTCGATGTCTTGGAGAAGGAAGGGGAGAAGGGTGAGGGAAAGGAGGAAGAAGATGTAGCAGATGTGGATGAGGAGCTGGATCGGGTGTTGGGAGAAAAGGGTGAGGGGGTGAATGCATTGTCTGCTGCCCCGAATGAAAATAAGGAGAAAAAGAAGAAGGGGGTGATGGTGCAGAGAAAGTCGAGAGATGAGATCCTCAGGGAGTTGAAGGCCAGTCGTGCTGCTGCTGCGGCTGAGGCGGCGAAGCCGGCTGAGCCCGCCTTAGGAACTAAGTTTAGGAGGATCGGGGGAGAGTCCAAGGCGGAGAAGAAGCGATGGGTGGAGCAGGATGAGAATGGGCGGCGCAAGGAGATTCTACAGATCACAGACGCGGAGGGCAGGACAAAGAGGAAGGTGAGATGGCTAGACAAGCCTGGTGAGGTTGGTGGTGGCGATGGGCCTGCTGGATTATTGATGCCGGACAAGGATGCGAAGCCGCTGGGCATGGAAATTCCAGCAGAGGTTGCATCCAAGGCTTCTGCGCCGGCGGAGCACGACGACGACGATGATATTTTTGCTGGCGTCGGAGATGACTATAACCCGCTTGGTGATCTACCGGATGATGACGATTCGTCAGATGAGAGTGAGGATGGCGAGAAGCCACCAAGGGCCACGGAACCAGCTCCTGCTGCCGGTGATCCGAAGAAACCGGAGGCGACAACAAGCCGGCCTCGAAATTACTTTTCTACGTCTACAACGGATGAGGTTCCTGAGATAGACCGGTCGAACCCGTTAGCGAAGGATCCTACGCTACTAGCGGCCCTGAAACGGGCTGCTGCGTTACGACAATCCGAGGAGGCTGGTGCTACTAATGCTGATGCTGGAGATGTCGACGACGAGACGGCGCTTCGACGAAGGAAGTTTCTGGAGGAGGCGCGTCGGCGGGAAGCTTTGGATGCGATGGATATGGATATGGGCTTTGGGGGGAGCCGCAACGATGACGACGAGGAGGACGAGGAGGTGGTGCTGGAGACCGAGGGACGCGGCGGGAAGAAGAGGAAACGAGGGCCGAAGAAGAAGAAGGGCGACAAGGACAGTGTGACGGATGTGATGCGCGTGCTAGAAGGGAGGAAAAAGGAGTGATCCTTGAATGCTAGCGTCTTGTAACACGAGTCAGCTCCTCTGTGGCATAGGTGGTGCCTGGGGAGAAGGAACCCAGTCAAGATCGCCAGGTAAACACGGGCTAGCCTGTAGTCACACCTGAACCTTTTTTTTTTTTGGACTGCTGTTGCCATATTGTGCTCGCTGCATCATACAGGAAACCAGATGAGCAATCCCTGTGGCATTCTATCCCTTCCTGGAACAGCAAGTGATATGCTATCGTGAATCCACGTTCGAGAGGTTGTGCTTCTACAGGAGCTTATACAGCAGTATTGGCAGCATATCCAACGCATCATCTTCAATTGACCTACATGCTCAGTAGTAGGCATTACTACTATATATAGTCATCATGAAAGACCCAAAATGGTACATTAAGATATCATTCCATGAATATATTGTATTCCGTATACTTTGCCCCCCATCATCAATGTTCAACCCACTATTATAAGGTGTTTCATAGTTCCCAGCCACTCATCCGACCCATATTATACATCCCCAGACTAACTCAGCTGAGAATAAGTCTGTATTTAAGGGTAACAGAGCACACTATCAACATAAACCGGCTCCGACGAGGTATGTTCACCCGGCTGCAGCAGCGTGTTCCGTCCTGTGCAGCCTACTCCACTATAGTATACATTCGAGTCAGCATCTTCAAAACCCCCTTCAGAACCCTCAATATGCACTAAATACACTCAAGTATCGTGGGAAAAAGAGTCACACTTACGTAAACAGACGGCATGTCTTGGAGAGGAACACGCCACGAACTTCACTGTGACAGATAAGATAGATGTCAACGGACCTTCCCTTTCGTTCTTTCTCTTCGCGAGGACATCAGGTCGAATTGATGTTGTTGGTGATGCGACTTACAACTGCCCAACTTGAGTACAGTCATCGAACGGGATGTGGACCGTATGGCTGCCTTCGTCTGTCTCAAGACCAATCTATCCACAGCAGTGGCTTTGTTAGCAGACGACTTCCATGCTTATAGATTTGCATTGAGGTGCGCAGGTAAAGTAGAGTAAGACGTACAGTCGTAGTCAACTTGGCACTACCAACTCCGGCTAGGAGCAACGTGCTCAATAGGGAGATCACTTTGAAAGAATACATGATAGCTGGATGTGCTCGGCTCAAGGATATCAGTTAACCACGATTATGAGAGAGAATAGAGGTTCTTAATCGCATGCAGCAGTAGCAGCAGCAGCAGTAGTAGTACAGAGAACAGAGTAGCGCATATTTAAGAACACTCCTCCAAGGGCGAAATGCCAGGTATACATAACTTTTCCCGGGTACGGCGTATCCCTTGCATGGGGGGCAATCGCGTTCAAACCAAGGGGGAGGGAGGGCGTGAACTGGGTCATTTACCCCAGCCACTCAATATCCTGCCCGCTTGGTTTACATTTAGTAAGTACTAGCTAATTATGCATGTATGCATGCAGAAAACTAAGGTTTGCGCTGTGTGCCTGGGCGCTGCATGATGCTGCTTTTTTTTTTTCCTCAGCCATACATGCTTGCGACATCCATCGATTGGTGCTCGCATCGTGACAAACTTGGGGACAGACGTGCTTTGTACATGGAGAAGGATGGTTTTCTTACCTTGTAGAAGGGATTTATTGAGTGGGAATTAGGGAATTAAAGAGTTTAGGTCTATGTTTATTAACTCTGTTTATGGCTGCGGGTGCATTACATACACAAGGGGCGGCTTTAGAGGTATACAGTACATTCCATTATCCGGCTAAAAGAAACCTGCCAACTAGAGCAAATCCACCCAGGGAGAGCGTGTAATGCCTTTAGAACTGAGCGCTGACATTAAGAGTGGGGACTCGAGGCTCGAGTTCGGAGATACTAGTATCTAGATTGATTTACTGTGCCAGGTTAGTGGACATCCAGACTTAGTCGTAGTATGCGCAGCCTATCTACTAATTCAATTCACCCACCCTCTTTGAAATTGTGCCTCACTGTAGTTGAAACACTGCACAGGGAGCAACAGCAGTGTATGGACCCATACTGTATATCGATCAGTGAGGGTAGTAGTATATTCGATGTTCACTATATATCCTACTACCCAAGTCATAGTAGCTGCACTCGTCTGAGACAACATTGCAGTGAGTATTAGTAATGATATCATACGGTGGTAGAGCCATTTGATAGGTGCTCCTCTGATGGGGCGGTACTAGGTGTCACGTAAAGCGAGTTCGATCACGCTATATGGAAATAATATGGAACAGATGCGTGCTAACGACAGCCGATTAACCATGCCCTTCTTCAAAGTATATGGTGGAAAAATTCATGTAATTTCAAATGGACACCGAAACAGAGCCAGAGAACAAGATGTAACTATGAGAAAACCGTGCATGAAAGACTCATCAAGCAAGAACAAAAAACAGAACCCAGTAACATAACTCCAACGCCCTAAGCCGCTGACAGAACGCTGGCTATATGCAAGGTGGCGAGTGATAATTTCGAGGGAAACAGTCAGCATCAAGGGATGTTCGAGGCTAGTCAAAGCTAGGATGATCCATCAATCCATGCGTTGTTGGGGTGTTCTCCTCCGGGTCTGCCAACGCTGGCAGCTGGTACCGGTCTGGTACCGTCGGCCACGCATCCACCCCGTCTAACAGGGCCACGGCTAACCCACCGCTCTCGTGCATGGACAGATGACAGTGGATGAAGAACGGACCGGGGTTGACAGAATGATAGCGAATCGCCAGCCAGCTATGGTTTGGCGTCGATGCCGGCGTCTGGAAGGTGTCGCGGAGTTGAGGATTTACCAAATTGAAGCTATCAGGGATGTCTTTCTGTGCCTCGGCCACGGTAGACCATTTCCATACTCCGTAGCCCCAACCGAGGACATAGAATTTGTTGGAGTGTTTGTGAATCGGGTGCTGCGGCTGTCCGATCGTGGACATATTAAAGATAAGGTCCACCCAGGTGTTGTTCTTGGTCATGACGGTGTATTCGGAGGGAATCGAGGAGTAATTGAAAAGTGCCGGGGGCGTAAGATCCTCATTGGACATGGGATAACTGGCTTGGCCGAGGGTCCAGCGATAGGAGGCGTTATAGAGCTTGACATTAAGGATCTGGGTCTGGTCAGGCTCGGGAGCAGGGGCCTCATTTTCAAAGGGAACGATGTCGGCCTCATCGAGAATGATAGTGCCGTTGAAACCAAGCGCAGTGCCGACTTCATTGATGTACGGTGCGGAGGTGTTGAACTGGCTTGGCTGGGAGCCGGTGTAGGACATGATGGCGGTGCCGTTGATGATTTGGTTTGCGAACTTGTTAGCAACGCGGACGGTATATATGCTAACAGGTTGGTCTAGCTTCACAAGGACCGAGTACCGCGCTCCGGCGTACACATTGATAGCGTCGACCACTAGGGGCTCGACATAGCGGCCGTCGACCGCATAGAGATACATAGGATGTTCATCGATAGAGAAAACCAAGTTGGACGTGCCAGGTAGGCTGATGAGGTCGTAGCTGACGTATCGGGACCTCGGGTCGACAGAAAGCACTTCCTGTTCCCCATCGGTCGGTACGCAACCCTGGTAGTATCCCGACGGGATTTTTGTTTCGTCGAACGGAAATCCGCCCAGACGGGCTGCAAGGGGTGGCATACAGCTGGTATATGGTGAGTGAACCGGTCGAGTTCAAGGCCGAAGCTAGTAGACTTACCCCATATCGGACATGGTTTTATTTCCAAGCGCAGTCCGTTCACCCGATCGGGTGAGAGCATTGATGTGGTCCTGCGGGGGGCAGATGACCGCCCCTTTACCATTTATCAAGATGGCATTGGCACAGGTCGCCTGAACGCCAGAGTCTTCTTCGATCTGCAAAGTCTCCTCGGAGGTGAAAGCTCGCCAATCGGAGAGCATGATTGGATGGGTGTTCTTTTCAGCTTGCAGCATGGCCTGGAGTTCATACGGGACGGTGCTGATCTTGCTAAACGGTCTCTGCACGTCTGAACGCGGTTCTACATAGATAGCACCATAGAGACCATCGTCCATCTGAGCTCTTGTGTGGGCGTGATAGGCGTAGGAGCCGTAGTCGGTGGCCGTCCATTCATATTTATATTGCTCACCAGGCTTGATCATTTCTTGATTGAGCCCCGGGACCCCGTCTGACCATGGGGTGCCATACTGAGCGATACCTTGTTCGTATAAGTCAGTATCCGACAGGACAAGGGTCGAGGTTTGGGAGAGGCGTATTGCCGCGCTGCGATGAGCTTACCGTGCCAGTGGACCGTGGTGCCGAATGGCATTGAGTTGTTGACTAGAACTCTCACCTGGTCGCCTTGGTTCACGCGGATATTCGGTGCTGGGACTTGGCCATTGGTGTGAATTGCCTTACGGGAAATACCCGCCACATTGCTATCCTCCCATGTCAAGTCGAGTCTAAAATCAACGATGCGGGAGGAGGAGGACTGGACGAGCCACGACAGGACTGGCAGAACCAGCGCGTTGGGATGGGACCACTTCATGCTGGGAGAAGTGCCAGGATTGGAAGAAGAGGCGGATAATCAACGAGATAACCCAGTATGAGCAGGGGAGGGATGTGCGATGAATACGATCTAAGATGTTGACCCGGTCGAGGGCGGGACTTATATGCTGGGACCGCCATGCTTGCTATTGTGCTTGTTTATGATGGATTTGGGCAGGTTTCGCCAGAGCTGGAGCATTAAAAGATAGTTTACCGAACTCGGGCCAGCAATGTCGGCCTAAGGAGTGGAATGCAGAGGAATGCGGTAGCGAGATTGACTCAAGTGCGCTCATAGTGTTGGGAGCATCTCTTTTTCCCAGTAGGGGTTGGAAGGGTGGAATGAGGCGAGGATGGCGTCTCCGATCTCGATCCTCGATCGCTTTCGCTTCCGGTGCTGCGCTCGGTGCACGTGATCTCTCTGGCCTCCCGCAAACAAAGCAGACAAAAACTGGGAAACGTTGGGAAACCATCATCTCTACTAGAAACTACGTATCTCGAGACTTGGTCAGTTGTGGTGCTGACCCAAGTAACTAAACCTTCTCTCTAGTACCTATACTGCTATACTGCTATACTAGTCTATCAGTGTACTAGTGCACTACAATTTCTATCCATAGTATCTGGTTCCTCCCCCCACTGTTAGTCCCACTCTCTCCGGGGAGGATCAACCCGGTCGCAACCCTTGGTTCGCTCTGCTCTAGAGATTGAGATTATTCCTCTCTAATTTGAGAAGTACAAGGTGTGCAAGACAAAGTCATTATCGCCAAAGCACTATACTTACATCAAAGCCCGACATTCTAGACAGCATTACTTTTTGTTCCTCGGAAAGGAATAACAATAACAACAACAATAAAAATAATAATAATAGTAGACATGCCGGTGCGCTGAGACCGGCCCGCATAGTATAGCCCAGGCCCCTGCCTTGCTGGCCGAGAACAGCCCGCATCCGTCGCTCACCCATCTTGGTCCGATCGGACGCCACTCCGTGATCATCCTCAACATCAAGCCACTTTCATATCGACAAGCCCCCAAGTTCATGGTGGATCATAGCGTATTACTCATGGATCTCCCGCAAGCGCGGACGGCTTGTACCGATTCCCTATCCTGTTTCTACATGGCATACTCCGACCTCGAGTTGTCAGATACCATGAGGCGGAGACCGGTTTCGGCCATCCACCTCCCTGCCAAACAAGGCACGACAGGAGACCACCCCAGATGACCATTCCATCTAAATTGGATGCTTCGCACTGCACTAAGTTATACGTCCTACTAATGGGAATGCTTTGGGTTTAGAAGCAAAGATGAGCACCATAACCATCTTGTTGCTGCCTTGGAACTGACCGGCCGCCTCCGTACAGAATAGCACTTGTGCCTCATACGGTATGCTGACAGTGTACGAGGGCCTGTTTACAGACTTACTTATCTGGCTCAGGCTATCTGGCATATCACAGCTCTTGGATTGCTCTCTTTAGTTGTCTTGTCATAGATGGGTAGTCAAATCTGGATTCTGGCATTTGCCCCCTTACCCAAAGCAATGGAGGTGTGACTGCGCTGAACTCTAGAAGTAACAGATCAGAGCTTCTAAGAATTACTTTCTACTTTTCTAACAGAAGTCATCACTGAGAGATCCATCAAGAGGATAGTATTCTAGTGACAAACCCGCAGCATCACATGGCAGGGAGCCTTAGTATCGTCAAGAAAATATTTAACCGCACGCGTCTCTCTCCAGAGGAATGACTGCCAGGCTGCCTGTCTCTGAGATGCCTCATCTCCTGCAGGATATGCATCGAGTACTTTTACATAAGAATTTATCGAGCCCGATAGGTTCCACACTATAGAGTGCCTGCCATCCATCTAGGGGGGGTTCTCGGGAAATACCTGCAAGCACATTGTTAGATCTCTCCTTGCTTCCTCGGCTCAATGTCATGCATGAGCCCGTCGGTAACTTTCTGGTCCATTCATCTTGTCCCGATACTGTCGGCCTTGCTCAAAATCGGAACCGTGTGTGTGAGACAGCGATTCGGTTCAGGATTGTCACTATTCAGCTCTGTTGATGACGCCTTCGGAGTCGCATGCTCCATGGCAAAAACCCAGTCACACTGACGTGCCTGTCAAACATGCTCGCTTGGTATTTGATTCGTAGATTAGCCCGCGGCCTATGCAATTCAAGTCTGCATGAGGGGGGGACTTGACTCGGTCGATACTACTAACAGATGCCTCCGCGGTCCATCGCCGCAGCTATTGATCAACAACCAACGCGTTCACCAACATGTCATAAGAACAATAGAAATACAAACTGAATGAACTGAGTAGTGAAAGGATCAATGAACTTGGGCAATATTGTCCAAATTACCATGAGGCTGGGAGTCTTGTAGAACAGGAAATCAGTCCGTAGTAGAATTGTAACTTCTTGGATCAGCATCCTGTGTTGACAATAAATACGTCACCCAGTCCCATCTCGGAACCTGGCAGAGGCATCAATCGGAAATGCATCTCCAACGCACATCCACGCCTCGTTAGGTGGCGCAGACTAGCATGGATAAATAATTGGTTCTGGGTGCACTTACCACAGGACTATATCTTGGCAACCCCGCCATATTGTTCCATCGTGGTATACTTGGTAGATGGTTAGTAGTAATAAGTAGTATACAGTAGTAGCAAAGTAGTAAACCGCGCTATGCCTGTTGTACTTCGGAGGTCGGCCCGTCCAGCCGCCCCCCCCAGCAACTTCCATCCCCCCTCAATGACTACTAAGTACTTCCAGTTGGTCTCCTGAACTCAGACAGGATTGGATCATGGGATTTCTGAATCCCAGTCATTTCTTGCTTGATGTCGTACTGCCCTCGCTCCGCTTTCTCCACTCTCTTTAGCGCGGATCCATCCTTCTTGGCGGACATCCAACATGATGTAGTATATAAACATCCATCCCATCGTCGCTGCCTGATTCTGATACCCTTCTTCATTGAAATTGTCTCACCTTCCGACATTCAAAAATGGGTTCAGCAACAGCTTCAACCTTGCCTCCGGACTTTCTCTGGGGTTTCGCGACTGCCAGGTATTTTTCCACCCGTGTTCTTCTCCCCACTCAGCCAAAGCTGCATTTCACTAGCAGAGTGCTAATTTGCTCATCCACAGCTACCAGATTGAAGGCGCAGTAACCGAAGATGGCCGTGGTCCTTCTATCTGGGACACTTTCTGCAAAATCCCTGGCAAGATAGCCGGGGGAGCCAACGGAGACGTAGCATGCGACTCGTACCACCGTACAGCTGAAGACATCGCACTGTTAAAGGAATGCGGTGCTCAGGCTTACCGCTTCTCAATCTCATGGTGAGAATGATGTCATGACCGACGGGTAATGAACCGAACTGAATTCTAAACATCCAGGTCGCGCATCATTCCCCTCGGAGGCCGCAACGACCCCATCAACGATAAGGGTGTCCAACATTATGTCAAGTTCGTCGACGATCTTCTAGCAGCGGGGATCACACCCCTTGTGACACTGTTCCACTGGGATCTCCCCGATGCATTAGACAAGCGCTACGGTGGGCTCCTCAACAAGGAGGAGTTCGTTGCAGATTTCGCCAACTACGCGCGAGTCATGTTCCGGGCCCTGGGCTCAAAAGTCAAGCATTGGATCACCTTCAATGAGCCGTGGTGTTCCAGTGTCCTTGGGTATAACGTCGGTCAGTTTGCTCCCGGTCGGACGAGTGATCGGAGCAAGAGCGCAGAGGGAGATAGCTCGAGGGAGTGCTGGATCGTGGGGCACAATATCCTCGTGGCTCATGGAGCTGCGGTGAAGATCTACCGAGAGGAGTTCAAGAGTAGAGATGGTGGGGAGATCGGGATCACACTTAACGGTATGTATAACACTCCTCGGTTCTGTCTGTTGACTTATACTTCCAATTTACTTTGCTCAATTCGCGGCCTATATATATAGGAGACTGGGCTGAGCCCTGGGATCCCGAGAATCCGGCCGACATCGAAGCCTGCGACCGCAAGATCGAATTCGCCATTTCCTGGTTTGCAGACCCCATCTATCATGGAAGGTATCCAGACAGCATGATAAAGCAGCTTGGCGACCGACTCCCCAGCTGGACCGCAGAAGACATCGCTCTCGTCCACGGCAGCAATGACTTCTATGGCATGAACCACTACTGCGCCAACTACATCAAAGCCAAAACCGGCGAAGCGGATCCCAACGATACTGCCGGAAATCTGGAGATCCTGCTCAAGAACAAGAAGGGCGAGTTCATCGGCCCAGAGACACAGTCTGCATGGCTGAGACCGTATGCACTTGGGTTCCGGAAGCTGTTGAAATGGCTAAGCGATAGATACGGTCAGCCTAAGATCTACGTTACTGAGAATGGGACGAGCTTGAAGGGTGAGAATGACTTGCCGGTGGAGGAGCTGCTGAAGGATGAATTCCGGACGCAGTACTTCCGTGATTATATTGCTGCTATGGCTGATGCGTACACGCTGGATGGGGTGAATGTGAGGGCTTATATGGCTTGGAGTTTGATGGAGTAAGTACTGCGATATGCTTATTCCCTGGATGCATTGTGCGTGCTTATTTACTGACTGGATTAGTAACTTCGAATGGGCTGAAGGTTACGAAACCCGGTTTGGGTCGACCTACGTCGACTACGAACATGGCCAGAAGAGGATCCCGAAGGACAGTGCGAAACAGATCGGCCAGATTTTCAGCCAGTATATCGAGAAGAAATAAGTTTTTAATTGCGAGGAGTGCATCGATTGTTATTTATGTTATTCATGGGCACAGCTTACGGAATGAGAAATCACAGCCATTATGTCGTAAGACAATTAAAGTTCGTAGGACAGAATCCAGCTCTCTATCTCGAATAAGCGTAGTGGAACAGCTACTGCACACGAGTCTCAGGATGATATCGACGCTTACGTGGGGGTCTACAGCTTTACACACCCCGCGGGGTTGAAATTCCGAGGATCCTACCACGTCAAATGGGCTCACTCACCGCAATTCGCGAAATTAGGGCCGATACACCTAGCATCGACGCGGTGACACCATAGCAAAGATGAATGATAGGAATAGCAGAGCAGAGCGAAGCGGAATCGGGAGCCGCGTTCTGCTTACAACACAGGCATGCCGTAATTTGCAGGCTGTGGGCTTGTTGGACCAGACTGCGGTCTTTTCAGTCGAACCAAGCAGGACCGGGCAGAAGGAAGTAGGTCGAGCTGTGTGTTTTGGGACATCAGAATGCACAGGCAGGCTGAGCCAAATCGATGGGATTATCCACTGGACTGAAAAGGCTGTGGTATACACGAGCGGTCATGCGACGTTTGCTAGTCGATCGGGCTTCCGGCGTGGCTCGTAAGACAGCGGGACAGAGCAAGAGATAGAACAAACAGTGATCAGACAATTATTCGATGCTTATCTGTGATTGCATGATTGGAGAGTAGCATGACCGACGGGCACTTTCGGGGCTCCGGTGAGGCCCTCACGTGGTGAGAGTTTGCACTGTTTGCAGGTCTGGAAGTGGCAGGAGAATCTCCCCCGGATTCCGGCGGGGAGAAGGAAGGGAGTGCCCCCTTGCCAGCTCAGAATACTCCATAGTTTCCAAATCCAAGTATCCGACCGTCATATTATTGCAAGACTTCCCTCGATCAGCTCTCTCCAGAATCAGCTATCATGGCGTCGACCACCAGCACAGGTACGTGAGAACAAACCCAGGAGGCATGCTTTCTTGGCGTTCCTGGACATGTTCCTGGACAGATTCGCAAAGCGGCCGCGACCCACGAAATTTATCCACCCTCCCCAACTCCACGAGCACCGTGAACTTGCACCGTATCTTTGCATCCTTGTTCCTGTACCACTGTTTCATTGAGCGTATGCATACCTTCAGTGCCAGATCGTGATTGTTGGATTTGGCTCCGTGATCCCACAAGGCCAACCCCCTTTGTGCCACAGGCAGAGTGACTCATCCTCCTTTGACTGCGGTTCTTTTGTCTTTCCGATTGAGCGAACCCCTCTCTTTCTTGTTTTCCATAGCCCCTTCACGCCATTATGATTATGAATTTCACGAGGCGTGCTTTGCGAATGCGACAAATGTACCAGGGCTGTGGAGCCGGTGTTCCTCATACCCCTCGCCGTCTTCTTTTCCACCCAATCACGACTTCATATCGACAAACCGCTTGCTTTTCAGCCACCAAGCCGCCAGCGTGTGCTAATTTTGCCTCTTCAGATCGCTTCACCTCTGCTCTGCATCAGAACAAGGATTGGGCAGCGCAGATTGCCAAGGAGGACCCTTCGCTCTTCCCCACACTCGCCGTCGGCCAGCACCCGGAGATCCTCTGGATTGGCTGCTCTGATTCTCGGTGCCCTGAGACCACCCTTCTTGGTCTCAAACCGGGCGATGTCTTTGTTCACCGCAATATCGCCAACGTCCTCCATGCCGGCGACCTGAGCTCTTCGGCTGTGATCGAATATGCTGTCCGCTACTTGCAGGTCAAGCACGTAGTCCTTTGCGGCCACACCAGCTGTGGTGGTGTTGCTGCAGCACTGGGTAACAAACAACTGGGTATTCTTGATCCCTGGCTGCTGCCTTTGCGCCAGCTCCGCGCGAAACACCTGGATCTGCTGAACTCGCTGCCGGCCGACGAAGCCAACCTTAAGCTGGTCGAGTTGAATGTTCTGGAAGGGGTCAAGCTGTTGAAGGAGAAGAATGTAATCCTGGAAGCCGTACAGGATCGGGGTCTTCAGGTCCACGGGTTGATATATGATGTTGGCAGTGGTGTTCTTCGGGAGCTGGACACCGATGAGTCGGAGGCGGCGATCAAGGCGCGCCTAACATCGTTCAAGACCGACATCTAGGGGCGGGGGCATTGGTTGTATATTCTCGATTCCCTTCTACCTGTTGCTTCTTTTGCCTTTTCAGCGACCAGCGAGTGTTAGCAGACATCGATGTATTCGTCATCTTTGAATAATCTTTATTCCCCATTCTTCACCATTCACCCCGACAAGCGTAATTGCGCCATCCATCATGAAGAAATCCATCAAAGAGATGAACTGTTTGCAGTCCTCCAGTGTAGTTGATCGAGGAAACAAGTGGCAGATGATGCAAGAATAAAACTGGATGGAGGAAGTGAAGAGTGGGCAGAAGGGTCTGTGTATTGTCGGGGAAGAAGAGGAGGGGAGAGAAAGAGGAAGAGGAAGAGGAAGAGGAAGAAAAGCTGACGCAGCCTGAGAGGGAAAGCAGTCCCCGAAGGCTAGTTTAACCTTACATCAGAACGCGAACCATTCATTAGTTATTCTGTTTGCTGTCTCCGCATGTAACAGCCTCCTGCCCGGCTGGGAAAGTCGAGGGACCTTGGTGGATCCCCGGGTCGGCTGGATTGAGTATAGTCCCGGCCGAAGCGGCATTGACTCGGGATGATCTTGGTGAACATCCTGGCATGCTTCCAGGATCTTATGCACCTGGGATAGTTGGTTAATTCCTCTCGTTCGTACCTATTTCTTTCCATTGTGGAAAGTTATTGATGATACCCTCCAAATATTAGTAGAGTACTTAGATTACGGAGGGCCTGTTCGGTAAGAATACGCGGAGCCAGGTCGCTTGGCGCTTTGCGGTATCTACCTGAGGCAGGAATTGGCAACCGAGTCGACGTACACTCGGAGTCTCGGATAAGTGCAGAATGACAGGACAATGCGACGACTTTGTATGTACAGGAAGATGTTCATTGATGATTTAGAACTCGAGTTCTTCGACTTCCATCCCGCAGTCAACGCATTTCTTGACCCCAATCCCCGTCTTGGGATCTTCGACCGATCTTCCCCACTGATGTACATGTCGTCCACCACCCCCCAGGTCATCTCCAAAATTACCACCGGTCGCTCCTTGCCGGCTACGTCGGTATGCATCGACTCGCGTACGCTTCTTAAGGTCTTCAAGTTTGCTCTTGAATTTGACCTCCCGCCGGCGCTTCTTCTCATTCTCGCGTCGCTCAAACTCCGCGTCCAAGGCTTCGGGTGAGCCCCATTTCTTGGCGGAAAAGGCGTACTCTTCGACCTGATACCGTAGGTACAGCATCATGTTATTCCACGTTGATTTATGCGGATTCGGGCGCTCCAGGTGTGGGAGGAGTTCCTCATCCTGAAGTTCGGCTGCAGTTGGGCCCGTGGTCAGCGAACGCTCAGTGGCAAACCATGCCGCAAACCTGTGCAGGGGGATACTCACGATTGGTCAGGAGGTAGTCCTCTCGTGCCTCGGTCTTGGTAAGTAGACTGTATTTCTCCGGAAATTTATCCTTGCAAGCATGGCAGACACAGCACCGGAGCGCTTCTTCCCATTTCCAGTCGATTTCTAAGCTGCCACACTCTCGGCACGTTTTCTGTCGTGTCCGCTCATCCAACACACTGAGCCCCGGTTCGAAGGGTCCTGCACGATCTCGATGGAGATTCTTTAGCAGCTGTTGTCGCTCCCATTCCTTCTGCGTCATGTGCGCTGGCTTCTGCTCCGCCTTCTCATCCCGAACATGAAGGGCTTTGTTGTAGCGGTCATCCTCTTCGGTCAAGAACCCACCCTTCGTGTCGGTGATCTTGGAGAAGTCGTATTCAACGAATTTGGTAAAGTTGCGCGCCGGCTTGATGCCATCTAGGGGGCGATTATCTGTAGAGGCCGCATCGCGCAGAGTCGCCGGAGGATCGGAGGCAGTCATGGAGGAGTAGGTTCGCTTGACACCTTTGGTGGACGAAGGATCAGCATTGTGAGCTCGAGCTTGTTCGGCTTCGCGTTGTTCTCGTATTGCTATGGCTTTCTGGCGATTGTTTTCCTGGATTCAATATCGTGTCAGCTCCGAACTAGAGGAACCGTGATCATAGTATGTACTATTCTCCGCAATTGCTCTGGGGTTAGCGGATTCCGCTTGAGATCGCCTGGCGTGCTCATCCCGCGTTCGGGTGGCGGAGCCGACTGTTCCTCCGTCACCATTTCTTCTGTGAAAGAGTGACTGGGAGAGGACGAGCTTGACGATAAGAATTGCGAAATGGTCAAGGGTGGCGTTATCAGGCGGGAAAGTCGTCGGCGCGTTTATCGCCGGGTCGATAACCGGCGAGCGAATCCTCTGCATACTACTCACGTGATTTAATATGGGGGAGAAGGAACCTATTGGTGTCCTCCAATACCCAGCTAGAAACAGGCTCATGCTAGAGGGTGGGCATCCCTTTTACGCACCAATGTCTACCACAGCTTCTTTTCCTCGAAGTATGTCACCTTGGCAAGCCCATATCTGGCATACAAGTAACGGCACATAGGTGGGCAGCCACCTCCATTGTAGGAACGAATAATGTCGGCCTTAGAAGTGCAATAACTCACTAAATTACCCATGATATAGCCACCACATGGGGATTGATGTTAAAAATACTTGCACAAATGATGCAAGGTCACATCTATTGAGAGAATCCAGTAACTCCCCCCTCCCCCAAGACAACTTGTAGAAGCCGGACATGAACACCCGGGCAGAAGCAGACGAACCATTTACCACGGCTTTCGTGCCAAGGGTTCTGTTGTCGCGGCTAAAACCTGTGGGTCCATGAATCGAGTAAACGAGTTTGAGCTCCTCATGCCTGCTCCGTGTGTGTACATTATTAGCATGGCTGATAGTTACTTCTGGGGGTGGTTAATAGTCATCATGCTGGGCGAAGGACTGCGATCTCTGGGAGCCCAAATTATTTCACGAAAGCCCACTTTCAGTATCACTTCCTTGCTCACGCTTAAAGTCATTATTGACAGTGGTCGGGGGTTTGATGTTGCGCTTGCGCACGGTAGTGAACTCAAATTTTGTAATAAAAGCAGCATGAATGGGGGAAGCCAGTAGTAAGACCCCAACTTATTGAACAAAAAGGTCAAAGCGTTGCTTTTTTCTCTTGCAGTATCCGAGCGTTCTTACCCCGTACCAACCTGTAGGAGAACTCCTTAGACTTAGCCGATCTGCACCTCATTGGTGGTGAATGAATGTCGTGCGTGATTTTGAGTTCGGGGAGATTCCGGGGAAGATTGAACTACTACTAGGAGGGCCTAAGGCTAGGCAAAGCACTTGGCCGGCGGAAGACCAGCGCGGGAAAGGGTTCACCCTGCCGCTTCCATCCATCTTCGAACGTTTCTCCGCCATCGGTGGCCCGCGGGGCCTTAAAACATCCCCTCGCAGTTCCCCTTCTCTCTTTCCCCATCCCCCTCCCCCCCCAATTCTTCCTTTTCGAAACATTTCATTGCGATCTCCCACAAATCGCTGCCAATCTACCAACCCGTCCAACATGGCATCCTCCAACACCCAACCCGAAGAACCCATCACCATCCCCCAGGACCGGGATGGCGTTGCCTACCTCTACGGCCACCCTCTCCTCAACTCGCTCTCTCCTCCTCTCCATGCCGCCATCTACAACCACCTCGGGCTGAACTGGATTCAGATCCCCCTCTCCAGCGTCTGCGGCACCTCCGCCACCTACCCTCCCCCGTACACACGCTCCCCGCCCATCGACACCTTCCTGTCCTCCATCCGCGCCAACCCCAAGTTCGTCGGCTCCTCCGTCACTATGCCCTGGAAGGTCTCCATCATGCCGCACCTGGACGACCTTACCGAGGACGCCCGCCAGGCCGGCGCCTGCAACACTATCTTCCTGCGCGACAATGCCGACGGCTCCCGCTCCTACGTCGGCACTAACACCGACTGCATCGGTATCCGCGAAGCCCTCGTCCAGAACACCGTGAACGCTGCTGAACGGTTCGCTGGCAAGCCTGCCCTCGTTGTCGGTGGTGGTGGTACTGCTCGCTCCGCCATCTACGTTATGCGCAAGTGGCTCGGCGCCAGCAAGATTTACATTGTGAACCGTGATGCTAGTGAGGTTCAGGCCATTATGGAGGAGGATCAGCAGCGCAACCCGTCCGCGGATAAGGCGCCCTTGGTTCCCGTTACGGATCCGGAGGTCGCGAAGACGCTGGAGACTCCCGCTGCTATTGTCTCGGGTATTCCCAACTACCCGCCCAAGACCGAGGAAGAGATTCGTGCCAGGAATGTCCTGACGGCGTTGTTGGGCGCCAAGGACGATGGCAAGCCCAAGGGCGTTATTTTGGAGATGTGCTACCACCCTGTTATCTGGACGGAGATTGCCGAGTTGGCCGATGCCGCGGGATGGAAGGTTATTGTGGGCTCGGAGGCGCTGCTCTGGCAGGGTCTGGAGCAGGCCAAGCTTTGGACTGGAAAAGACGTGGTTGCTGTTCCGGGCTTGTTGGATATGGTCAAGGAGGTGGTGGCCAAGAATTTGGCGGAGAGGCAGAAGGCTACTCTGTAATCTTCTTCCCCTCCTTATTCCCTCACATCCGACATGTTTCACGATGATTCATTCCTGTATAGACTCTCGCATACCCGGTGCATTGCTTGTTATGGAAGACCAAAAATAACAAAACAGGGCTCAGTAAAGAGCCCCCGATGATAGATATGACGTGTGTTTGATTAGGTACATACGTGGATCTGGCTGCTGTATATAGTGCAATATGATGTCTTCATCCCTTTCCTTCCTGGTCGCCTCTATCTAGTACAGTAACTATTATAGATATTCTATCAGCAGTATGTGACGGTGTATATCTATAGCCGAGGTGCTCACGCGCCCGGCCGGGTATATTCCAGCTGCCGCACGCGCTTCCACACTTCCCGCACGGTGCGCTCCTGCGTCTGGCGTCCGGTCTCCGTCGCCGACGGACCAGCCGGCCTGCTGCAGTTAGATGCCGTACTGAGCTACAGGACAGAAGGTGAGAAGTAACATACCTAATGGCCAGATAAAGTCGGCTGCCGAGTCGAACGTCTTCAATGGCCGCAGTCTCCGGGTCCTCCGGAGGATTAGCGGTTGTGACTAGGCCACCTGCCTCCAAGAGGATGGCAATACCCGCTGCGACATCCCTACACACCACACTTGATTAGCGAAACACAACCCCGAGGAAGAAAAGACTCCTGGCTGAAAGGACGTACCACTCCCAACAGCCACCCTCCCACCAAATATCAAATGACCCCATAGCCGTATACGCCAAATCTAACGTGGCGCTTCCCAAACTCCTAACTCCGTGCACCATACCTCCCTTGCCACCGCGACTACCCACTTCCGCTGCTAGGTTCAGGAAACTCTCGATCTTGCGATACAGGTTCCCGTCGGCGATATCGCGACGGTCCTTGCCCCATTCGCAGGATAGAATGCACTTGCTTGGAGCATTAGGCGGCATGGGTGGGATAGTCGGATTGCGGATGAGGGGGAGACGGCGCTTTTCGTTTAACCATGCGCCGCGATTTACACAGGACGAAAAGAGCTGGTCTTGAAAAGGAGCGTAGATCACGCCGATGATGGGACGGTGGTTGACGATGAAGCCTATGGAGACGCAGAACATGGGGAAAATGTGTGTGAAGTTGACAGTTCCTGGTTCGAGGAGGCGAGTTATTTCATGTCATTGATGGCAGACGAGGGAGTATGGCTGGGGTTATTACCATCTAGGGGATCAATGCACCATGTTGGGTGCTCGTCGATCAAGTAGTCGCGCGACTGTCCTTTGGCGTAGGACTCTTCACCCAGGAACCTGAATAGGTCAGCTGGGAGATGTTTTGTGGACTGCGGAAGCTGGGAAGGGCGACTCAGGGACATACTTATGTGTGGGGTATTTGGACTGGATTGCGTTCTTAATGAATACTTCTACTTCTGTGCAGGGCAGCCCGTGGGTGAGATGCGAGTCGAAGGCAGGCTGGGGGCGGGTTAAAGCATACCTTCATCGGTCTGGGTGACAATGTCGACGGCGCTGTCCTTCTCCTCGACTGCCTGAGAGACTCCGTCGCCAATGCGCTTCTCGACGCTTTCCATCAGAAGCTGACCAGCCTTCCGGCCCAGATCGACTGCAAAAGCGTAGATCTGGTCCAGCTGCTCTTGACTCAGCTCCGAGGCCGCCATTTTGGTGGTGGGGTCGGTGATCTTGGGGAGGCGGGGGGCGGTGTGTTAGTTTACTCTTTAAAGGAGGGAACAGCGGAGCCAGATAGAAGCACAGGTAGCAGGAAGGAGTGAAAGGAAGGAAGAAAGAGAGAGAGGAAGAGGAAGAGAAGAGGATGTGTAAGAGTCAGACACACAGAGAGAGAGTCATGGAGTCTCTCACCGGAGACGCCGCCGATAACCGCCCGGCCCTTATCGGTGGGGCTGCCCCTCAAACTCCGGATTCCCTCTGGATTCCTTTATAGATCATCACAAATGTCTTCAGCAGTTATCCGGGCTCATACTTTGCTTGTTAGACTTCATCGGAAGATAGCGGATGAACGGAATTTTTCTATTTATAAGCCAGCGACACTGCTAGAACGTGAATTCATTAAGCGAGGTCGCATAACTACTAAAACACCCAATTGTCGCACAAGATTTTGTCCGTAATGTGTCTATGGTATCCAAGAGACCATGGACAGTTGGCAGCATTAGTCTCGACGTTGAAAGCCAGGTCCTTGCCGGGTGTGTGGAATGCGATGATGCAAGTCTGTAGTTTGGCACTTGCTGGCAATACTAGTTGTCACTCCGTGGCGAACATAATATCGAATCCAATTGTCTTTGGCCCTTTGCACTGGAGTACACAATTATCAGGCCAAACCAAAGGCATTGCAGTACTATATGAATAAGGTGTGTACCCTAATCTAGTCCTTTTGTCCACTGAAAAGAACTTGTGTGGGTACTTTCCCGACTGATTTGCTTATGGGATACATTCACAACCTTCGGGATGTTTGGACAGAAGCCAGCAGACAAACATTTCACTAAGAAAATAGAAGTTTGCAAGTCAGTGGGAGATTATTTATCTTCACGGCTGGCAATGGACACCGATTACTGTGAAGAGCAGCCGAGGCTGCTGCAAACGACAAGGTGGATGATGCGGAGAGAATGGCAAAGTCTGGTAGAGAGGAGTTTACAGTGAACTCTGCCTGGTAGCACTGGTTAGTAGATCCTCTGTGGCTAATATACCCGCAATTAGAGGGGAGAGCTCAGGTCTAATTTCCATGATGCTGCTAGTAACAACATAAACCAAAGACCTCAACTTCTTTGACGGTTGGCTTCGGATGCCTGGCGGCTAAGCGATCTTCCCGCCCCGCTGTTCAACCCCGGATGTCAGAAAGAACTTCATGGGACTGGCCTTTGACACCACACTGCCACCATGTAACCCCTATCATAGATAGGGGGGTCTAGACGACCTCGCTTTGAGTGTCACCTGCGAACTGCTGTCTGTATCTACGTAGTACAAAGCATCACGATGGTGGGACAACCCGGCAGATCCATCAAGGGTGGGTCTTGGAGAGAGGCTGAGCAACGCACGGAGTTCATCCTAATTAGACTAATAGTATGTACAACGTAGTAGTGGCCGGATAGATGGAAAGTCACTACTGATTTTCGCCCCAGTCTTACTGCTACTCACTACGGTGTAGACTAGTACTCTCTCATCCTACATGACAGGAAAGAGTTATCCGAGCTTCTCTTGCTCAGCTGGCACAATGAACTTCTCGTATACTACTTTAATTCCCCGCTACTGCTATTACTGTCAACCAAGCTGGCAACAACGTTGCATATTCCGAGTAGACATGGATGAAAATATGTCCAGAGAGATGAATTATCTTTCGGAGTTCATCGAGTCTGTCGGTTGCTTTTGGATCAGCCTTGTCATCACCATCCCTGTCCGCTTGAACTAGTCGCTGCCCCTTCAGTGCAACAGTCTTCCGGTTCCAGAGAAAATAACGCAGTAGATGCTAGGCTTCCACAGTCAGGGGCCGAATCACCAGAAATTCACGGATTACTTTGACTCCATGCCATATGCTAGAGAAAACATGCTGGCCCCCAAGTCCTGCTCTAACATGACTTGCTCCTTCTACGTCGGAGTAAGTAGTCGGCACAATTTTACACCCTGGTAGTTTCTGAAACCGCCCCAATATTACTGTCCTAGGACTACTACTAGATGAAGTGTCTTGATAGTACCATATAAGAGAACCAGATGATTATATATAGCCCTACCATGCCCTCCTCGTTGCTACTAAAACTATGCAATCATTCATTTAGCATTCACTCGTTTGTCCACCGTTGCCCTCGTTACTCTCACTCATTCTTACTACAGCACAATTTCACCCCTTACTCTTCATCATCATCATCATCAGTCGTTACTTTGTCACCATCAGCATATACGTTGTCACAATGTGGATCAGATATATCACTGTTCAGAAGGCCTTTGTTCTATCTTCTTTGCTCCTGGCGTCTGGGATCTCAGCAGCTGCTATCCCCGCAAGGTTAGCTGACCCTGCATCGGTCTCTGTGACGATAACAAATACGCAAGCGCCTACAGGCCAAAGGGATGGCAGGCCAACCTCACTCCCTTATGAAGCTGCCCCAAACTGTCAGGTGAGTGCTAATGACCCCCTGCTAAACTATGGCTTTGCTGGGCTCTAACCCGATTATTCTTAGTTCTGTCATGAAGACGAAGGCGAACAGACCACCGGCGAGTCCACGACGCAGGTGAAACGAGACAGTCACACTATCGCAGCAAGTATGTTCTAAACAATTCATTGCTCCCTGCCTCCCTTAGTATTATCATGGTTCAATCTGCTGCGAAGCTAACAAGAAATGGCAAATTGGTTCAGGAATGGATGCCGATGAAAAAAAATCCGATGAGGAAGAGACCAAGGAGATAGAAAAGAAGGTTAATGAAAAGTGTCATGGGAATGCGCTTTGTGAGATTATTTCCACACTGTCGAAGTCTTACTAGTAGCTCCGTTGGTAGAGCTGTGTAAAATAGGCGCAACGCCAAGTTAGAGGTGTTTAGATAGGATTATGTTGATCTGGACATAGTGCCACAGGGAGAACATCTGTACTTATTACGCTCTATCAGTCACGTTCATTTGATCCAGTGAATACCCGAAGTTGAGAACTGTTTCTATTTCCAGTTTCTTGATCATTGGCGTAGACACCACAGTGTAGTGGAAATAACTCAGAATAACCGACTTGAGACTAATCAAAGTATGATCTAGTCAAGATCTATCACTGATCGGACCAGCTTCAGCAACAGGATATAGATAACATTGGGCCTGTGTGGTTGAGCGTGTGCCATTCTCGGCCCCCATTCAACACCCTTGTGAATAAATAAGCACTACTAAGCGCCAGAGGCTTGAGTTGCCGTTAATGCTCCGTCCCCCATCTGGCCAGCCTTGGCGAGGCCCCCATGTACCACTACTATAACTACTAGCTAGCAATAGGCCCCAGCAATCAATCAACCATGGGCAGCTACGCGCTCCGTAAATCAATCGATCTACTGCGATCGGACATCGCCGGCTAGTAGCGAGCTACTCTTTTTGCGTTATGTCCGACAAAGGGACTTGTTTACGGTTACATATGACGAATGCTAGAAAGGCTCTGACTTTCTGGGAGTAACCCCAAACCACCTGACACTTAGATACCTCTAGCTATCACACTCACAATAACGAATGCTATCTGGATACATGACGGAGCACCTCTTGACATGATATGACCGGCAGAAAGTCCGGCCTGAACACTGAACTCTCCAGTCAAGCCTTGATTTCGGCGTACAACTTGAGCACAAAATCCCGACAATTGTTGAAGAGGGTGCTATATCCCTTCTTATTCATCTTTGCTGCAATCGCTTCCCCATGTCTTTCGATCTCCGTGTTATCCACGCCTGACCTGATCTTACCGAGCACCTCCATCTTAGTCTCGCTCCAATCATACCAACTGCTGGCACCACGGTCCGTGAACTCGATCTTCTTGCCATCGAGCTGAATGTCCCAGCATCCTGAGGCAAACTTGAGATAGGTGACGCCACCTTCGGTTTTCTCTGTCACGTAGCCTACAGCTATCAAATAATGATCGGGAACCTTCTTGCCGGCGACTCGAGCTCGTTCACTCCCTAAAGAGAAGTTTCAATCTCTTGTTAGCTTCACTGCACATTGCACTTAGGAGGATAGTATGGCAAATTGGAAATGGGGGCGCATTAGTGCATACTTATCTTGATGGCATAGCCCTGGCCAACCTCTGGTGTTTTCCCGAGCGCTTCCTTAAGCTTGTTATATTTGGCATCCCCGGTGGTTCTAGTAGCCCGTTTCACCTGAGTTGTCGGCTGGCGTGTGGTCTTGGATGGAGTAACATCATCTGAAAGGCTATCTTCAGGAACCGAGGGGAAGGGGTCCACCTCATGAATCTTGGAAGCAATATAGTTCACATCCACGTTGGATCGCTCTGTCAGGAAAGAGTCCCCGTCAACAGACCTGGGAGCAGTACCTGACTGGGATGTGTCCGAGCCAGTGAGAATCTCCCAGATGCTCTTCGAGGTGCCGTCTTTACGGCAGAACTGTAATTAAATCGGTCAGAGCTCAGTAGCGACCAAAAGAAGAGAAAAAGAGAGAAATAAGCTTCATTAGTACTTACACGGCAGTCCGGAGAACCGAAGTAGGGGACGGAGGATGGACTGCCATCCGCTTCAGTTGTAGGGACGTGTGTGTTTATCGGAACACCAGCTACAAATGAGGGCGTCGTCAAATCCGAGTCAACTTCTCTCGGCGGTATGGCAGCTGCTAATACACCGGGCGTCAGGAGCAAAGAAGCTAAAGCGACGGCCTTCTGAGTGGTGATATGTCTGAACCACATCTTGTCACAAAATTTAGGAACGGTAACAGTAGACAGAAATGATGAATGATAACAATGAACGAATTGAACGATTGAACAAAATGTCTATAAAATGAGCGTGATGAGAGCAATAGTAGACAGTAAATGAGTGTTTTAGAGTTGAATGAATGCGTGGAGGAGCAACGAAAAGGAACTGACGGACTAGAATTATATAGGTTTGCCGCTCTCCTATGTATTGAGGTACTCAATTTAGAGGATGGGGGCGGTTTCAGAAGCTACTGGAGTAGTATTGCATTACATGAGACTATCCGGTGACATATTGAACGAATAACAGGGGCTGTAAAGTCATATCTTTGGCCTAGGGCATGTCCGATCGCCTAGCATTCTATACCTGGACCCTGGACCAACAGGACTAATTTGAATCGAGGAGCCCTACAGGCATCTAGGACAGGGAGGTCCCCACCGAGTAAGTATTGGGGGCGGGCAGCTTCAGGGTCCTTTTCGTATGTGAATTTCCCACTTGTTTGATTATAGAATCTATTGGAGTTGATATTAAAGTCCCTGCAAATAATAGGAATTGAAGCGGTTGATCACTTCGTTAACCGTGGCTAGGAGTGAATGTAGGATATCTATCATGATTTCCAATGCAGGACCCGACCACCCAGGGCTCAGATGGATGATACTAGATAGCAGACATGTTACAGGACCACAGGGTTTTCTTCTATTGTATAGAAATTAAGGATGATCCGCAGACTTCCGATGATTCTGGCCCCCATTAGGATCACCTAGCGCCTCAAGGTACGGTGATTATCATTCCTTAAGAACGGGGGCCAATCGACAACCGTTACTTGACAGGACTGCACAGCCCAGTAGTTCTGTGATCCTTCCTAGATGACGTGAGTAAAAGCTTGCGGTAAGCTCCTAGATCGTCTGTCAATTATCGAAGCAGGTGAAAGAGAACCTCCGACAAGTCGATCTAAACTTGTACTTAGAGGGAGTAGAGTCTCTCCTTATGGTCTCTATACAGATCGAATGTAGTGCTCCGTCAAGAGCTGCTAATATCCGACATCAGGCCAACCTTGTCCACTGCGCCTTGCGAAATGAAGTAGTCGCCATGAACTAAGAAGGTGCCAAGGTAAGGTAGAGACCCTTGAACTCCAAATTAGGTGGGTCAGTAACAAGGCTGAGTTGGTTAGCCAGCAAACAAAACAATTTAACTGGTCTGTGGATAATTAGGGGGAATGCTACTAGGTACTAAGTTCTCTAGTAGTCTTCGCAGTGGAGAGGCTCTTGGGTACTAACCTATCTACTTAGTAGCTGCTAGGCTCTCCGCCTTGGCCACCTTAGCTGTAGCCCCCATGTCGCATCGGCCCCATTGATTAATCAATGCCAACAAGGCGATTCATAAGTCGTATGATTCATTGCCCACGAATCTGTTGTACAAAGAAAGGAATCCCTGGGCTAAACCGCTTCCTCCTCCCCTGAGGGACCTACAGAACAACAGTCATGATGGCCATCTTGGATAAGATAGCGTTCAACATACTCTTCAAAGATCAGAAGAAGAAGTTTGATCAGTTCCTTCGCAATACCACACCGGGTTAGTCGGTAAATAGCTGGTATGATTGAGGGATGAAATAACGGTGCTGACCAGAATTATTCAGATTCTGTGCTTTCTAATCTACACACCTGTCTAGTTCAAGAAGGAACCATCACTGTGACACCACAGGCCATCTTCTACACATCTAGCATTCAAGACGCGTCCCAGAAGCAACCTTGTACGTATCCTTACCCACATGAGAGCTCGACAACTCCAGTGAGATAGTCGGGTACCCCATACTGTATACAAACTAAGAATTCTTGATTACTGTTCCAGATTGGACGAAAAAGAGCTTTCAAACTCACCTTGCCAGGACTTATCCGGATACCACCATCCCAGAAACAGCTATTGATGTCCTCTGGTCTTGTTTCTGCTTCTACGCCTATCATCCTTTCCCACTCTCCGGAGTAGGCGATAGAAAGCTAGAGTTGCCAGCCTTTGAGAGTGCGCTGATCCTGCTCTCTCTTCAGGGCACAAAGCTTCTCGGGATCGAAGACGACGGCTTCGGTCGTCGTTGGGGGGCTTTTCGGGAGAATTGTAACTGCAGAGCTAGGATTAATCGGATCTTTCGAAGCATCGGCCTCAGTAGTCCTCAGGCAATCTCACATCCACACGCCACTGGTTTCGCCAGCCTCGTTACTGACGATGTGATCGATACTATGCGTACACTATGCCCCTGCCATCCTAAATTGGCTGCAACCCCTGAGAAGCTGACGCCGCTGGCGGAACGCTTACTCGACGGGAGGAAAGTGCAGTTTCAGATGAAGGTCAACGACTTGGCTGATTTACTCTGCCTGATCATGAGGCTCAGAGTCTACAAAACGACTTGGGGCCGCAGTTTTCATTACGGTTCCTTGGATGGGTCTACTCCAGAGAAGGAAGAACTGGCTAACGTCCTGGCCCGATCGTTCTGTCTTGACCAGGACGAGTCCCTGGCCCCCGCCTTGGTTCTCAGGGCTCTAGATATCTTGGTAATGACGATCCTGTTTACTATCTTCCAGTGCCTCTGCTAGATTGACTAACAATATCGTGCACATTAGCCAAATCTAGAGCAATGGTTTCATCAACTTTGGGCAGCACTATTCCAACCTTCGCCGACCACCGAGTTACTAAGCCTAGATACCGAATCATCAGCAGATTCCGCTTGGGATGGAATTCTTCGCGCAGTCTCATTGTTCGTCCCACCGTTCGAAATCCATGAGAAAACCGACTGGAATCGGAAAGTTAAGCCAGTCACCTTTTCAAAGTGCCATGATTGGACGTCTGGAAGCCTGACGGACAGCCTTGGTCTAAGCCATGTATTACAGCCTACTACCCATGATGACCCGAAGCATCGGTCGCATCTTGTTCTTCTCCTGGGACATCAAGGCCCGGACTCGACCAGAGTTGTTGTGGGGGCATTCTTCTCTGGTGGTACGCAGTCCCCTGCTGCAAACGAGGGAAAGGAGCCAGAGAAGATACAAAGATCAGCGATCGCTCTTCCGCAACTTCTCTTCCAGCTTCAGCCAAGCTTTGATCTCTTTCGATGGAGTGGAGAGGACACCAGGTCTTCATTGCCCATATGCGAAAGTGACACAGGGCAGACGGACTACCTTAACTACGTGGGGGACCCTACTCAATCGAGGGTAGGAGTGAGAATTGACCCTATCACCAGTCAAGCTACCTTTTTCCGGGGCACAGCTACGGCCGCTCGTCGGAGATCAGGGCAGTATGAAGAAGTCACGAGGAAGCATGAAGGATCTGATATCAGGCATGGGGATCAGCAGGAACGACAAACAGACTTTACGGTGACCCGTCTTGCTATTTTTAATGTGGAAGGTGGGCCATATTATGATGGTGAGGATCCTTTCTGAACTGGTACTAAATAGACTGGCGAGTTTGTATGCTGGCATGGAAGGAAGCATGAGAGTACTGCAAAGGCCCCTTGGCAAGATAAAGAGAACTTTATAAAAGCTTTCGCTTTCTATATATCGAGATCGAAATAGCATTTATTGGAGCCATTGCCACTTCATAGACAGTAGCTGTAGAATCATGATTTGGGAATGATATACAGATTCACTAGAGACTCGTAATCTCTAACCGCCTCTGCAGTCAATAGATACGTAGTTAAATAAAGTAAGTCTAGACTGTTTGGCTGCTTATCAATCACTGTCATCAACTTCCCCAGCGTCTCTGTCACGTGAACCCCGACAGTCGGGGAATCAGAAATACTTACTAGATAGACATTTCCTGCCAGCTTCGCCCATTGCGTCAGAATCAGCGTGGATGATCCAATAATTGCTTCTTCCGGATATTATTCCCCGATCACGTACCCCATAGTCTAGTAAGTAGTACTTAGTAGTAATTGGCCTTTAATCAGAGTTGAGCATACTGGTTGATCGTTGAACTGAAAGTGACTGACTAATGGCGCGCTTCCGTCATTGACGCCATTCCCCGGCCAGCTAATCAATCCCTCTCTTTCTCTCCCTCAGCTCTTTTTTTCCCCCCCTCTGAGAGCCCCTCCGCCCGCCCTCCGACCTTAAAGTTCTCTTGCCTGTCAGTGGCTGTTGTTCTCCCTCACATCAGCACTCCATGCTCTCCTGCCCCTCTCTCCGTCCTCGTCCCGCCCAGGCTCTACTTAAGAACCGGCTCCTTCTCTCCCCAACTACTAGCATCCTCGCCCGCTCCTCTCCCATCGTCGCGACACCTTTGCTCCAGGGTAAAGGCATTGCTACAGCCGCCCCTTCGACCGTTATTCCCCGACGCAGCACTCTGGCTCTCCACTCCTCGTCTCCGGTCGCATCCCGACTCTCTACTCTGACTAGACATTTCTCATCCTCCTCCTCCTCGGCTGCTGACGCAAACAACATGGCTCCCACTGAGGTCAAGCAGTATGACTATATCGTCATTGGTGGTGGTAGCGGTGGTAGTGGTAGCGGACGCAGAGCCGCCGGCTGGTATGGCGCGAAGACATTGATTGTAGAAAGTGGTCGCTCCGGAGGTACCTGTGTCAATGTCGGGTAAGATGCTCCTTCTTCCTCCCTTTCCACGCTACTATGTGAGAGAACCTGGTTGTTAACGCAGTATTATCCCTGCAGCTGTGTCCCCAAGAAGATGACCTGGAACTTCGCCTCCATCAACGAGACTCTCCACGTCGCCAAGCACTACGGCTACGACGTCTCCGAGAACGTCGACAAGAACTACCGCCACTTCAAGGAAATCCGCGACTCCACCATCAAGCGGTTGAATGGAATCTACGAACGCAACTGGGGTCGCGAGGGCATTGATCTTGTCCACGGCCGCGCCGGTTTCGTCGAGCCCAAGACCATCGAGGTGACTCTCGAGGATGGCTCCAAAGCACGGTACACGGCCCCTCACATCCTGATTGCGGTGGGTGGACGGCCCAGCATCCCGGACGTCAAGGGCGCCGAGCACGGTATCACCAGCGATGGCTTCTTCGAGATCGAGGAATTGCCGCCCAAGATTGCCGTTGTCGGTGCGGGATACATTGCAGTGGAGTTGGCCGGTGTGATGGGCGCCGTTGGATGCGAGACGCACATGTTCATCCGTGGCGAGACTTTCCTGCGCAAGTTCGACCCCATGATTCAGAAGACCATGACTGAGCGGTACGAGGCCTCTGGCATCCACATCCACAAGCAGCACCCTGGTCTCAAGGAGGTGCAGCTCATCCGTGATGGTAAGGGCAAGGACAAGCTGCTCAAGCTTATCTCGAATGACGGGTCGGAAATGGAGGTCAACGAGCTCCTCTGGGCCGTGGGTCGCTTGCCCGAGGTTGAGGACCTGAACCTCGATGTCCCCGGCGTTAAGCTGAACAAGTCCGGCCATATCGAAGTCGATGAATATCAGAACACCAGTGTCAACGGTGTCTATGCTCTGGGTGATGTGACTGGTCACGCCGAGTTGACTCCTGGTATGTTTTTCCCCCTCCATGCTGTCCCCTTCCATCCCTCATTGTCTCGTGCCCCAACTAATACCAAACCAGTCGCTATTGCCGCCGGTCGCCAACTCGGCAACCGTCTCTTTGGTCCTGACGAAGTTCGCGACTCCAAGCTTTCCTACGAGAATATCCCCACGGTGGTCTTCTCCCACCCCGAAGTTGGCACCGTGGGTCTCACCGAGCCCGAAGCCCGTGAGCGCTACGGCGATGACCAGATCAAGATCTACCACACCCGGTTCACAGCCATGTACTACGACGTGATGCCAGCCGAGGAGAAGAAGAAGAACCCAACCGAATTCAAGCTGATCTGCGCCGGACCGGAGGAGAAGGTTGTTGGCTTGCACATCCTGGGTCTGGGAGTGGGAGAGATGCTTCAGGGTTTCGGCGTCGCTGTGAAGATGGGCGCAACGAAGAAGGACTTTGACAGCTGTGTGGCTATTCATCCTACTAGTGCTGAGGAGTTGGTTACATTGCGTTAGACTAGATGGGGGTGTACACTAGATTACTATTATTTATATGTTAGTATGATGTTCAGATGTATAGAGTATATACAGCTTCGATGAGACTAAAATGTTGTGTTGCATTATCTGAGGTCAACAGTAATACTTAGTACGAATCGTGATTGATTTCGCGATACATAAGCGTACTGCTATCGCTACCTTGCTACTACTGTCTGACCATCCTCTTGGTCCTTACTCTCCATGATTCTCAATGTGTCTGCATAGTAATATTAGTAACAACTGGCGTGGCTACTATAGATCTCTTTTAAAACCTAGCGAGCTCCCCGGAAGAGGCATTGACCCGCTCCGACAGCGTTACCACGTGCTGGCCAATCAGAATTCTGGGCGGGGCTTGTCGGCAGTGCTCGGGGCCAGTTCTGGAAGCCGAGGCAGTAGATAAGGACATGGGAAGCGCACATCGGCCTGCGTATGACCTCCGTCCCGCCTGCACCTCGTTTTCGTATCCCCAACCTCAATGAGAGTTCAAGGTGGCAGTCGCAAAAGAAAGAGAATGTCCAAACTATCCCATCAACTCAAGGCGCTGATCAACGCCCCGGCAGCACGCCCCAACACTGTCCCCGCGCCGCCGAATATCCAATCTATATACAGGAAGATCCAACAAGGCGCGCAGTCCCAGAACCTATCCCGATCATCATGGCTAGCTCTATCGGTCAGTTGTCGTTCCATTCCTTAACTCGCAGCAGCACGAGCAGCTAATGTGTCCTCTGCCCCAGTAGACAGCCACCACCATGACGATGAACTCCCCTGAATCCCTGACAGAACTCTACCAACTAGCTAGCACCTCCCAATCCGCCAAGGAGAGCCTAGCGACAGCAGAATTCATGCGCGAAGTAGGCCTCAAGTGTATCAGCTTCAACGGCATCCCACGGACCATCAACTGCCTCAATGCCTTCAAAGCCAGTCTCCCCGAATCAATCAGTTCGCAACTCTCACAAACCCCCACCCGAACACCTACTCCAGAGAATATCCAAGAAATCTGCGCCCGAGGTCAGAATCTCTGGGACTCAATCTACCGACCCTTCGAGAAGAAACTCTACAACAAGCTGGCGGGTTCACACCCCGACCTGCCGGTCCATATTTTGAACGCGAACTATGGGGCGCTTCTGTCCGACCCTAAGCGGACTACCGGTGCAAATGTGGGCAGGTTAGCAACTTCGATTGTTGCTATCGCATGTCTTCGTGCTCAGACGGGGGTGGGCCCGCAGGTGACGTCACATGTGTTTGGTCTGCGGAAGGCGGTTGAAGATGGAACGTGGGTGGCTGATATGGAAGCAGAAGTGGGTGCCAAGTGGCTGGCCAGTGAGGAGGGTAATACTTGGATTATACAGAGTGTTGACGATATTGTCGAGACAATCAGTGGAGGGACGGGCTCGAATTTTACACCTGTTAGATCGGCCAAGATATAGATATACTATGGCCCGATATTCATGTATAATAGAAGCCATCTGGCAAGCACAGCTATATGATATATCCATACCTATTGCATAATATAGGTGACTGTTTTCCTTGTATGCCTCCTTGTTACTTAGATGAGTCATCCTCAATGCGCAACCCGTTCATTGCAACTACCAAAGTCACAATGCCTTGGATGCAAAGATGGAAAAACAGTCCAACAGTAACGCCCAGTAGGCAGCCATCAGATATGACAATATTCTCATTCAGTCAGTACTAGTACTTTAAATCTCTGTTGGGCACGATATTGGCCGATAATCCAGCAAAAACAGCAGTCGCGGAGGAGGACTTTAAGGAGCTCTCAGGCTGGGATGGTAGTAGGCTGGAATCCTTTTTCAAACGATACCAGGAAGAGCCTGATCTTACTATAGGTAAACCAGATGACGATAGTACTAAAAGTCAAAAAGAGGAGCTAGAAATGGGTACCGATAAGCCTTCGATAAAGAAACTCAATAAGGGCAACAAGATACTCATGCAGCTGCTCTATACTAACTATGAAGCGAAGTGGAGAAAGTGGATGATCTCCGACCCCGTAGTCCCTACTGTGTAGGAAATACTCAGCTTCTCGCAAGAATCTTGGAGAGCCATATATTCAGAGAAAAAAAACTCGATACAACATGGGCTGTGTCTTTAAAAGCAGCATGCTGCTCGCCCGGCTGGGCCAACTACTTGTGAACCCAAAAGTACCTCTACGCTATAAAAAGTGTTGTTTGACAATTCCATATCGCTAATATTTGATGATAACGCTAACTATTATTGTACACGATCATATCTAACATCCGACTTCTACCTTAGTTCGTCCACCCCTTAGGCCCCGCCCAAGTGCCCTTGACCAAGGACTGGTAGTACACCCAGGGGAAGAAATGCTTCTTCAGATGGTAGAAGGAGCGACGAGGAACAGCCTGGTCAATACCGAACCAGTTGCCGAAGGTCTCCTTGGGCTCACCACCATACTTGAACTCTGCAAGCAGGACCTTGCCGTACTCCGTAACCAGGGGGCAAGAGGCGTAACCATCATAAACCGCATCAGTAGCCTTGCCCTCCATGGAGCGCAACAAGTTGTGCACGAGAACGGGGGCCTCGGATGTGATGGCGGCCGCCGTCTTGGACGTGGGCAGGCTGGACGCATCACCAGCGGACCAGACGTTAGCGTACTTGGTGTGGCGGGTAGTGCCGGCGTCAACATCGACATAGCCGGCCTCGTTGGCCAGAGCGCTGTCCTTGACAAACGCGTGGGGACCCATCTTAGGCACGACGTGCAGAAGATCGAACTGTCTCGTCACCTGCTCCTGGCCATCGGGGCGGGCAAAAGTGGCCTTGTTGCCGTCGACGGCGACCAGGTCGTGCTGAAACAGGCCTTCAACGCCCCTCTCCTTGCGCATAGCCTCGAGGGCAGCGCCGTACTTGGCGACGGCGAACATGGAGGGCATACCGGTGGCAAAGCTGATGTTGATGGGCGAGCTGGCGGGGTTGCTGGGGTTGTACAGACCAGCCCGCTTCCAGTAGTCCAGGGCCATCCACAGGATCTTCTGGGGGGCGCCGGCACACTTGATGACTCCCGCGGGTTGGGTGAAGATGGCGTTGCCCTTCTGCAGCTTTTCCACGGTGGAGAAGACCTTGTCGCAGGTGTCATAGCCGTAGATAGAGGAGACCAGAGAATCCGGGTTGGCGAGTGCCTCAGGCAGACCCTTGACGCTGCCATAGTTGATGCTGATACCGGGGACAACCACCAGGTGTTCGTAGTTGACCTTGTCACCATTGCCCAGGGTGATGGAGTTGTTCTCCGGCAGGAAGGTGCCCACGCTCTCGTTGTAGAACTTGAACTTGGGGTCAATCAAGTCGTGCATTGGGCGGCGCAGATCCTCCTTGGTCTTGACACCACCACCGACCAGGGTCCAGCCGGGTTGGTAGTGATGCCACATGGAAGGATCGACGACGGCAATGTCATCTTGGGCGAATTTGCCAGAGCGAAGCAATTGATGGCTGATAGCCAGGCCAGCCGTGCCACCGCCGACGACGACGACCTTATGACTGCGTGCCACAGGGCTCACGGGGGCGGCCGTTGCGAAACTCCGCTGTGCTGCGGCGATTGAACGGCCAGCCCGTAGATGCTGCCGACGTGACGTTGCGGCAGAACATTTTTGGGGGTATTTTAGCGTGATTGATACAATGAACGGATGCAATATACACAGTATACACAAGTAGTTTTGGAGAAAAAGAAATTGAAGCTTCGCAAAGAAATGGGGAAAGAGCCACGAGCTGGACGAGACCCGCGTTCCTAAAGTCTATAGCCACACACCACTAGTACAAAGTAGTCTTTAATTCCCCAAAGTTTTCGGGGCCCCACCGTTTAAGTACGATGGCGTGATCACCTCTCGGCGACTTAGTCATCACCGTCGGGCCGTCTCGGTCGCCGACTGCCCTGGTCGCCGACCGGCTCCCCGATAACTACTCTCGATAGTATAGGAGTCCTTCGATTTGATTCATCTCATCCTACTACTTACTGGTGACGTGAATACGAGCTGTGGGTGGAGCAAAACAAGAACGATGGTTCGACCTGTGATGCAGTGGAAGAACTCATTCGCTAAGTCGCAGTCATCGCTGGCATTCCTCACAAGTCTCCATGCAGGTAGCGGCGTGAAATATCAATGAACATCATTGACAGTCGAGTATGCTCTAGGGGCTCTGTCATAAAATCATCTAAAGTGGTTCAAGAAAGAGCGGCATTCAACGGGTGATATTCTTGAAGGGTGCAGTCTGAAGCAAACGATAGACCATTCATATTAGATCCCCGCGTCTTCTCCGAGGTGGGCAGATACCTGAAGCCATCAATCAGCCCACACTGTGCCGGCTGGGCGACGGTCGCCATTCACTTTCAGTACCGTATCCCGACCCAGTGTTGAGAACCATGTTTGTTCCTGTTACCACTGGACTGTGGGGTTCTGGAACAAACCAAGGAAACAGAAAGAGGAACAGAAGGAGTCTATATCTGATCATGCTAATTCGCCCTAGGGGCGAGACTGCCCGGGTTCATCGGCGTTCGTCGGCTCCTAAACGTTTTGCATATTCGCCGATCCATCGGGCCGACCTATTGGCTGCTCTTCTAAGAAGCCATTTTGACAGTATAGGCAAGCCTTTGGATCCTGATGCCCAATATATTCTATGAGTCGTCTGATAGATACAAGCAACCAGAGTCCACGTATTTGAAACCACAGCCTTGCTCTCCTTTCCCAGCGTTCTACGGACTGCTCATGTGCTCGAACTGCGGCACTGCCTCGACAAACTCAGCCCAGAGCTGATTTCAGTTCGTTTCGCCCTCCCCCTCCCTCTGGTGATAGGGCAGTCTTCCTGGCTTCCGGTCTCGGTGATACATCCCTAGCAAGTGGCATTGCTGGCCGCGAGCGCCGTCCCTGCAACGTCACCCGTAAAGTCTGTAACACCGGAGGGATGCCCTTGACATGAGATGTTGACTCATTCAGAGCCGATAAGCTGCCCACACCTCTTCCTGACGTATTGCGGCATCCACCGCCGTCGGAGACACAGACACATCACTGGTTAACAGCACTGCGGCATGAAAACATGTTCCATGACTGACCACAGTCGGCATGGATTCACGCTCACCAGCGGGACAGTATCATCCCTCAATCGCCGGAGATCTAGCACTATCCGTCCCGACCGTAAGCCCGACTCTCGGAACAGGCATGTCCACTCTAAACCGTGCTTTCCTAATGGAACCGGTGGCGTAGCCAGCACAGCCGAGTATGCGCGCTGAAGTGCAGAACTAGCCGCTGCCAGGCGATGTAGAGTCGCTCTTCGCAGACTGCCTGACTCTGTCGGATACTAATCGGTTCAAATTCACAGCATACTGGCAGGTTCCTCAAATAGCCTTGAAACTGGCCATCAAGCTCCAGAACAGCACCGTAGTAACACTCGCTTGGTTCAATCAACTGACTGACAGTCGGCCTACGGTCACATTGCACAACGAGGCAAGTTCGATATTCGCCCGATTGAGGCTGAAATTGGCCGTTGCCACGGCTCGGGGGAACTGACGGCTCACACCGGCGTCGGTAATGATGCGATCGTTCGTATGAATTAGACATGAGACTCTCATATGTCGACGCTGGAAGATATAAGTACCTTTAGGCCACTGGAGAAGGCAAGCAAACTGCAGTAATCATCGTTGGCGTTTTAGGGACAGTGGAAGATGATGGTCGGATCACTAGTCCGATGAGACCATGTGCCAGCAGATGCGCCGTTTTACTTCAACATCAACTCCATTACATCAGTTCAATCGCCGCTGCTCATGTGCCAGCGGGCAATCTAAGCGTGAATGCGCATCGCCTGTGCCATCAGTAGTCCGCGGGCACGTAGCAAATGCACTGGGCTTTGAAGGCCGTCGGCATTGGTGTGGAAGTACATGAGCAGGCTAAACGCCGCAAGGGCCGTGGTCGAAGGGGAAGCAATGTGATCTAATAGTTCGAGTGCTTGTTTAGTGTATGCTGCATAGGTGCCTTTGGCTTGGGCAGGGATGGCTCACAAGTGCTGCAGTAAAGCTCCGGGGTCCCAGCGAAAGCAGTAGTGAGCGACATCGCCAGGGGAGGAGTCGGCCTTGTCGCTCCCTTGAACTTTGGTAATGCGATGCAGAGGGAGAAGATGGACATGGTGCGCGTGCTTGCGACATAGAAACACGGTCGTTTGCGCAGGTTACAGTCGAAACCCGGTTAACTGCAGTCGCAGCACAGTTTCTTGTCCTACTTCGCCGGCTTAATTAGGTATAGGAATTGAAACTTCAATCACATTGAGGTGCGATTCCATGGTCTGGCACAAGCTTAACAAGATGTGACCTCGCGCCCATTGGTGCAGCATGACGATCTGCGCTGTTGACTCATGGTACAAGGAAACATCGACCGTAGACTGTGATCAATACCAATGCCAATGTCTCAGATAAGGAAGAGAGGAGTTGTCTAATTAGACAACGTGGGCCATGCTTAGTATCCAATAAGGAAATAGATGGACAAGAGTTGTGGCCTGGACGACTCAGAGCTTTGGGGAAAGATGGGGTGTCTCCACGGACTAACTAGTCATTTCGAATTGGTTTGAGAGTGCTCAGGCAGCATAACATATCAATAATAAATTGCCTTGTATTCAATCACTCACCAGCTCTAAATCTAGGGCTGAGGGGGGTCTCGGACCACTCCGAGCCAGAACCTGGCGGACGCACCCGGAGCCAAAGCAGAGACAAGCAGCACCAAAGGTTCAAGCTCATGTCACCAACCTGACCATCAACCAAGGATACAACACACAGATACAGCATACTGGTGTAGCCACCGGAGAAACAAACCAAAGAGGCCGCGGAGAATATGATTACCGCTGTTAGTGGGATAGTAATAATCAGGCAACCAGATCGCCAGTTGCGAAATGGCGGAGACAACGCCGACGAGTGCCATGGTATTGAATTGGCCTAGATGGTCAGACAGAAAAGCCCAGCGCAATGGGCCAGACCATGATCCCGCATTGAATATATACAGCGTGTATGCGAGAGACGGAGAT